TTTAGCTGGAAACTTTGGACAAACCAAAACCATCGTTGCAGTCGAACACAAGTTTTTCTAACCTAGTTTTAAGCGTGACGTCAGCAAACTTATAAGGAGATGTCATACATGTCAGCTAGCTAAACAGCGGAAACAAAACACCGGACTATACACACCCCTCCCTGTACCTAACCAGTCGTGGCAAGATGTTAGCATGGATTTTGTTTTAGGGCTACCCAAGACCACTAGGAAGCACGATTCCGTGTGTGTAGTAGTAGATCGGTTTTCTAAAATGACCCATTTTCTCCCGTGCTCTAAAACTTTTGATGCCTCTAGGATAGCCAAACTGTATTTCGATGAAATTGTGAGACTTCAGGGTAGCCTAAAACCATTGTGTCAGACCAAGATGTGAAATTTACAAGTTATTTCTGAAAAACGTTATGGCACAAAATGGGGACCAAGCTCCAATTCTCTACCGCCTTTCACCCGCAAACAGATGGTCAAATTGAAGTGGTGAATAAGAGTCTAGGAAACCTATTAAGGACTTTAGTCGAGGAAAATATCTGGGACTGGGATTCCAAACTTCCTATAGCTGAGTTTACCTACAACAATTATGTTAATCGGACTACAAGTCTAAGTCCAGTTGAAATCGTGTATGGATACCTACCTAGACAGCCTATAGATTTAATCCCCATGGGTCCCAAATTTAGAGCGTCTAAATCTGCATCTGCATTTGCATCGCATTTACATGAACTGCATAAGGATATTAATAAAAAGATTAACCAAAGCAATGCTGGTCATAAACTTAATGCTGATCTCAAAAGACGGTTCAAAAAATTTGATATTGGAGATTTTGTAATGGTTCGGATTCGTCCGAAGTGATTCCTACAAGGAACCGTTAAAAAGTTACATGCTAGAAGCGTTGGACCTTTCAAAATAACAATAAAAATAAATACTAATGCTTATGTGTTAGACCTTCCTGAAGGTTTTAATATTAATCATACGTTTAACATTGAAGATTTTGTAGTCTTTGAGGGTCCAGAGTTTAACCATCCTAATCTATTAAATAATGAGCTTTGTGAGAACCCACCTGGTGAGAACCCTAGCCCACCTCCACCCCCAAAATTATCTACTTTATCCCATACAGAGAAGATTGAGGAAATACTTAGCGATGAAATCATTTTCACTAGAGATGGTGGTCAAAAAAGGTATCTAGTTCAATGGGCAGGGAAATCAGAGACGGAGAACACATGGGTTAACCGTGACGAGTTGTAGCAACTGGACCCCGACTTACTAGAGTGGTACGAGAGCTCCAGAGATGATCACTCGACGGGGTCGAGTTTTCTCCCACCTGGGGAGAATAATAAGGACATCAATCAGAGATTTCAACAAGTGTACCATCGCAGGAATCGTAGATCGACGGCTACATTTCGGAGTGTATATCTTTGATTTATTTTCATGTATTTTTTCTATTTGGTATTTTCAGTTTACTAGTTTACCTCTATGGGTGTTGAGTCTTTGTTGTAGCTCATGAGGCATATGAGTCGCTTTGTTTTCTTTTGTTGAGACCTATATATAGAGGTCATTGTCTTTGTATGAGGTTAATGTTAAATCAATAGAAAATTTAAGATTTTTTAGTTCATGATTTTGTGAGTTTGAGAGGAGAGGAGTAGCCTAGGAGAGGCTCAAAAGAAATACCCAACAGCCCCCTTCATGGGAGTTCTTGCTTCTTTGGTTTTTTTTTTTCTTCCCTTTTCTCCTAGCCGTCGGCATCCCAAGCCGCCCGTCCCCCATTGCACCCCCACCCGCCGGCCAAGCCTTCGAATTTGATTTTCAAATTCAAGTAGGCTTTCATTGCTTTCCTAATTTGTCCCCTTGTCATTTAGGAAGTTTCCTAATTGAAATTCAATTTTAAATTTGAATTTTAAATTCCTCCCTAAATGATAAAACCCAATTAGGAAACTATTCATATCTAATCAAATTTGAATTTAATTCAGAATTTGATTTGATTAATTATTCAATATCCTGGGCCCCACTTATATTGAACCTAGACACAAATTTAAATCCCCATAGGACCAGCCCCCTCTCTCTCCACTTTGCCACCTAAGCAACATTTAATCCCTCCCTAAACCCCCTAATATCCGTTGGCCCCATTAATCCCTTAATTGGGTTGATTTAAATTTCAAATTGGCTCTCCCTCTCTAAGGAAAATTTGAAATTTAGACTTCAAATTTTCCCTCTCACCTTCTCCCCCCAAACCACTTACCCAAAACAAACCCTAACCCTAGCCACTCCTCACCCTCCCCAAGTCTTCTCCCATCATCCTCTCCCTGCTTCCTCACAAATCTCAAGCTTGTTCTTCTCTAACCGCCACCACCACTATACATGGCCGATCCGGAAGCCGATCATGGCTTCTTATATGATGATCAAGGACGAACAAACATTCTCGAATCTCCTTTCTTCAACGTGGATGCTTCCGTGGAAGATTATTTAAATCGCATCCTTTTCACGTTGGTACCCTCCATCAAAGAGCACATTCCTACCAGGCGTTGGATACTCACTAGTCAACTCGTGGATTCCCCGTCGTTGGTCACCTCTCCAACGAAGTACACCTTGGGCATCACTTGTCTTCTAGTGGCATCTCTAAGCTTGCTCTCAATCTTCCTCCACTAAAGTACGTCCACCACGAGTGTGAGTGAGGGACCCAAGGTGAGCAAATCTATTTGTTAAACCGTGGATTAGTGTTTCTTTGCCGTAACATTACTTTCTATATTTTATGTTGTTAACTTGTAAGCATCCTGTTAATCTAGTTGTAACCGCATGCCTTACATAATTTCTACTTGATAATTCTAAAACCTAATTTGGGAGAACAAGAAGTTTATAACTAATAAAGCTGTAGTAATCAAATATTAACATCCCTAAGCAGTTCTTCTTTACTTGCATGGTTTTACATCGGTACTTGATGTCACTCTTAATAACAACTACTGACAAACAAAGGATTCAAAAACCCAATTGGCCAATTCCATATGGTAAATCATCTAATAATGAAAATGATCATAAAAATACTTCCTTGTGTCAATATCCTTTGCCTCCTTTAAAGATCTAAAATTCTCTTATGGTTCAAGATTTTCAACAACCCTAATAATGGCTTACGATAATTCATGACCTCCTAGGGAAACCAAGGTTTAGTTTTGGGACCTTCTCTAAGTTGATTTTCACTCACCCTTGGATTAATTCTTCATACTTGATAGATAAAAATGTCAAAATCCATTCATCAAAATCTTGTTATGTCTGTTAGTATTGGGCATGACCCTTGGAAATTCATCCCGATAAAGTATGAATGACTAAATATGCAGTAATATTAGTGATTTAACCTAAGAGGCTCTCCAACACATGGCTCAATCAACCCATATCACCCCAATCACATTGACTCAACTTAGGGTTAGGCATTTTCATGCTAAGCTAATCGAGGGTGGGCCTAATTACATTCAATGAATCTAGATAGAACATTCAAAAAAGGCTACATTAAACCTCCATTCAAGTTGAGAAAAATGACTTAGTGCAATTGAGTGATACATCAACAAGAAGTGTTGCATCACCCAAAAAAATTATCACATCATCATATCCTCATGGGACATAGGATGACCAGCTGTTAACTCCTTATCTAAGAGAAGGGTTTAACCTCTCATTTTCCTATCTACATTCTTTTTCCCAAGATGTGGATGGAGATATATTATCTTTCCTTAATTTGTGAATGGAAGGCCCTTTATATTTAGGTTAGAAATTGTTATGCACCTATGTTTGCAAATAGGAGCCTAATAAGAGCCTTTGTAAGGATTGGATCATTGAATCAATCGTAAATAAGATTTATATGGATTTCCAAGCATTGACTGCCACCCTTTATTTATGACTTTCAGGACCAAAACTATTCTTTGTAGTTGCTACCTATGAATCTTCTAAGGAAATTACACAGGTCAAATCTAAGGAATCCAAGCTATTAAAAGACTTATTCTAAGACAAGGTGACTATCCACTTAAACCTTCACCTCACTATCCTAATCTTATTTTTTGAAATCCTCACCTACGCCTCAATAAAAAAAAAAAAAACCTTACAACATAAATTGATCGAAAATCCTTGTCCTAACACAAGTGCAAAGATCACTACCTTGCATCCTAGCTCCACTTCAAACATTCAAGCACATTCCTCCTTATAGAATTATATTAGTTTTCAATTCATCTTGCATCTTGAGTTAGATAGACCCATACTATCACCTAAGTTTTAAATCATATTTCATAGGTGAACTTGACATGAATGATGAAAGATGACAAATTCATGGAAGGCCTCTCTAGTTTTTTATGGTTTATGCTGATCTCTGGGAAAAATTCTTCTAAACCTAACAAAACCTGGGAGTTTGTAGTCATAAAGTCTTTACTACTCTCATTAAATCTCTTCTCCCAGCTATGCCCTGAAGTTTTCGCCTTTTCTAACATAAATTAGCCAAAAGAGATTTTATATTTACATAAACATCCACTCAAATGTTTTTAACTTCAAAATCTTAAAAAGCATTAATGATGCATATCCAAACCTAAACACAACGCCCTCATGGATATCAGGCACAAATGGCATGACATTGAACTAATAACCAACCTATGGCAAGAATGTGTGGCGTTACAATTTCACCAAAACCTGAAGAAGAGATTGGACTAATTATGAAAACAAGAGGCAAGAGCAGCTTAATTATACACTCCAAGTTAACCCATATCCCCACAGGAATAGGAAGTAAATGCATGCCAACCACTTTTACATTCCCACCTTCACGAATTCTGCATTATTCAACTGAAAATTCACATGAATGATTCAATATTAGAGAAACTAATTTAATCCCATCATAAAAGAAACAACATTTACTGGAGAAAAGCGAAACATAAACATAACCGTCTAAGGTTACATCTCCTTCGAGAGGGCATGGGCATCCCATGAGATTATATGAATTAGTTCAGCTCAAGGAAGCAGAAATTTACCACACTCGGTGAGGACCATCAGGAGTCCAGGGAACAAGGCAGATAGGGCAGCTTGGAAGGCAAGAGGGGTCCGACCCGGCCTGCAACTGTCCCTCAGTGCCGCTGCTACTCTCTTCGCATTCTCGCCCTCGACCTATACCACATCCCGGTTCCTCCACCACTACCACCTCTTCCTCCTCCTCCTCCTCTCCCTCGTCCTCACCCCCCTCTCCGGCCACATCTCCTCCACCTGCCGGAACAACCAATATTTCTATTTCCGGCGACTCCACCACGACAGCCTCCGCTTCCTCGTACTCCTCTTCAGTCTCCTCGTCATCAGGTGCGTAATCTTCGTCGTCGGTTTCCTCATCAGACTCTTCCCGGTCGTCCCGATTTCCCCGAGAAGCCATGGCGGGGAGTTTGGCTATGAGCGTTCAAGAAAATAAATAAATAAATTATTTCATTTTAAGCAGTTTCTAAGGGATATGGAAAGCGACGCTTATGTAAAGCATAAGACCATGAATGTATATAAAACGCATAAAATTAATACATTTATATCCTAATTCTCAATTATGAGGTATGGAATGGACCCTACTCATAAGTCTTGGAAAATTACTAGATTAACATGATTATCTAATAATATTTGAATTAAAAAAAATTAAAAATAATTTATAATCATTTTAATTTTGATTTCAATAAATTTATTATTGAACATATCGCATCAATGAAATAAATTCACCGTTATCATTAGTGATTAGATATAAGTCCAAATGAAATTAAATAAAGTGCTCGAAGGCTAAAGCATATTTGGAAACTTCAAGACATTAATTAAAATACTGAACGATCTCCAAATCATGCTTATAGTCAAAGTGAGCAGCAAATATTAAATAATTAATTTATGATCAAATATGACAATATGAATTATTCGATGGAACAACGTTCAAGATCATTCAATTAAGAGACCTTTAAGGATTTTAATATATATATATATATGCTAGGTATGTAGACTGGTGATTCGGCTCTAACTTGACTCATGAAAGAGCTCATGAGGAAAATTTATCGAGCCACAAATTTGAGCTCGAGCCTATACTCAAGTTCATATATTATATGAGCTTGAATCTAACCTGACTCGGCTCATAAGCTTGTCAAGCTGGTCGTTTGAATTAAAATATATTTCAAAATAATATAATAAAATTTATACTAAACTTTTTTAGTTATTTCTCAAGCCAAGCTCAAGCTTTTCAAACGACGAAATCTAGCAAACTCTAGTCTAATAAATTTCGAATGATTTGAATTCAAGCTCAACAAGAATTAAACAAGTTCAGCTCGATTAGATAAATACTAGACTCAACTCAACTTGACTTATTTACCGCTCTAACCTTTATATATACATACAATACCTCTATATATATATATATATATATATATATATATACTAAAAAGTAATTTCATAAAATAGTAAGAAAATTGTCCCAAAAGAAGTCTAAATTATCTTGATTTCGGCTTCATTTTGTACGGCTTTCTTACCGTTTTTTAAAACAGTTTTCTAGCACAAAAATTATGTTTTAAAAAACAGTAAGAAAGTCATCACAAACAAAATCTTATAAAGCACGATTAATCAAACATGAGAATTTTGCAAGGCTGAGCCATTGGTTCTCTATATTGGTAACATAAGAATCCTATTATCTTTATTTGCTATAAAATTCATCAAGACAATAAGATACCTTTCCTCCATAATGTTTTCAGCCCTTCATTTCCTTCATTAAGAATGATAATTAAGCCACCAAAATAATACAAAAAAATTTTCATTATACCAAGAAAGAAGACATGCAATTCCAACTAATCTTCATATGTGAGGGCATTGGAGCTACAAAACGGAGCACATCAGGCTTACTAGATGACCATGGATTTCCCTCATCAAACCACTCATTAGAGTTGCCTAGGAACTTGGCAATATTGGGGATCACCAGTTCTCTACAATGGAGATGAAGAAGGGGCACCTTGGATAGGACGCTCCCTTTTTGCACGGCAAGGCCCTCCGGCCGCCGAAGTTTATAGGGAGCTCCGGTGAATGGCTCGTAGTCCGGACGAGGCATTTGCTTCCATCTCTTGTGCACGAACCACCCATAGTTGTAATCTCCAACAATTGGTGTGCCTAACGCTTCGGCGCAATGCACTCGAAGCTGCAAGGGGATAAAAGTTTAAGAAAGAATAATAGCAAAAAGGGACAGTTTAACAAAGCCCTGCATTGGATATCCATACCCAAACCCACTCACGTACCGTAGGTATGGATACCCCCATGGCCTCGTGGGTGGGTACTCAACAATGGGAGATAAATCAATTTACATTGTTAATCATTGTATGTCATATATTAACACAATCCTCACTATGCAGTGCGCATTAATGAACCACACTACGACCACAATAAATTCTAGTATACGGCTTGAAAGTTTGCAGTCATAGCAAAGGACAACGAGCCTCAATGTCATCAATCCGTAGCGGATTGCATTCAAAAATCAGGAAAAGTGGGTGGGTATGAGTGGGTACGGCATCTCAAAAGTCACCATGGGTGGGCGTGGGTGGCTAAAGCCTGCTCGTGCAGAGCGTGGGTACCTAATGGGTACCCAACCAAGACCCTATGTAGGGCTTTGCAGTTTAACCAAACATTCATGATTTCAATAATATAACAAAAGGAGAGCTCAAATTTACTTCAGAATGTTAGACCTGATGCTTCCTGGCAGTAAGTGGACGAAGCTCCAGCCATGAGCAGCCATTAATTGTTGGTCCCAACACGCGGTATTCAGTTATAGCTTCTTGAAAACCATCAAAGCCTGAAGGATGGGCAAGCATTATTCGTTCTGTCTTCCCATCATTAAGAAGAACCTATGATCACATAGTAAGAAGATTAAAACATCAACATGGTCCATGCTAAAGATAAATTTTTTATACTCAAAATTTATTTTAGGAATCAATAAAAAAGCCATTCCAAACAAAGCCTTAATCACACAAAACGGTATCAAAGTTAGCAACCCTAATCATCCCCATATCTTTCCCACACGTCATTCTATTGCGCTCTAGCACTTAATCCTGATTCACAATCCACAAACTGCAAGAGCTCGCTCAAGTCAAACCCAACTCGCAAACCCTGCTTGTGACCACTCCCAACAATCCACAAATTTATGCCCCTCCCATTGCCACCGCCGCTGCCACTCACCCAACCCATGCTCGATTAATCCTACAACACACTCATACCAACTATTGATCGCACCCTACCGTGCCATCAATATTGCCTGAAATAATTCTTCTCTCTTTTCTCATATAATAGACAACCAAAAATTATTTATATAGCTTATTATGATATCCATCCCACCTATCATTATCATTAATGGATCTCCCTCTCCTATCATCCATCCCTTCTTAATAAGTTTAGAAAATATTTTAAATATTTCATATTTTCCTGTAATACTTCACTCTATAAATTCTATTATCAAATTCCACAAGTGCTTGGAAATATTTTATCATTCTCATTGCTGTTATCAGGATTGCAGAACTATGAAGATAATTTGTGGATGTGTTGAACTTGGAGGCAATTACTATCTCGTTAATGCTACTTCCACAGCTATCCTGGTCACCTTACATCACAAAAACTTTGAGGTTCCATTAATATTTGCTTTTAAGTTTCTACGTTTGAAGCATGAGAATATAATAAGCACCACCATCTCATTTCCTCTGTGTACACTTTTTCATAGTAGAACACATTTTGACCTGTTACATTCAAATATCTAGGGTCCAAGTCATTTGTCCACTCATTTGAATATTCATTATTTTAATTCATTTATTGATGACTACATCAAGGTTGTTTGGATTTATTTATTAAAGTTCCATCATAAATTTTCACTATAATGAAGAAATTTTATCGAGAAATAAAAGTTCAACAAAATACTCAAATTAAAGCCCTTTGTATCGAGAATACTCTTGAATATATGAAATATCTATTACACTCCTCTTCAATCATGTCTTTATTCATCCCAACAAAATAGCGCAGATAAACAAATGAATCAACATCTTGATGCTGCTTGCACCTTAATGTTTCACACGAATGTCCCATAATAGTTGGGGAGATGCCACTATCATAACTTGTTAATCAATTATGTCATTCATTGTTATGTGTAGTGTTACACCTTTTTCAGTTGTTTAGCCACAAATGTACGTTTTTTACTTTTACTCCATGAGTTTTTGGTTGTGATTGTTATATCTACTCTCTTCGACCCTTCATGTCAATAAGTGTATCTTTATGGAATATTCTCATACTCAAAAAAGATTATTTGTGCTATGATCCATCTACACATCGATTATATGTCTCTATCAATGTTACCTTTTATGAGGCATCCCTCTACAGCTCTACTACCCTCCTGCTTCAACCTCATCGCATTTTCTCTTGATGTTTCACTTCCACTTATTGCTCTAGTGTATGTCCTTCGCCATTACAGTTTTATACTTGCTTCCCTCTCATCTACCTTCATTTGATGTACGCCCTCTCATCCCAATTACTACAATTAGCCATTTACCCACCAAAGCCCCAGATCTACATACCCCAATTGCCTTACAAAAAAGCTCACAACATTGATCCTCATTGCATACGGGGATGACATTTTTTCACTAGAATGATATTTTTACTGTCAAGGAGATAAAATAATATTTTCAAAAGAAGTCTGATACTAAAAATTTGGGAAAAGAAAGTGCCTCCTCTCAAAGGAAATATGCTATAAACATCCGTAAGGAAACTAGGCTTCTCAAATGCAGGCTTGTTGACTCTCCTATGAGTATTCTGCAGGCATTCAATGATGATAAAACCTTTGATGATACTTCTCAGCATCCACATTTGTTCTGTAAGCATATCTAATTGAAACCTGGTCTAACAATCATGATACTATATTGGACGAAAATAAGCAATCCTTGAATTCGAAATTTCAGGAAAACAGGAGTTGAAGTAGAATATCAGAAAAATACCTTGGAAAGTGGTGCAGAAATAACCCCCTGCTTTTCTTGGGGAGAACCTATGACCAATGCCCAGTACCGCTGCATTGTTCTTTCACAAGCATAATTCCAGACCTAAATAACAGACCATCACGAGGAAAACCTCAAAATTCAGGAACGTCAGAATGTTAGACTAGAAAGAGACGAAGAATCAAGTTTAATTCAAATAAAAATGAAGCAGCACAAACTATTGAAGTTCTTCTATCACATAAATAAGAGAATAAATGGTTACCAAAAAGAGACATGAGGAATTTCAAGATGTTGTAACCGAGAAATTAAATGAAGGCACAGGCGCATTCCTCTACCTTCAAATTTTTAAAGACAAATAAGAACTGAGATTGCAAGTATAAAGCAACATTTAATTCATTGTTAAGCTTTCACTCAATAGAAAAGGAGTTATAAGCATGGCTTTCACCTACTCCAATACATATTGCATGTGAGTGTGTGTGTATGACTACTTATAGGAAGCAAGGCACAATTCTGATTTCTATACATGATTTACTAAAGATTCCGTATTTCTCTTAACATTTTTATGTTTAATTTTTTATTTAAATCAAAATTTCATTCTAGGGTGTTGTAAGGAATTGTTAGAGGTAAGAAGAAATTCACAATAGGTCATAGAAAATACCCGACATGCAATTTGACAATGGAAGGAATGACATGACTTAAGTTTGTCTAAAGTGCAACTATTCCAAAATCTCACAAGAATGTTGCACTGTGTGCCAAGATGTCAGAGGTGATTAAAGAGGAGATCCGTGCTTATATCAAAAAAGAAAATAATGTCAAAATATTTAGCAAAAAGACACTTTGATGATGGAATAGATATTGGTTCTTTTTTTTCGGAAATGGGCCTGATGATAAAAATTCCCATCTTCTTTGCCAACAATGTCATGTAGAGGTGCAAGGCAGCCAATGGGTCAAATATATGAATGTAGCGGATGCAAAAGATAAAGAAAGGGAACCTAAGAGGATATTGGAAGGTTCTTTTATGGGAATATCATTCAAATTAATGTGGCAACTTCTCCTTATTTCAACATGATTTGTTCCCTAAATTCTTATGGATGAGGCTTGAAACCACCACTATGTATGATTTGAAAATATGGTTATTAAAAGCAGAGCTGAAAATGTTGAAAAGGTCGTTGAGAAGATTGGTAATACTTGGAATCATACTTGAGTGACAATTATGTATGATGGTTGGTTTGATATTTAAAATAAAAGCTTGATCAATATTTTGATATACGATCCCCATGACACTATTTTTTAAAAATATGTTGAAGCATCAAATCAAGTAAAGGATGCGTAGTACATTTTTGTACTTCTCGATGGAGTGCTCAATAATATTGGGGACACATGGTGGTGCAAATTATGACAAACAATGCTAGTGCTTACAAGGTAGTTGAAAATAAGCTTAAAATAAATTGATGGAAAGGATAAAGCATTTACACTATATACCTTGTGCAGCACACTCCATAGATTTAATTTTAAAAAAAATTGGTGACTTGCATCAACGAGAAGTTAATTATTCAAAAGGATGCTCTCATGGCCTATTAGAATGATGATTTGCTACTACTTATTCAAATCTACCAATGAAATTTACTTCAACAGAATGGTTTAACATTACCTGGACAAAGAAATATGAGAGGAAAGAAGTTATGAGAATTATTTGGAGTGAGATTTTGATTGAGCGTTACATATGCAATAATAACAACAAAGCCATTGGTTCAATTTCAAAGGATGGCTGATGTAGAGAAAAAGTCAATTATGAGCTTCATTAATAATATAATGGATGGGACTATGATGCAGACATATGAACGTTAATCAAAGGAAGAGACGAAGATCGACGACCGAGACCCCTCCATTTTTATCTTAGTTTATTAATTGTATTTTTTATTTAATTATGCATTTTTTTGTTTTTACCATTACTTAAGGGTCTTGTCTTATGTAAGCCCAAGAAGCAAAGTTGTCTTTTAGTTTCTTTTAAGGCCTATATCTAGAGGTCCTTGCTCTTGTATTAGACAATGATGAAGTTTTAATAAAAAAAATTGTTCTATACTTTTGTTCCTTGAGAGAGCTTTAGTGAGATCCCTATGGGAGGGAATCGCAGTTTCCACCAACCGCAGGATGGGTCCGGGCTCGTGGCCTTAAGTCCCTTGGTAAAGGGCAACGCATCGCTCGTCGGCCGCAGGAAGCGTCTGGGCTCACGGCTTTATCCCCTTTTTTTTATATTCTCCTTATTTTTTCTAAACCACCACCTCCTTAATACCTAACCCCTCTCTCTTTCCTCTCTCCTTGGTCGGCCCCTTCCCCCTCCTCTCTCTAATTAATTAGATCCCATAAATTAAGGATCTAATTAATACAATCCTCTCCCCACTTTCCCTCCCAATTCCACAATTATTTCAAATTCAAATTTCAATTAAACATACCCTAATTACTCGTTAAATCTGAAATTTTATTTCAGATTTAATCCTACCCTTTCCCCACCACCAAACTTTAGAATTCAAGTCCCAATCTCATTCCTCTCCCCCACCCTATTGCTTGGCCAAACCCCTACCCGCCCCCTCCCCTCTTACTCTCAAGTTTTCCATCTTTGGACAATCATGCATGGCCAATCCAAACGTCGACCATGGTTTCGTCTTTGACTCCCAAGTGCGCGTAGACATCTTGAGATCGTCGTTCTTTGACATCGACGTGGAGATCGACGCAACCGTTGAAGGGTATTTGGATCGAATACTATTTTCCCTATCAACCGCCATTGACGACTTCTACCTTCCAACCCAGTGGCAAATCCTACATCCTCCACCTCCTACTCCTACTCCGGCTAGCTTTCTCTTGGACGGTATTGCAAGCTCCCTCCTCCTTGTGGTGACCACATCGGTAAAGCTAACAGCTTCCTTTCGCAAACCTTAAGAGAGCTTGAGTGAGGGAAACTCAAGGTGAATTTTCTAAGTATTAACCCGCGGATTTTGTTGAGCACATTTGGTTTTACTTATATGTTTGTTATTGTTTTGAATCGCCCTATCTTCAAAGCATGTACTATTGCCTAAGTAACTTTGGAACTACGGATTCCTAAATCTATAATTGTGAAATGTTACTCTTTATATTAGCTAGTTAAGCAATTATTTTATTATTTCCGAGCAATTATGACCCCGTTTCACATCAAACTAAGAAGTTGATAGTCCATAACTTAAAAGGAGATGAGTCCAACTATAAGAAGATTTGAGAAATCATTGATGAGAAAAGGGCGTTTCAACTCCATCATCATTTGGATGCTGCCAGATATACCATAATCCTCAATTCCAATATGCTGAAAATAAGTGAACAAATCCTAAGATCAAATTATAATTATGTCATTATATTGATAGGTTGTTAACTAACTCAACAGAGAGAGCAAATATTGATATGCAACTTATACCATTCAAAAATAAGGAATGATATTTTGGATTGCAAGAAGCCAAATATATAGTTTCAAAATACTCTCCAGGTAAATTTTAATATTTATTGATTCAAATAAGAACTCCCAATTCTAATGACATTTAATGATAGAGGTTGGGGTACATAATCTATCATGTTGGGGTACATTAGTAGCTTTCAAGCATACATACATGCATATATACATATCTATCATGATACATTCATATATAAATATATATCTATCATGATACATTCATACATACACATATATATCTACCCAATACCATGCAATATCTATGATAGATTATTTAAATAAGGAATGATCCCTAAGGGTTGGGGTACATAAGCAGCTTCAGATAGCTCATAATCCATTGCAGAAAGTATAGAAGGCACATAACTTCTTCATTATTCAACCACTAGTCAATTTCAGAATTTTTATCAGTTTTTTTTTTTTTTTTCACGAACATAAGAAATAATATTGTTGTGCGTGCAAACTGTATTCCAAATAGGCAATCAAGTTTTCTTAGTCAAACAGTTCCGTGTTGTCACTTGCATAATCATCAATAAACTCCATTCGTGTTTTCATGGTTTTCGCTCTTCCTAGACACAAACTTGGCATCAATTAGTAAACACTTTGTCATCAAACAGACTGAAGGCCAGGAAAACATCTCCTCGTATATTGCTTAACTTTTGGTCCACATCCAGCCACATACTAATTGGAAACGTTTTTAAATGTTGATAATGATAATAAAGCAGGGCTAAACTTATACCTGAGATGATGTCTTGGCAAGATTAACATCAGTAAACAACCAATGAAGTTTAGCAAGGCTTTCTTTTTTCCTAGCTAACAGCAGCAACCCGCTACTCTCTTTGTCAAGCCGATGCACCTGTTATGATCAAGAAATATATATATATATACATAATTCTAAAGGAAATATAGCAAAAAATAAACCAAAAACTAGACATTTGAAACACATATTTTCAGTTTTTAGAATGTATTAATCATAGATAACTATATAAGTTAATAGCTCACACGATGACACTGCACGTACCAATTTAGGACCTTCTTCACTCCCATATGAAAACGCTGCTGCTGCTAGTACATCCATGCTGTTATGAACTGGTAAGTGTCCCTACAAAACATAACAAAAAAACAATAAGATAAAAATAATTTAATAATGAAGAGCTAACAGAGATCCAAGAATACACGAGAACAAACATCGTTCTATGAAAACCAACCTTCGTAGGCACTCTAGGAGGTTTATTTAATACGATTATAGAAGAATCCTGAAATGTCAAAGAATATGATACATGTCAATAAGCATGATTGCATATATTTTTCTAGTTTACAAAAAGCTTTCAGAGGAAAATGAAATCCACAAAAACCTATTCCAAAAGGACCAAGAAACAAAGAAAAATGGTTATGCCTTAAACATAACAAGCCTCTGCAAATATTTTATTTCATCAGCATTTGGATGCAATGTTGCTGTTGGAATAGTGTCATATCTCTTCAATATTCTTGACTCTACAACAGATACAGGAACATAAATCTTCTGGCCAGCCTTCATAACATGATCGTGTTTGATCTGCATATATACTGTAAAGCATAGTCACTGGATGAGGTACTAAATACAAAAAACTGGCATGCTTGGTAAAAGTGCATGCAATTTGAAGTAAATGACCATGCAATGGTAAAAGTGTGTGCAATTTGAAGTCAATGGCTATCTTAAGGGAAGCTCGTCAAATGTGAAAATCATTTCCTTTAGATTATCAAGGTAGAATTCAGTGTTCAACCATTTAATTTGTACAGAAAGCTTGCTTGTTGTATCCCTACTTTAGTCTAGTGGGCTAGGAAAGCATAAGCAATTCATGTGCAGGCTCAGAAGATCATTTCGGCAAGCTAGCGTGAAAACAAGCAGGTAAGAAATAAGTGAAATTGACTAGAAGAAGACTTCCACTCTGCATAAAGTACAATCTTCTTGTCTGTTAACGGATAACAGGCGCACTTAACATTTTTCTAGCTCTTTACTAAAGCAAAGAGTCATACACCAAGTCAGTATACTGTTCCAGGTGTGGAAGGTTCGGGGAAGTAGCTCATAGCTCTATGGACAAACTCATAGCATGAGTGAAGCCATTCAGCATAAATCTTTAACTTGTAAACTAAGGTAAAAAAAGGAGAATAGTATAAAAAAACTAAATATCAACTACTAAGGCGAATATCCAGGGCTCAGTTTAGGAGTAGAACAATAGATGGACAGCTAATTGGGTAAATCACCTTTTGAACTGCATAATGGATAAGTTCAAGTGAAGCCTTCTTCTAAATAAGCAATGAAAAGAACAAATTATTCTTAAAACTGAGAAAGAGAACATCTTACAATGTGCAAACTTGAGACTATGTAGGGATGTGCTTTCAAAATAAGACAACAATTTGTAAAATTTCCTTGTAACACATAAGATTGGAGAGATCAAAACTAGAATTTTTATTACCATTTTCAGATTAAGCAATTGATGATTATGTTTCGCAGAAGAATCTTCATGATCTGAGATTTGCAAATGAACCTGATCAAAATAAGATGAACCAGATGAGTAAGCTTACAGTTTCAGTATCATGAAAATTATAGCATCGACAGTGTCTCAAAGAGAGCATCCTGTATTCATTTTTCATGGGTTACACTATAGGCCCAGTAATTGCTGCAAGATGTTCGACACTTATGCAGTTATGCGCATAAAAATGACACCACCGCGATGATTGTTCCTTATAATGCACCACCTCATAATAAGAATTAGAACAACATCCCGCCAAATCTGTAGGTATCAGGTCAAAATTTCACAGCACAAATGCGAACACCAATAAATAAAAGCTCGTGTGGGTAATGTTGGGTAGAAAAACAACATAAATAACGCAGCGCTTAAATAAGCTTAATTATATACCAACCAAATGATCACACTAACTCTTTTAATCCCCTAAAAACAAAATTCGGCGTATAACTCCCGGAAAATACGCACTCAATAAAAACTAAATCACAGCAATCCATCGAAAGAAGGATCATGCTCACCATGCCGGTCCTAAAATGTCTCTGGATGACATCGGGAGGGACTTCGTCGAAATAATGCTTAACCCAGGTGATGGCAGTGACCCTCCGCCGAAAGAAGCTTCCATCAAGGACGTGTTCGGGAGCAATCTTTCGGCCGGGAAGAGGGTCGACGCCGTCGGGTGGGAAGGGAGGGAGAGAAAGTAGTTGTCGGGGTTTCGGTCCCTCCTTAGGTGGGCCCAGGCTTGCCAGGTTATTGGATACGCGGATTACAGGCTGAGCGGCTGTATCCGCCGGAGGCGCCAACCTAGAGAGTCCACGAGCGAAGGCCGCTAAAGACGTTAGGAAGCGACGGCGCCGGAGCATGGCGGTGACGGGGTCGTTGAAGTGTTTGAACTTTCAACCGACCAGCCGGAGCACATGCCGGAGCTTTTAAGGGACTGCAGAGCTCGACCGGCCATGAAACAAACCGCAGTAATGATCAATGAACCGGGTTTAAATGGTAAAATGGTACCATTTTTTTTTTTTTTCCCCAAAAAAAAAGTACCCTGAAGGTTCTGAGAAAGCATTAAGAGTCTATTTGATTTGAATTCCCCAAAAAAAAAAGTCTATTTGATTTGATATTTTTTAGCTGTTTTTTTTTATTTTATTTTTTTTGGAGAAATTTAAGATATTCTCTAAGATTTTTTTTTTTTAATGAATTACAAATTTCCTCCTTATCTTGAGCTCCTCCATCTTCACTTGTGTTGCAGAACAATTCTTCCTTGCTGCCAATTTGGACTTCAGCTTGATAGCCCTTGCCCCTTGGTATCAACTACTTTCTCACTTTCTTTTACCTTGTCTATTTTTTGGCATAAGTTCTAACACCTAATGGTGACCAACTTTAATGGTTGCCAAATGCTTTCAACATTAAATATGTTCCCAACAATCTAGCTGGCAATACATTTAGGGCACCTACTATGCCTAAGGAAAATAACGTCTTCCCTTTTATAGGTTCTAGATGATTTCGACGAGTGGGACATCAAAGCTCGCAACATCCTTATATAAGAAGGTATCAAACACTAGCCCTGTCATAATGAAGAATTCAACTCCCCCAACATCCTATTGAATTTATAGTAATTAAAAACATAGGTTGAAGAGTTAACCACATCAGTTTTGCTATCTATGCTGCCAAGTGGATCATCATTATGCACAAGTCCATCATCTCAAAATTTGGTATGCCCAAGCACTTTGCTACCTCCTCACATTGAAAAGATATTGGTGGCTTATTCACATGTTATATTTTATGTTTTTCAAAAGAAATTTGTAACGAAAATAATTATTACTATTGTAACTGAAATAATTATTACAATTGTAATGAAAATAATTATTGCTATTGTAACTGAAATAATTATTACTGTTGTGACGAAAATACTTATTGTTATTTTATTACATGATTTGAAAATGTTTAAATTAATTATCATAAAATTTGTAATTAAAATGACTTTCTATTTTTGGCCTATATAAAATCTTCTTGGTTATGATGAAAAAAACAAAACAAAACAACAATTTTCTCTTTATTATTCACTTCATCATACATATATTAAGAGCAAATATCTACATCATTTTTCATGCTTCCCACGGTGATTAGTGCAGATTACTATGAATAATCAGTTAAATTCTGGGAGTTAGACCGTTGTATGATTTTTTTTTTACTATGAATTTCCTCCATATTTTAAGCTCCTCCATCTTCACTTATGTTGATGACAACTCCTACTTCATTAATGAAATAAATCCTTCTTTGCTACCAATTTGGACTTCAACTTGATAGCCCTTGGTATCAACTACTTTATCACTTTCTTTTATCGTGTATGTTTCTTGGCATAAGTTCTGACACCTAACGGTGACCAACTTTAATGGTTGTCAAATGCTTTCAACATCAAATATGTTCCCAACAATCATGCTGGCAATGACAATAAGGGCACTATCATACCCAAGGAAAATAACTCCTTGCCTTCTATAGGTTCTAGATGACTTCGATGAGTGAGATGGGATTCCAAAGCTCCCAACATCCTTATATAGGAGGGCATCAGTCACTAGCCTCGTCATAATGAAGAATTCAACTCCCCTAACACCCTGTTGAATTCATAGTAACTAATAACATCGGTTGAAGAGTTAATCACATCGGTTTGCCATTTCTGCTACAAAGTGGGTCGTTATCATGCACAAGTCCATCATCTCAAATTTTGGCGTGCCCTAGCACTTTGCTACCTCTAGTCATTGATAAGATATTTGTGGCTTCCTCACACAACTTACTTGAGAACTTGTCAATACTTGAGCTTTAGTTGACACCACTGTTATCGTTGCTTTTGTTGTTATTATTACTATTATCATCATCAGTGGGACAATGCCTCATTCGGTCATTATTGTAATGTTTGACACTCAAGAGATGATATTTCCAAAGCCACCCCCGAATCAACACTTATTACAATATACTATCCAACATTAACGACATTCATTGCCTTCTTCCTCCTTGTAGTTTCCATTATTTATGTTGTTGGCCGCTTGGGTGCTTGACAAATTTGAATGCTATAATGCGATGACTAAGATCTTTTAGAAGCAATATAACCCTTGTTGTGTCTCAATCGATGATCATAAACTCCATATTAGCCTTGAAGGGGATGACATCCATGTTTCTTAATTCTTATCACAAGGATGATTGGCTTTCTCAACAAGTTTCATTTTCTTGTTTCTAAAGAGAATAAAAAGCATAAATTCTACTCTTTCACAAAGTAATAAATGCTTTGCCATAAACCATGTACTTAAAGAGTGATAATTACTTTGCCATCAATCATGTGAACCTATGATATTGGAAAAGGTGCATGATGCCCCAAAACAGGAGCATAGTTATTAGAGAGATTATTATGTGTGAAGATCAAATTCAGAGAATCGTTCGATTTAGTGAATCATTTGGTTGTCTCTATGAACAATAAAAACGCAACAGTAAACATTAAAAGCGCGGAGATAAAATCGAACGAGTTTCAGTTTCCGACATCCGCACGTAATAATCTCTCTAGTTATTGGACATCAGCAGCATAAGGATCAATTCACTTTATATAAGTAGATTCATCATCTCCATGCCTAAGGGGAGTCAAAGCCTAATTCTCAAAGCAATAGAGCAGACAAAGAACCATTCAGGTATTTAAATGTGAGGGCGACTGTGGAAAAAATTATTATAAAAAGACTGTAAATTAAAATAATCTTCAAAATAACTTAAAATGTCTTTTACGTGACACCCACCTAAAATTACTTTATTTGCACTCGTCAAAAAGCAGTTTTACATAAACAAAAGAAGCACGACCTCTATACAAATATTTTTCATTTTCAACCTTCCCGCGCTGCCAACTCATCATCCTCGCGGCCCGCTCGCCGAGATTCAGCACTGTCACCATCTTTTTTGGAATAAAATAAAATAATAATAACAATATAATACAACAGATCTACAAATAATCACGTGGGTCAGCCGAAGCTTTGAGCCAGTTCCCACCAGAGGAGGGCCCACCAGGCACTTACGCCCACCGCACCAAGGAATCCAGGTTAGCCTGGCTCGGCCGCGGCCGCAGTCGCCACCGCCGCCGCCATGACCGCCGGTCGAGCTTAGCTTCCAGAGCTCGTAGTACGTTCCAAGAAGCATCGCCGGAAACTATGCCACGAGGATTAAAAAGTAGAGCTCGCCGAATTGAGGGATCCCATAGCCGGCGTTGAATAGCGGAAAGGTTGGTGGCGGCGATGCGGTCGAGAACGCTCTCGAGGCTGGCCACGTCGCGCTCGGCGACGGTCAACGAGATCTCCGGCCACGGCACGGCATCAGGGAACGGGAGACGGATACCGTCGGCGATGATCACCGGTATGCAGCCGAGCGCTACGGATTCGACGAGCCGAGGACTCCATGGGGCCCACCCCAGCGGACATAGGCAGAACACAGATCGCGCAATCTCTGATTGGTAGCCGTCGAAGCGGTGGCGCCGGAGATAGAACCGCCTGTTGCCGCCGTACCTGTTCCAGATCTCCGTCCGCACCTTCCTGTATTATATAACGCCAATAATTAGACAATTATATGCAAAAGATCGGTTTTTTGTGAGCTGGAAAGCTGTTTACCGGCTATAGAAACGGCCGCTGATGTTCTTTGGATGGACCTCCATCTTGCCACGGAAGAAGACGAAGATGTCCCGCTTTGCGGTCTCAGGCGCCGGCCACCGGTTAGTTCCCAGCGAGATGTACGGCGGAATAACCACATGTTCCGCCTCCTGGCACGGGTGAGGCGATTTCATGCCGAAGGTCTGAAGCAGAATGGAGTTTTTCAGAAACTCTGGTATCCCATCAGCGATAGCCACGTCCTCCTGTTGCCCACAAAGAACATCGCAAGCTCATTAGTAAATTCTGTGTGCATCAGAGATAGATAGGGATCTATATACACTCCCTGGAAAACTGTAAACTTCAACTTGATGGATAGACTAATTCGTAACGCAGTTGCAGCACGAGAGAGAAAGTATACCAGATACAAACAGGAAGAAAAGATCCAGTTATATAAGAAAAAGAGGAAGAAAATTGCGATTTTTTATGATGAAAGGGGATTACCATGGCGTGGAAGCAAGCTCCATAGTCGTGGGAAGCAACAAAGATGTGATCGACGCCTGTAGAGCGGTTCCAGAAAGGAAAGTTCCTGGAGATGAGATCGACAGCGGAGGAAAGGAGAGGGCGAGCATGGTGGAGGGAGGGGAAACCGTTGATCGTTGAGAAGTTGCAGGAGACATAGACTGGGACGAAGAAGTAGTCGGCTTCAAGAGGGTTAACGGCGCGAACAGAGGAGTGGATTAGAGCCTCATGGAAAGCGACCTCGGCAGCGAAGAGGTGGGTCGCACAGCGTGGATTCGAGAGCCATACTCGATTGAACTCCGGCGGGAGGTCGTAGACGTAGATCTTCAGTGAGGGGGAAGAAGAAGAGGAGGACGTGGGGGATTGAGAGAGGGCGCGACGGGAGATAGGGGAAGGGAGGAAGGAGGAGGGGGTGGAGGAGGAGAGGAAGAGATAGACGGATAGAAAGAGCCAGAGGACCCAGCGGTAGTATTTCCTTAGAAGTTGATGGTAAAGGTGCGATTTTTCAGAGTTGCTCCGGCGATAGAGCATCTGCTTCATTTGAGCGGTGGTTGCGGTGGAATGATGGAGTGGAGGGGAGGTGGATTTGGCCATATAGGGCTCTGGGTTGGGCTCTGGTTGGCAGAGAAGGTGGAATAGGGCTATCAGAATGGTGGAGTAGGAATTAGAGTAGAGAAGAAGGGAATTGACGCAAGGACAACCGCATATTTTTTCCTCTGGAGTAATTTATTATATAACGCTTCTTCTAAGTTTTAAAATAATATTTTTTAAATATAGGTTTATAACATATTAGACATAAATGTGATAAAAGCTGTTAAGAATTATCATTATTATATTTAAATATATATAAATAATTGTTAAGAATTAAAGAAAATGGTGCTCCCCCTCTCCATTCTCTTTGACTAATGTCACCTAATTACTTTATTCAAAATCAAATTCATCATCATCATCATTAATAATATGGGTGCATACTATCAATAATAATTTTGACTCTAACTTCAACATTAAGAATGTGAGGAACATCACTAAGGATTTGTTTAGAATGACTTTTTTTATTCCTTCTTAAATTAACTTTTTAGTAAAAAATTTAAAAATTTTGTATACTAGAAAGCTGCTTTTAGAAGAAGTAAAAAAGTCGTCCCAAACAAAGTCTAAAGCAACAAGCAAATGGCTTATTACATATGATTCCTTGTCATGGGGTTTTCCAAACTTCAACCGTGTTATTTAACTAGGGGCGGAACCCGCCTTAATTTTCAAGGGGGGCAAAAACTTATAAGTAATTGTTGGTGTTGCCTCAAATTTGGCTCAACCATTCATTATAAACAAATGGGTCAATAGTGACCCATATTTGTTCATATATTTGATCGTTGTACGTTTCACAGATATATTGGGGATCCAAAGGGGAGTGCCCCTATAAGGGTTTTTAGGGGCAGCGTCTCCGGAACAAAATTTAGTTGTAAGGATATTTTTGGAATTCAAATTAATAAATAAAATGATGAATTCTATTTACTATTTGGTGGTGGCAATTGCCTAAATACTATGTTATTTAAAAAACTTGAATAAATTTTTAAGATTACAAACATTCTTATGATTAACATAAATTTTGACAATATAAAAATTTTAAGGCACCGCAGCAATTCCAAATAAAAACTCTAATCTATATAAAATTGGTTTGCTCCTTATTGATTAAGGTTTCGTTAGAGTCAATTTTTTCTACTATTTTTTAAGCACAAAATATTAAAATATTTTAACTATAATATTTTGTATTGAATAATTACTTTAGAAATTTATTTTAAGAAAACTATCTCAAATGAAATATTAATATGTCTAGAATCATATTAGTTGGCTCCATACATTTTTATATACTCACATGTGTTGCATTATATTTTTCATTTTGCTGAATGCCATGCGATATTCCTTCTTGGTTGCCTAAGTTTAACCAACTATACCTAATGTAAGCAAACACTTAGAAAATTTGACCAAGAAAAGTCCTGAGTTGTTGATGTCGATTAAGAGGTGTCGAATTCGTCTTACAAGTAAATAAAAGAACAAGTAATATTTAGCTCATATTGATCTGTTGGTTGGAAGCTTTGGTTATTAATCAATATATTTTGAATTCGTAGTTTACGTATAGAATAATTCATCATATATAATGTATGACGAAATTAAAGTTTCGTTTGGCCCAACTTTCGTACTACTTTCTAAAACGACTTTTTAGTACAAAAAATTTTCATTCTAGAAATTTTATACTAAAAAGTTGTTTTAGAAAGTAACCAAAAAAAAAAAACTGTCACAAATAAAACCTAACTGAATGATGCATAGTTGAATACTCTTTGGGCCTTTATATAAATTTATGATGTTAAATTGGGATGTCGCTGTTGATGGGCCTTAAATTTTACTAGAAATTCGTCTTTGGAGGATAATTGCCTTAATTGCAAGCTATAATAGATTTTTTTTGTTACTTATTACAGTTTTAGTCTTCGTTTGGGACGATTTTTTTATTGCTTCTTAAAACAAAATTCTAGTTAAAAAATTAAATTATTATAGCAGAAAGCTGTTTTAAGAAGCAGTATGAAAGTCGTCCTAAATGAAATCTTAATCGCAACTGCGGTGAGTTGCATCTTAGGGCGATGCCTCTTTTATTCACCTTTCAGATTGATGAGTTGCTCTAAATTATAGCAAGAAAAAAAAAATCTAATTCCATTTCCCCAAGTTAACATACATACTAATAAAAATTAATAGCATTATGTTAACTCTTATGAGATTTAAATGCTCATATGAGTTAGAGGCAGATATTGCCAAATCAACTTTCATAGCAAATCACATTCATATGGTATGTTGAATAAAATTAATTTGATATATGCTTCCAATTTTTGTATTAGAAGCATGCTTTAAAAAGCAGTAAGAAAGTCATCCCAAACAAAGCCTTCATTTGAGATAGCTTTCTTCATGCTTTCTACCACAAGATTTATTGGAAGCTGTAAAAAAGTTGCGGTCAAAGTTGTCACAAATGAAACCTTAATAAAAAAAGGCAGATGGGACTTGGGCTTTGTTTGGGAAGGCATTTTTTTAATGCTTCTAAAGTAGATTTTTAGTATAAAAAATTTAAGTTCAAGAAACTTTTGTACTAAAAAAAGCTTTAAAAACAGTAAGATAATCATCCCAAATGAATCCTTAATGTATACTAGACTAATATGTAATAGGAGTTAATACAAATCTATTACCAAATATTCAAACGTTAATTAAAAAAATATTAATGATACTTGTTGCATGCGAGAATATACGCGGCGGTAGAGTTTGTAAATTCGCGTCCTAGCGTTGCACGAGTATTTCACACACAAACAGAAAAGAGAAAGTGAACACCAAGGTTTTTACGTGGAAAACCCCAAAAGGGAAAAAAATCACGGGGCCTCGCCCAGTTGTAAAGTTTCACTAGTGATTTAACAGATTACAGATGACTGATTCGTCCCACAAGTTGGGATAATCATAATACAATTTGTTTCTCCCAGGAAGTTTACAAAATTATGCGAATTCCTGGCGTTTCCTGAAAATCCGGCCGAGTTCCGGCGTCTTCAGGCGGCAGGAAGAGCTCCGGCGGCGGTGGTCGAGGAGGTGAGGAATCTCCTATTCCCCTTTCTCCTTCTCCTTCTCTTCTTCTGCGAATTCTTGGCGTTTCCTGAAAATCCGGCAGAGTTCCGGCGTCTTCAGGCGGCAGGAAGAGCTCCGGCGGCGGTGGTCGAGGAGGTGAGAAATCTCCTATTCCCCTTTCTCCTTCTCCTTCTCTTCTTCTTCTCTCTCTTCACCTCCCTCCCTTTGGTGTAGAATGAGGGCTCTATTTATAGTTTTTCTGGAGTGGCATAGCCCGTAAATAGGCGTGAGATCAAGGGCAAACAGGGAGTGGTTTGAATGGACGGCCGATATCGAATCCTTTGATCATGCACCGTTCGTTGGACATTTGAAGAACTTAATGATGTCGGAATTCGATGATCTTGGGCTTGTTGGATTCGTCTCGTCAAGCCGTTCGATTCGAGTATAAGCTCGTCAAAATCGAAGAGCGTTTGGTAACTCAAATTGCAGTTTGAATCTTCCAACAGCGCTTTGAACCCATGATTCAGACTAATTTGGGCTCGGATTGGATTGATCTTGGTGTCGTTGGGTTCGTATTTCCGAGACGCTCGGTTTGACTATAAGATTGCTAAAATCGGAGTTCATATGCTCCCGGAATTAATTTTTTAAGTTTCCGCATTGATTTTGCCTCGAGATTCGTGCCCAATCAAGATTATTTTGTGATGACGTATCAGTTGCCCCCCTATTTTCGGACGTTGAAGCTTCAGGAGTCCGAAAATATGTGTCACAAATTTTTAAAGAATTTTCGGGAGTGACTCAGAATTTATCTTGTGTGTAGGAGGTCCGAACGGCCCCGAAAGTGCCGAAATCGAGTTCGGAGCGTCGAAAAACGTATCCGGCGACCCCAAAAACGTCCGATTTGGTCTTCCCTGGGCGAAAAACGGGCCGAAATGGGCCAGGTGACCGAACCGGCCGGACCGGCCACCGCCGCCGCTGGCCTTCGTTTGAGACTGCCATTTATTGATTCTTAAAATGAAGTTTTAGTACAAAAAATTAAAAAATTTTGTACTAAAACTTTATTTTAAGGAGCAATAAAAAAGCTGTCCGAAATAAAGCCGAAGAGATGAGTTTCCCTCATGCTTATCTTAGTTATATGTTTCTTTATCTTATGTTTTTCTAATTTCATCTATATTTGTATTATGTGGATGCATTTTATATGTATGCATTTGTAGTAAAAAGAGTTTTGAGATGAATATGTTCTCAATGTTGCATCAATCATTGTGGATGTTCAAAACCATATTACCAAAATTTAATTGCAAATTATCTAAAATTGGTTATGTTGCACACTTATCAAATTCCCTAAGCCAAATTATATGGGGCAAGTTCCCGAGAGCATGGATTTTTAATCTTATGTTTCATTTAGGACGGCTTTCTTACTGCTTCTTAAAGCAGTTTTCTAATAAAAAAATTACTTTTTATACTAAATAGCTGCTTTAAGAAACAGTAAGAAAGCTGTCCCAAATGAAATCTTATTTAAACACCCTATTTTACGATCAAACCCTCATAGTGTCTGATTTTAGATCATTAATACTTAGGCTTCGTTTGTTACGGCTTTTTTATTACTTCTTGAAGCAGTTTTTTAGTATAAAAATTAAAATTTTTGTACTAGAAAGCTGCTTCAAGAAGCAGTAAAAAAGCTGTTCCAAACGAAACCTTAGTGTTTATGTTTACCGCACCTCTCAAGATGTTAAAAGGATCATATTGTTAGAGCTATAAAGTTTTATCAGATATAATGTGATGAGAGAGACACATAATTAAATGCAAAAAATATATTGCTTACATTTTAATAACAAATCATTTAATTGAGTGGTATTTTTTTTATCTCTAATATATAAGGTATTTTTTTTATCTCAAATATATAAAACCGTACTATTAATTCCTTACAAAAATTGTTGCAAGAATTTGATAATGCGCTTTGTCCTTGGAGCCCATTCACTGCACCATTCTAGTGTTAACTCAATGGATAAACTAAGGCTCGGTTTGGTATATTTTTCTTACTGTTTTTTGAAGCTGTTTTTTAATACTAAATTTTTTTAAAGCAACAAAAAAATTTGATCAAAAGATGTCACAAATGAGAGAAATTATTGTGTGCGAAATCCGAATGCATTCGGATTCCAATCACAGCTTGCCACGTCAGCAGATGAACTCCGGGGCCCAGTGCATCCAGTGACGTGGCGCATGGTGATTGGAATCTGAATGCATTCGGATTCCGCACACCACTGCCTCTACCCACTGTCGACCATCGCTGCCACCACCTCCATCTGCTGCCGACCACTGCCATCACCACCTTCACCCTCCGCCGATCATAGCTGTCAACAGTCAATGACCACCACCCTTTTTGCACTTTACTTTACATTCATTTTACTTCAAAAGTCTCTAATCTCATGCATATCCTTTACACTCATCAAAACAACTCCAACAAATTCAAAAGTTCCACTAGTGATTTTGCAGATTACAGATGACTGATTCGTCCCACAAGTTGGGATAATCAGAATACAATTTGTTTCTCCCAGGAAGTTTACAAAATTCTGCGAATTCCTGGCGTTTCCTGAAAATCCTGCCGAGTTTCGGCGTCTTCAAGCGGCAGAAAGAGCTCCGGCGGCGGTGGTCGAGGAGGTGAGGAATCTCCTATTCCCCTTTCTCCTTCTCCTTCTCTTCTTCTTCTCTCTCTTCACCTCCCTCCCTTTGGTGTAGAATGAGGGCTCTATTTATAGTTTTTCTGGAGTGGCATAGCCCGTAAATAGGCGTGAGATCAAGGGCAAACAGGGAGTGGTTTGAATGGACGGCCGATATCGAATCCTTTGATCATGCACCGTTCGTTGGACATTTGAAGGCCTTAATGATGTCGGAATTCGATGATCTTGGGCTCGTTGGATTCGTCTCGTCAATCCGTTCGATTCGAGTATAAGCTCGTCAAAATCGAAGAGCGTTTGGTAACTCAAATTGCAGTTTGAATCTTCCAACAGCGCTTTGAACCCATGATTCGGACTCATTTGGGCTCGGATTGGATTGATCTTGGTGTCGTTGGGTTCGTATTTCCGAGACGCTCGGTTTGACTGTAAGATTGCTGAAATCGGAGTTCATATGCTCCCGAAATTAATTTTTGAAGTTTCCGCATTGATTTTGCCTCGAGATTCGTGCCCAATCAAGATTATTTTGTGATGACGTATCAATACTCATTTGAAACTAAATATAAATGTTGATTTTGTCGAGCACACTTATCCGCTTGCCTAGGGACTTTGACTCTCCTATAAATTTATTTACCCGGGCCTTGTGGTATTTCATCACGACCTTATATTGAGATTTTTCTAATCCCATGCTTAAATTTACCTTCTACTTAGGCGGTCAAGAATACATTTTACCCTTCGTTTGAGACTGCCATTTATTGATTCTTAAAATGAAGTTTTAGTACAAAAAATTAAAAAATTTTGTACTAAAACTTTATTTTAAGGAGCAATAAAAAAGCTGTCCGAAATAAAGCCGAAGAGATGAGTTTCCCTCATGCTTATCTTAGTTATATGTTTCTTTATCTTATGTTTTTCTAATTTCATCTATATTTGTATTATGTGGATGCATTTTATATGTATGCATTTGTAGTAAAAAGAGTTTTGAGATGAATATGTTCTCAATGTTGCATCAATCATTGTGGATGTTCAAAACCATATTACCAAAATTTAATTGCAAATTATCTAAAATTGGTTATGTTGCACACTTATCAAATTCCCTAAGCCAAATTATATGGGGCAAGTTCCCGAGAGCATGGATTTTTAATCTTATGTTTCATTTAGGACGGCTTTCTTACTGCTTCTTAAAGCAGTTTTCTAATAAAAAAATTACTTTTTATACTAAATAGCTGCTTTAAGAAACAGTAAGAAAGCTGTCCCAAATGAAATCTTATTTAAACACCCTATTTTACGATCAAACCCTCATAGTGTCTGATTTTAGATCATTAATACTTAGGCTTCGTTTGTTACGGCTTTTTTATTACTTCTTGAAGCAGTTTTTTAGTATAAAAATTAAAATTTTTGTACTAGAAAGCTGCTTCAAGAAGCAGTAAAAAAGCTGTTCCAAACGAAACCTTAGTGTTTATGTTTACCGCACCTCTCAAGATGTTAAAAGGATCATATTGTTAGAGCTATAAAGTTTTATCAGATATAATGTGATGAGAGAGACACATAATTAAATGCAAAAAATATATTGCTTACATTTTAATAACAAATCATTTAATTGAGTGGTATTTTTTTTATCTCTAATATATAAGGTATTTTTTTTATCTCAAATATATAAAACCGTACTATTAATTCCTTACAAAAATTGTTGCAAGAATTTGATAATGCGCTTTGTCCTTGGAGCCCATTCACTGCACCATTCTAGTGTTAACTCAATGGATAAACTAAGGCTCGGTTTGGTATATTTTTCTTACTGTTTTTTGAAGCTGTTTTTTAATACTAAATTTTTTTAAAGCAACAAAAAAAATTTGATCAAAAGATGTCACAAATGAGAGAAATTATTGTGTGCGAAATCCGAATGCATTCGGATTCCAATCACAGCTTGCCACGTCAGCAGATGAACTCCGGGGCCCAGTGCATCCAGTGACGTGGCGCATGGTGATTGGAATCTGAATGCATTCGGATTCCGCACACCACTGCCTCTACCCACTGTCGACCATCGCTGCCACCACCTCCATCTGCTGCCGACCACTGCCATCACCACCTTCACCCTCCGCCGATCATAGCTGTCAACAGTCAATGACCACCACCCTTTTTGCACTTTACTTTACATTCATTTTACTTCAAAAGTCTCTAATCTCATGCATATCCTTTACACTCATCAAAACAACTCCAACAAATTCATTTTTCACTGTATTTTTTTTTTTTCAGACAATCAAATAGCCCTAAATTTGAATTAAAAGAATTGGGAGGAAAGTTGATCAAACTAATAACACAAATTAAAAGAATAAAAAATTAAATTAATTTTAAAATTTTACTTAACTACACTAAACGTTTTAACAGCTTAGATTTAATAAACCCGAATTTATGCTTGTTGCTAAATAGCCCGAAGAGGAAGAGATCGTCGAAACAGGCGAAGCTTTGCCGGCGCGAGGCTGCCGTTGTCTGGCGACTTGCTGTTGCAAGGCGGTAGCTTCTTGTGGTCTACGGTCGGTAGGTCAGCAAGATTGCAATAGAAGTTCAGCCTTGGGCAAGTTCACTACGGTGAGGAGGGAGTTCGCGAGGGCTTTCGACGACACTGGCGGAGAACTACAGAAGGTACTAAAAATTGCTTGATTAGGAGGCATTCCACTTGGAGGTAAAACTAAGGTTGTCGGCATTTAAAATGCCTCAAAATTACTTGACCTGTTTTACTTGGTCGAAAAATCCCCAAAAGAAGTAAAATTTCTGCAAACCTCTTGTTTGATTTTTTTTCGTTGCATGCAGTCAGAATTGATGCTGTGAGTGACTCCGTGACTGGTGGTTCATTACTAAAAAACTGTTGTTTTGTATCATAAGTTCTTTATGCTCTTGAACTTTGGGTTGATGGGTGACATTTCTTGAATTCAGTAAATGTTTCCTTGTTCCTGAGTGAAAAATACTGACTGATCTTTGATTTGTGATAGAAATTTCGTATATTTGAGTAATGCAGTTATTGTTTTTCTTTCTTGTAATCTATATCTATTGTGCGTTAAATTTGTTGCTCTGTGTATGCTATTTTGAGTATTTATAACGTTATTGACACGAGGGATTTGATTTATACCTAATGAAATCATGATAAAATATGATGTCAGGCCTTAAGTAGGCATTACCGGCAATTACTGCTTTACATTCGGGATTTGAGAATGTTCATCACTTAGTTTGTATGGATCTTTGCTTTTTACAGATAACTTGGTCTCGCATTTTTGGCTGGTAGAGAGACCTTGCTTTCATGCATATTCATCTTTTGCTCTTGAAGATATGCTAACTCATAACCTTTCTATAGTTATCTACACAAGGCTTTGAAGCTCATTTAATGTCCAAGAGGATTAACCTGACAAAAAATTGTGAGTGTCCAAGAGGATTAATATGGCAAGAAATTGATTGATGAGGAGAAGACTGAGAATGCAGTAATTGGTGGAGAAAATGGCCTAAAATGCTTGAGAAAAAGAGAGAGTGATGAAAAAAAAAGTAGATTGATAGACATCAAATTGTATGAGGTATAGAGTGACAACTCAACGAGGAAGATTGATCAATATTACAAAAACTTATTTAATGGTCATTGAGTAATTATGTAAAATATAGGCACATCTATCCTAATTTGATTGTATGGGTCTAATCATATATATCCTTCCTCCAAGGTATACATTTGTTGCGGGAACACTATAGAAGGAATTAAGGAAATAAAGATAACTTGTGCTATTCACACATTAAAATTCCATGATTGCTTGTTTTCGTTAGTTCACTGTATCTGATGATTTATGGAGATCAATAACTGAATGATTCTTGTGAGGAGTATTTGTTGAATTTGTTTGCCTTCATGATATTCACTTGTGCATGAAAAATTTCGGGCATTCTTGAGGCCTCCATGTTATAATTTGAACTTCGCAGATGGTGGCTTCAATTGTCAGATGTTAGTGGCAAAAGCCGCAGGCTCATTCTTGTAAATGCAACATTGTGGGACTTAACCAATCATTCCCATGTAGCAAGAGGTCTTGTTGACTCATACCCCTTTCGCTTATAATGTCCCCTAATTGTGGAAAATTTTGAGGTTATGTAAAATGCTAGCATTTTAACTGCTACATTTAAGGTAATTGGTCCAAGGATATCCCACTATTCTTAACATGAACCAGTTTTCAATTACCTTTGAAGAGCACCCTTTGTTATTGCTTTCATTAAGTGATGTTTTTTCATTAGAAGACTCAAGTTCTACCCATACTTGTCAATGACGAATGATGCACTTTGGTGTAAAGTTTTCTGTGGATCTATGACATATAGGGCAAAATGTGGTCGTGCTAAGTTAAACATGACGTATAATATAAGACAATTAAAAAATATTGATATGAAATGTTATTAAATTGAAATATAAACTATCACGATAATACAAATAAATAAAGTGATGCATAAGTTATAGTAACTAACACCTCAATCTCTCATTATAATACAAGTAACTAAAATGCTGCAACATCTCTTTCAAAAGTCTACTTCACGCGAAGCATATGAAGTTGAAGTAGTAATGAAGAAACAGAGACAAGGAAAATCAAACTGTCGATGGTCCTATGGCTCTAAGAAGAGCCTAGAGAAAGACTAAAGGGAAGAAAATTAGAGAAATAGACAGACAATGGTAGACAAGAGCTAGCCAAACTCCATTTACGGTTCTTTTTGAACTTTGTTTTTGCTCTTTTTTTTTTTTTGAGAATTAGCAGATTGGATAATAAGTAATTCAATTTATCATGTAGTTCAGGTTTTTATTTAGATATTAGAGATTAAATTTTTTTTTTTTGAGATTTTGTTTGTTTGAGAATTAATTAATTAATTAATAATTGATTGTGATATTAATATATAAATCATAATAAATTTAATTATAATTTATAATTTTGAATTTATAGTATGTTTAAAAATTGCACATGCTATTTGGGCATTGCGCCATGCGTTATTTCTTATACATGGCGCAAATAGTAATCTTTCTTTTGAATATCTATGTTGGACCAAGCAAATAGCGTCATATGTGCCCTGTGATGTGTTGTATCGTGTGCTATGATGCATGTTATTTTGCGCCATTGACATATATGCTTGTACCTATTGATAATTATATAAGGTAAAAGCTTTGATCACTATTACAATTTAGAGACACAATAGTACTTCCTAGACTTTTAGGTTCAATGTTTGTGAGAGAGTTTCATGTTGTAGTTTGATTTGAAATTGAACGCTCTTTAAGGCTATGATTCAGAGTGAGTGAATGATTTGTGAAAGAATTTCAAACTTGTTTTTATGTAGCATATAGGCTTGTGTGTTTTGAGAGATGGTCCTAATGATAGGAGACTACATCGAATTAAAACTAGTTTGATTGGTGAGGATGGATCATTGGATCTGTTTCCACATGCTTTCAAATCAATGAAATACAAACTAGTTACACATATGTCTGTCTTTTGGGTTCTTCATAGAAATAAGATCATATCTCAAAAAGATAGATTTCAATTCTTATGAACTATAAAAATAAAAATATATATAATTTGAGTATGCTAAAGATTTTCTCTATTCAATATGTGATGTCGAATATGATTTATTTTATCATGGGTAAATTGTTTCCCATAAGCATAAGCTCCTATAGTTAATTATATTTTTGGCATGATGCCCAATAATACTTTTGATTAAGAATTTATATTTGTTTCTCTTTGGGGCTTGGCACAAAAGATTTTCTAGACAATGCTCGTTATTCTAATAGAAGAAAGGGTCAAATGGCTATCCACATGAATGGTTATAATACAATCAAACATTTGATGGTCAGAGCAGAAGAGTGATATCATACAAAATAAGCAAGCATTGTATATATTAGTTGAACATATGAAGAGATATCATTGAGTGACGTGAATTTGTGGGTATTGTTGGCTTAAAAATAAGAAATTGCCCAATGATAAGAGGTAAAACATACTAAATTCAATGATAGCCTCGAACCCAGATCTAAGGCAGTAACTAAAAATACCACTAATCTATGACCGCTAGCCTAAGTCTAATGCAGACATCACGATGGGGCTTAAAATTTAAAACCCTACAATGAGCTAAGAAATTTAATGACATGGCATTATGATCTTACATGGATGGGGCAATTATCTAGACCCACCTAATCGCATTTAAGTCATGACATCTAGTTTATATGCATATGCAAGATAGGATCTGATGAGGTCATCGATACAAATCAAATATCGCGACTTTCTTCTAATCTACTTGACTTTGATGTATGATGAAATAATTCGTGGAAGCTAATATTTGATTATCTTTTAAAGTTCTTGTGTAACTCTCAAACGCATCACATCAGGATCTCTATGAAACATAGGAAAGGGTCGTGCAACCTTGAACTGAAGAAAAGGCAGTGCGATCATGAATATGTATATGACATGTTATAGGCAAATATTATTTTAATCATCTACTTCTTAATGAGTTTCAAAAAGTAATGTTATATGTGGATTGGTAGGGCTATGTCTATGAATGTGTTTGGATGATGTTTTCATTGACTTTGAGAAGAATGCTTTTTGATGAATAGGATAGTCAATTAAAAATTAAGCTATCATTTGTGGTTCATCAAAGGAGTTAAGATTGATTATTTTTAAAAGTAGTGGCTTAGAGAAAAGCCATATTTTTTATTTTAAAGAAAATCATTCATCTATGATTTTCTTTAAATTGCTTAATTGATAGGGTAGAAATATTTAACATTATAAGAGCCTAATAAAAGTACCTTCAAGCCAATCATATCAAAGGCACAAAAAAGAAAAAAACTTGAAAAAAAGGCATCTTAATGCACAATTATTTAAACAATCAAACTAAATTATATATACATGAATAGATAATGTCATGAAAATGTAGTTGAGTTTCGCCATAACCATGTGGGGTTGTGAAAGGCCTTATCTAGATCATATATGTTATCTTTGCTACTAAAATGACCCATATACCTACATGGATTTCATAGAATAAAAATGCATAAGAAAAGAAAAATATAAAGCCACCCTTATAAAATATAATATTTGCATAGGAATAAACATGTGTTTTTATTTGATTTGGCATAACATTATGCCAAGTAGATCAGCAAGTAGTGCTTTCGAAGGCACTACGAAATAAGCAACTACACAAAAGTATATATCTACAATAATTCACATAAACAATGCCAGTTAATACGACGTAACCCATGCCAAATCATCAATTTGCGAGCAAGAGAAAAGAAAAGTAACCCTAACTATACTCTAATCTTAGGGTGCCTAAGGGTGTGCTTATTGTACATCCTATGTGTGCTAAGTTAGTGATTATGTCTACTTAAACAAATGTGTGATACTTAATTTGTGAACCTTTGATTAGGGATTCTTAGGTTTAGTAACCAAGGTTGTTATCAAAAACACCCTTTGATCGCCAAGATGACCAGAGGGCGAGGGTTACCTAAAGATCCTATAATCTTTTGATATACTTATCATTTTGATTGGGATTTTAGGGTATTCTAAATCTAAATGGCCAAAGCCTATGCATACATGAGTGAGGTAATAGTGATGTAGCATCAAGATATATGCCAAGAACAAGATCATAAACCAAAGCCCAATATCAAGATTTGGGCAATTCATCATGCACAACTCTCCATACATGCCCATAAACGTTCCATAATACTCTTAAAATCATGGGTGGATAATAAAAAAATTTAATTTAGTGCCCCTTGATGTGTAGGTGGGCCATACCAGTCAAGATAATAAAGATCTTCATAAATTAATTGATATCAATGTCAGTCTACTTACTTTATTTGGCCAATTTGAATTTCCATGTATTTGGAAGCTTTTAATTTAAATTTTCCTTTTATTTTATTTCCCTTTATAGTAGAATATGTTATCAATCAACGGAATAATATTTTATTGGCTCCTAAGTCTTTCCAAAGTTGTCTAGGCTCTAAAATGTCCATAAATGAGATATTGCTTTGTACTTTTTGATTAATTGAATAAAAACTATATTTGCAAGTGAAAATTTCATGTGAAAAACTTTAGTGGCTGCTCTACTCATTGGTGAAGCTTGGTGGCTAATCCCTAAGGCCTTTGTGAGTATTTACTTATCTCTTCTTGCCTTTATTCCCCCTCTTTCTCAATAAATTTTTTATGGCCTCCATTTAACCTCAAGCACTAATCCAAAATATCATAATTCAACCACTAATCCAAAATTCATAAAAACACAACCATAAGTTTCTTAACATCCCAAACCTTTGATATGGAGTTTCTCCTTTTTTTTTTCTTTGTGGAAAACCCATATTTTTAGAGCTTAAAATTTTTAGCTCCAAATCTGTCCAAAAATTTGGATTCTATTTTATCACCATCCAAGTAACACTTCCATCCATCACAGCCCTAAGGGGACACAAAACAAGTTGTTGCCTTTGCCATAAAGATCCTATAGACCTTATACTAGGTGGTATGAGCTTAATAGGGTGGTCTATTGATGGGCATAATGGGGTTTATTTGGTACTCATAGTCTATGCAAAAGGAGTAGCGATTTGATTTAGATTACAAGTGTAATATGAGGTCGTCAGCCTAGGTTCAATGACAAAACATGTTTTGTACAAAGTGGGATCACTTATACCCACAAGCTGGAATAGAGCGTCCAAGTTGTTAATTGCTTTTATAGGTGGACAATGGCATATCATATGTAATGTGTGTGCTTCCATTGAATGCAATTATGAGATGGTCTATGGTACAAAATTTTTTACCTCAGTTGGAGCTACGCCTAAGAACCAAGTACACCTAAGAACCAAAACTTATAATGGCTTTGCTATGTCAAGCAAGATCAATAATACATCATGTGTTTAGCTATTGAACGTGTCAACGTTAAAGTCATCGGGTTGGAAGACATTGATAGGGGATTCAAAGGTCGTCGAGTTGCCAGCTACAAGTCACCGACAACTCAGTAATGATCTGAGGCTTCTAAGCTCAAGAAACTTGGCGATAAAGTGAGTGTAAAGGTCAACTTTTCATGGGTAAGAACTTGCTACAATCAGAACTCGACAACAATGTGAACCATCGGCTATATAGTGGATGAGGTGGGAGATGTCGGCCTAAGGACAACTAGGAGAAATTGCTACTTTGGGAAAGTTAAGATGCCGCATTGCAATAGGTCATGATTTTCCTTAATTTGGGATGACCATGTCGCCTTCTTGAGCTGACGACTTTTCCTTGTCAAAGATGCCAATTACTCCGAAGGTAACTTAGTGGAAAATTTAATTTGGAGTATGATTTGTTGATGTCCTTGACAAGTCTTTAATGAACAAAGAAGGGAGGAGGCTTGAAGTTGCATCCATTAATGGCCGAGGATGATTTTAAGAAGTTGTTGACCCCTCTTTGGTTTCCTCATTAAGGGGCGACTAGAGAAGGTTGTCGAGTGTCTGTTATGTGATGACCCAATAGAATCATTAATGGGGTTGAAAATTGAGAATTAAGGAGGTTTTTTTTTTGTAGAAAATTACCATTTATGGAGCTTTGATCGTAAGGTAAACAAAGTTCTCGGGAGCCTTTTTTTAGTAAGCAAGGAGGTATTGGAAATGGAGGTTGCTGATATCTTAGATGGCGATGATGAAGGATCAAGGCAAGTAATCTTGAGTTTTAAGATATTCTCACACTAAAAGTTTTGAACATCCAAAATTTCTCACCCTATGGCTTTTGAAATGGGTGTTATTTATATGCTTGAAGAAAGTTGGTGGTTTTTATGCTTGTGCTTGCAAGCGCCTCCAACAATGAGATGGCCACTGAATGCCTTTGGCTACTTTATGTTTGATTTTGGCAAAACCATGGACATGCTTTCCTATTCTTTCAAAAGGAAAGATTGTAGGATGCCACAGCTGGAGGTGTGCGAGACAAGGATGACATCAAAGAAATGACATATACCTCGAGCATAACAATATTGAAAAGCTGATTTTATGAAAATTTTTTATGGCCTCATAAGGGACTTGTGAAAATTTGTGTATGCTAATGGTGACAATGAAATCTGTCAAAGGCGACATGTAATACAATTTAAGGGTCATGATGAGAGTCGGATGCCAATAACTAAGGCTGATGATGAACTTAACTCGAAGATCGAAAGAGGAATTCGAGAACAAGGTCGAGTAGGAGCTAAATGACAAAGTAAAGAGTGAGCTTTGCTCAAAGGCCGAGAAGGAGAACTCGACAATGAGGTAGAGTAGTAACTTGACTTAGATGTCAGGAAGGAAAGTTGTTAGCTCAAAGTCGAGAAGGAAGTCATCGGCCAAAGGCCAAGAAGGGCATCAATGGAGACTAGGGAGCCATTCACTAATTGAAAATGGAAACTTACCTACAAGTAGTAGGGCAACAAAGGATCCATTGAATAACAAGTCAGCTTAATGATACCTCACCAAATGTCTAAAAGGAGTCTCTGGATCACCTAAATAGGGTCTAGGCTAAGTCTACCTCATACTTGGATGTTAAAGACAACGGTGGAAAATTGAGTCTTAGGGCTCAATGTCTAATCTGATTAGGAATAGAATTGAGCCACCCTCTCAAGGGCCTTTAAGAAGGAGAACCTTGGATAGGCCTTCGATGATTAAGTGTAGTCTAAGGACAGGTCCGGTTATGGAAGAAGTTGGACTTAAGAATGACTTAAGTTGGGCTTGAGTCAAGTGTGAGTTGGCCAAGCCACGTAAGGTCATGGGAGTCTAGAAGGCATGGGTTACCATGGTCTAGCCAAAGCCAAGGTCAACAAGGATTTGATGAATTTAGCTTTGCTTTGGGTTGTCTAAAGTTATTTCAACTCATTCTTCTTGTGCTTCTGTGGCCTTTCCCTGGGATCTACTGTATTTGGTTTGAAGTCAATTGAGAAGGATGCGAATTTGTGGTAGGGCTCATTGGATTGCTTAAAGTTAGAAAATATTTTTGTTTTGTAAATTCCTTTTTTAGCTGGATATGTTTTGAAATCAAAATGGGTTCTTTTACAAATACTGTCAAAATCCGTAAAATGTGAGGATTTTATTTTCATACAGAAAATGAGTGAAAATGAAATAATGATTTCTTAAAACTCAATTGTCTTTCTATGGGCAGCCAATGAGTCCTTAGTGGAATTGAATTAACAGAGATTTAACTGATTTACTTAATGAACTGGGCATTGCAGGAATAATGAAACCTACCTTAGTCCTTTCTTGAATCAGCATCCATGGGAAGCCTCATGCATTTGGTTTGTGCTTTTAATCAATTGATTGAAGAAACATAAAAATTTAATCGTGAAGCAATTTTTGTGCCCCAAACATCATTGAAGAAGCTTTATCTTAAACAGGCCCTGTGATATTAGACGTATTTCTTAGGATTAAGGCTAGCAATTCCATATTTTGTTTTTCCGTTTCTGTTAGAGACTGGATCTTTATAAATAGTATTTGTTCTGTTTAAGTTCTTTTTCTTATGGTACTTCATTTGCTGTTTTTCTAGAGCTGCTGTTTGCTTTCCATCTTAGTCTGGCTTCTAGAAAATATGTAATACATTGAAATAAAAACCAAGTTTTTATTCTTCCCATTCTTTAAGAAGCTTTCATGTGATTGGACTTCTGTAATCGTGGATGGCTTTTGTAATTAAATTGCCTTATTTCCCTTTTTACGTTTGTACTAGTTCTTCTTACAAGTGTCTTTTAACTGCAGAAGATCTTTTAACTTCTTATATAATACCCATTGATGATGATTGTTTATTAAACACAGAAGATCATTTATTCAGTATGGTAATTTTGGGAAACAAATATTTTTCTGTAGGATGTATCCTTCTAGATTTAAAAGAATGAAGTTCGATCCAGAAATCATGGATTTCTCCGACCCCTTTGCAATAGCCAGATATATTGATGAGTTGAATGAGGAGAGGTATGGGAGTATCACTAAAGAATATGAAGAAATTCATGCTTTGAGGATGAAGTTTATAAATCTTTTACCTCCCTATCTTATCAAGCCTTGTTCTAAGTCAGAGCCTCAGCCATTGCAAACCTCCCTTACTGCTAATGGTCAGCCATCTGGTTTATTCCAAAAAGTAGATTTGACACAGCATGGTAGAATATCATCGGCGGGGGATGTCATTGATGTGGATAGCGATTCTGATGCCGATGGTGTGAATCCTACCTTCACCCAGTCTTATCAATATGAGAAGCAGTTTTATACGCCAGTCGTTGTAAGGCAGCCGCCTTCTATTCAGTATGAGAAGGTTTCTTTTGGAGAAAAAGTTGACGTCCAGGTCAACAAAAGTCCTAAGGTGAGGCATATTTTTAACCCTTCTGCATTAGTTGCAATATGCAAGCACAGCCAAAATGGTACCTTTTGCTTTCTGTCCAATTTGAATTTGTTGGTTTTAATTATGACAATTTTTTAACTTCAATTATAACTAACTATTTTATTACTTATCGAACTAGTTTACATTTTCAACATCAAAATTTTCTAGTTTTGTCATATGCTGTAGATGGTAATTGATTCATTTTTCCATGAACATCACTATCTTTGTCTTCAATTATAGTCTGTTATATTTTTGAAGAAGGAAACTGTTGATAATTCACAACTGTTGTTTTTCTAAAATAGAAGAGAAATATTTTTCTTCATTCTATGGACTTGTAGCAATTGAAGTCAAGATACTGGCGGGCCATCTCAGGGCATAAATCTTGGGGTTCCTATGTATGGTGAACCGCCAAGGTTGGCAAATATGAGACATCAATGGCAGGGAAGCCTTCGGATTGCTTACAGGACTGCTTCTCCGCCCATGGATGCCATCCTCTGCCAACAGTTTGGGAAATTTATTAGGCATCTACAAACAATATTGTTTTCTAAAGATTGCATGATCCGTTTTTAGAAGTTTTTAAGCGCAATTGTTTCATATATGTATATTTTTTTATGATTTTTTACTTAATGATTTTAGCCATTGTAAAATCCTATGAATAGAACCATGTTTTGGCCAAATTAGTCATATTGCTTTCCATATTTTCTTGTTTATTTCTCTTCTACTTCTTTCTTACATGGCACAGAACTTGATTTTTTCTAAGCCTTGGCTGGCAACTATAGTGGGCCTTAATCAGGTTTAGCTAAGGAGAGAAAATTAGTTCTTCCTTCACCTTACCAAGTCTTGCGATCATTCCGGGAGTCTCGATGGAGCACTCATCTTTACAAATCACTTCCTATAAACTAAATTGGAAGAATTTCTTCCAATGGTCTTGCTTGGTTCATATGGTGATTAGGAGAGAGGAAATATTGGATGCCTTAATGGTAATATTTGTCAACTTGAAATTGTTGACCCTTTCCATCATTTGATAACTTGCAATGTCTTGATTTTTCAATTTCATAGAAGAACAAATTATATCATTATACTTTGTCTACAACTCTACACAAGCAATTTGGAAGAAAGTCAACATGTCTAATACAATAGAAATTTGTTGAAAATTTCATGACAAATTAATAAGTTGGATGTTGATCTCTACCCAATCATCCTAACCTGCTTCGACTGCCCACGATCCCATTATCCCACATTCGCTCCCCTTGGCGCAAAACTCCCTCACAAGCATAGAAGAACGAACGATCTCTCCCATTCAGACACTGACGCACCTAGAAGCCCAAAGAAGCCATTCGACTCTCCCTCTCTACTCTTGATATCCTCCTACTCTGTGTCTACATCTCGTCTGCATCGTTCCGACTTCTGATCCCCGCCAACCGCACGATTCCAGCTCGACTCATGCCTGTGCTCATTGACCCGGAGCCGAACCCAGGTGTGGGCTTCTGCCTCCGTCCCTTCTCCCACAAGCAAACCCGTGTACGACTCCGTCTGAACCTCTCGAACCGCACAGGTCTTACCTTCCTATGCGAACGAATTAAATGCCCAGATCCCACCTCCTTTATGAATGGACCAATCCTCTTATTGATTTGTTCAAACAGTGAGTGAGTGAGTGAGAAGGGAAGATGTAATTAAAGTCCCCTGAAGCCTTCGGCCGTCAATTTTATCTGGTCGAGCAGATCTGAAAGGGTAAGTGCCCTTCCTTACCCCCCCCCCGAGGGATGAGGCGTCAGTCCCCTTCCCCCCCCCCCCCCCCCCACACCGACGGAGGGGGCGTCAAAAGGCTGCCAAAATAGCCCCAAGAAGCTATCAAATTTGCCTTGAGAGATTAATGAACTTCTAGGAACTATCTAAGAATAATGTATTAATTTCAAAATAAATTTTTACTTTATAAACTGATTAATTTTAAATGAATTAACTATAGGTTAAAACTCTCTTTAATTTAATCGTTTAATCAAATCAAATTAAATAATTTAAATTAATTATAACAAAATTAAAATAGTTAATCAATTTTAAACTAAATTTAAGTAATTGATTAATTAAAATTAAAACTTTGATTAATTTAAAACTTAATTAAAATTAAAACTAATTAATTTAAAGTAAAAATAAAATATAATTTTTAATTAATGAACCATTTAATTAAGTCTAAATTTTAAAATTAAATAAAATTAATTGAGCAACAAACTTTAAACTTTAATTAATAATTAAATAATTTAAAAATATTAATGAGCTTAGCAGTTAATTTAAAATAAAATTTAAATCTTTTAAGTAATTAAATTAAAACTAAAAATTTTATTAATCACCAAATTAATTTGAATTTAATAAAAGGCATTAAAAATAATAAAAGAACAATGTTCGCACTGCAACCTAAGTACAATACACACCAACTAATCCCAAACTCCTAAAACTAAAGAAAATAGAAAATATAAAGAAAAGCTCAAAAATCCTAACATAATCCCCTTCAACTCCTGGCAAGCTCCAGCTCTGCAAAACCCTGTAGTTGTAAGCTTCAGCTCCTGTAACTGCTACCTATGAACACCTGCAAACAAGTAAATGAAAGTCAACACAGGGTAAACAAAATTAATACTAGAAAGAACAAACAAGTAGGTAAAGCTACTATTACAAGCAAAATTAGTGCTGAAAGAAAACTATAACTATAAACAAAACAAAATGTTAGGTACTGAAATTAAAACTACGATACTAAAGTAAAAGGCAAGCTACTAAAGTAGGAAAGAAAAGCACTGTAGGTAAAACACTGATGCTGGTGTCAAAGCAGTGACGGGTGCAAAGTAAATGTCTGCTGTTAAAATCCTGCTAAGCTAAAATCCTGTTAACCTAAAGTTCAATCGGCAATTTCTAGTAGAAGTCATAAGTCCGACTTTAGAGGAGATCTATTAGTAAAAGCAACATAACCCTAAACCATGCATAATGGGCCACCTCTAATAGAGGCCGTAAGTCTTAGTTTAATTAGGGTGTTAGGGAAAACTTTCTCGAGGCAAATACACTTCCCTGAACATACTGTCAAATTCTATTAATATAAGCAATAAGGCCCACAATCTTTAGGTAAAAGTAACATAACCCTAAATCCCGATACTCTGGTCACTTTGCTTATAAGGTTAGGTTGTAAGACCCACCTTCAAGTTACTTCCAAGGGAAGCAATAAGACATGCTGTTTAGGCCACTTCTAATAGAAGCCGCAAGGCCTGTTGTGTGGGCTACTTTCAATGAAAGCAAGAAGATCCAACCTTCTAAATCTCAGTGCTACTTTCAATGAAAGCAGGAAGACCCAACTCCCCAATCAAACGGGCTATTTTTAAAGGAAGCCGTAAGATTCACTATACGGGCTACTTTTAATAAAAGCCGTAAAGACCGACCACAAATCTAAATCAAACAACTAGGTAACTTCCTAAATGAAGTCATAAATTCTAAACTAAATTAAATATTGGATATTCTAAGAAATGCAAATCCCAAATCATAATAAAATTAAAATCAATACTTATCTCGGAATCCCTTAGAGAAGGCAACCCATTACTGTTATTCAGATTCCCCGAACACTATGATCAACGATTGTTAGTGTTGGTAAATTGAAACTTAGGGTATTCCCGGGATGACGGAACCATGGGATCTTGATCAGGTTCATTTCATCCCCCACAAACAAAAATTTAAAACGGTTGCACATCTAAATATTTATTGATCCCTAATCGAGAGTTCTCTTCTACGTGTTAGGAAGATAATCTTATAATCTCAACGTCATGGTTGTTGATTGAAGCCAATCCCTTGATCTACGTGTTCATTCTTCTTGCTAATTCCCTGCATTTCCTGTTCTCCTTGCCAAGCTTTTTATTATTAATAATAGTTCTGCTATGCACAACTAACTGGTAACTTTCAATTGTACTTCTTTTCATAAAAATTGGGAGTTCATCTCACGTAATCCTTACATAAAAACTTGTAGATGGTGCTAAGAGATTAGAATTTTTTTTAGAATGTGCAATTGAATCCTCTATGCGTTTTAATGTATTTTAATGGGTCATCATTATGTCATTATGGAGAGTTCTTGAAAAGAAAGGAGTCAATAATGCTTATATTCAAATCATTAAAGATATGTATGCAGGAGCTATTACTTGTGTTCAAACACAAGGTGGATTGACCAAGTATTTCCCTATTTCGGTTGGGTTACATCAAGGATCAGCCTTAAGCTCATATCTTTTTGCTTTAGTCATGGATGTTCTCACTAGACATTTGCAAGAGGATGTACCTTGGTGTATGCTTTTTGCTGATGATATTCTTCTTGTTGATAAGACTAGAGAGGGAGTTGAAGGTAAACTTGAATTATGGAGGTCAACCTTAGAGTCTAAAGGTTTTCGCTTGAGTAGATCTAAAACGGAATATATGGAGTGTAATTTTAGTAGTAATAGTCCTAGTGAGAGGATTGTGACTTTGGGCGATCAAGTCATTAATAAGAGTACACGTTTTAGATATCTTGGATCTATTGTTCAGAGTGATGGTGAAATAGATGGGGATATTATCAGCAGAATTCAAGTTGGATGGTTGAAGTGGAGGAATGTGTCGGGCTTGTTATGTGATAGAAATGTACCCCTCAAACTTAAGGGAAAATTCTATAAGATGGTAGTGAGGCCTGCAATGCTTTATGGTACCGAATGTTGGCCTTTAAAAGAGAAGCATAATACTAAGTTAAGTGTGGCAGAGATGAGGATGCTCAGGTGGATGAGTGGCTTTACCCTTAGAGATAGGATACGAAATGAGCATATACGTGAAAAGGTTGGAGTAGCTCCAGTAGAAGATAAGATTAGAGAAAGTCGCCTTAGATGGTTTGGTCACATAAAACGGCGGCCTTGTGATGACCCGGTTAGGAGAGTAGAGGTATTAGATTTGACTTATGTTAAGAAAGGTAGGGGTAGACCTAAAAAGACTTGGTTAGAAAATATTAGGAATGACCTTTCTTTATTAGATTTAAACGAGAATTTGACTTTTAATAGGACACAATGGAGAAAAAGGATTCATGTAGCCGACCCCACGTAGTGGGATAAAGGCTTGTTGTTGTTGTTGTTGTATCATTATGTCATTGTCCTTATTTGTTATTTTGATATTTATTTGAGGTATGATGATCAAGTGTCATTTGAACATATTTGTCATTATCTTAATATTACAAAGGTTAAATTATCCAAAAAAAATTATAACTACTATTATATAATGATCCTTAGATTGCAATTGAAGATGTTTGATTACAGAATAATGATATAGTAAGCTTTGGATTGTAATTGAAGATAATTAATGATGAAATAAAGATAGGACCTTTATTGTCATTCTCTTAGGATTGAATCCTCCCTCTCTCTTAGATATGAAGTTTTTTTTTCTCTCTTTAGATTTGCCCACCTCTTCTTGAGGTCTTCATCATCTCTTCTGCTCAAATTGTTTTATGCTATTCAACTCCTTGGTTCTTCATTGACACAAGACTCTTCTTCTTGAAACAAACCCACCAAAATCTCGACTTTCATTTCTCACTCCTCGTAAAGAAGCCTTATTTGAAGAATTTTTTGGTTGATTTTGTTTAGCCGCTAGTATTATACATATAACCGATTGCATGGGTTCAATGCAATCTGCTGTTGTTTGTTCATATTTGTGTGATGAGCACAAACATAGTTATGTATTTGTTTACTATTCTAGTAAGTTACTCTATACTCCATTACTTAATAATTTCTTCTAACGCATGCCCAACACACAATACATATTAAAATGATATTGCAGCAGTGCTTTTGGGCTCTAATAGTGCTCACATTTAACCATACAATTACTTCATAACGATACTAAAAAAAAAAAAAAACTTCATAACGATACTACACTGGATATCCTATAAGAACCACATCATTGTCAGGGAAATGAGAAGAGAAGAAAAATAGAATTTTATTTTCCTTGCCATACTCATAGCAGTCTAGATATTTAAATACAGAAGTTTTTCCTATCGCTGAACCGGGTTGGCTAAGTGCTGAATCGGTTATGGTCTAAACAAAAAAAATAACAAAAGTTAATACAAAATGAGTTAACTAATTATTAATAAAAGGCATATTCCTTCTGTTTGCATCATTTGGTCATACCGGGTTGAATTTTTGCTGCTGCTGGGCATCGTCATGCTGATGCTGTGTTGAGTTGTAGTTGCTGCTGTTTTTCACGAGTTTGGCAGGCTTCTGGGTTGGTTGGAATGTAGCGGTTAGAACTTTTTTTCTTTGACGATATACTTGGATGTGGTTATTGTTATCCTTGGCGTCTTCTTCAACTGTTCGGATCCAATCTTTCCATTTATTTTGAATTATAGTGGAGTCTAAGGCTTCGTTTGGGACAACTTTCTTACTGCTTCTTAAAGCAGCTTTTTAGTATAAAAAATTAAAAATTGTGCTAAAAAGCTGCTTTAAGTAGCAATAATAAACCCGTCCCAAATGAAGCCTAAGTGAATAATTTGCTGCTTTTCAACTATCTTGATTCTGTAGTTCCTTTGCTTTAGCTGTGCGAAGGTGTAAATTTCATTATCTACTTTATTACAGAAGCAATACACTTTATATATAAACAAGCGTTTGACTAAAGTGGAAAATTTCACTCTTATAAATAATCTTTATTTGGTAAAAATCATCTGTTTGCAGAGCGAACTTCTCACATTCAAAGGTAGTGATGATCTAGCATCTCTTCTAAGTAAAATGAAAAAGGAGAAAAAGATGAAAACAGATAAAAAAGAAGGAAAAGAGAAAAAAGAGAAAAAAGAGAGAAAGGTTAAAAAGGAGAAAATACTCCATGCTAGTACTTCACCACCAATTCCTTTGCTGAGCAATGAGGAACATTCACCACAAATGTTGCAGCAGAGTCAAGATGATGTAGAAGCAACAGAAAGTGATGGTTTAGAAGATCTTTGGAATGATATGTCTCTGGCTATTGAATGTTCGAAGGTATTGTGTTATATTCGACTTCTGCTTTTCTTCCTTGAAAATTAAACACAATCTTACCATTGTAGAAATGGTATGAATCCTTTGCTTATGTGTCTTACGATTTGTTCTTTTTTTTTTGGGTTTATGTGTACTGGTTGCCTTTTGTTTTAATTTAGCAAATTGTTTCTATTGCTTTATCGGATTTGTTCTTTTTACCCACCTTTTGTAATACTCAATTTTTCGTCGTTTGATAAGCATTGTATAAAAAATGGTTTATTCAATGCACAAAGCTCTCAGCATTTGTGTGTGTGTGTGTGGGGTGGTGTGGGGTGGGGGGGGTGCCGGTAGGGCAGATGAGAGTTATAGAGTAGTACAATTCCTACCAAGGTTTAAAATTGAGTAATTGGGTATTGAGGCGTTTTTCGTTCATGAGGCGAGGCGCAAGTCTCAAGGCGTTTTGAGGCATAAGTCAAAATTTAAAAATTGCGAAAAGTAAAAAATAAAAGTTAAATATGATTTTTTATATGATATCTAAATATTATGTTAAAAGATGGTATATTAACTTTCTATTGAACTATGAAGTAAAAAATTTATATAAATATGAAACAAAAAATTACACAAAATATAAAGTGATAAATAATAAATAATATGAAATATAATTGAAATCCAAATATCACATAAGAAAAACAACATAAATATATGAATTGCATAAACGTATCATATAGCATCAAGTTTAGCTTAAATTTCTTCTTTATGAGTTCCCTACTCATCTACATTTAATTACTAATAAACTTAAAATAATTGACAACAAATCATAAATCACATGTACTATTATTACTAAGGGGATTTTTATTTGAGTCGTCATAATAAATTGGCATCTTTTTTGCCTCAACCTGTAGGGTCCAATACTTGTCAATCTACTTTTTTTTTTTTTTTTTTTTTCACCCATCTCCTTTTTTCATTTTATTTCAACCATCTTCCTTTTTCATAAATGTTTTTCATCAACATAAAATAAGAGTAATACCTAAATTTTTATAGGAGATGGTGGCGGTATGCGGATTTCAAGTGATCCCCGGCGGTAACTATGACGTTGGTGGTTATGGCGAAGGCGGTGGGCTGGTGGTCGAGGCAGTTGAGAGGAAGTTAATGCGACTTTATAGAGCAAGAGGGCATGATTTTTTTGAGATTTTTGTATATGATTTAACTAAGTTTTAAATAAAAACATACATAAAATAGAGCGAGGCGTATGCCTCATGCCAGCGAGGTGAGGCGCGCCTCAAGGCGGGCCTCAGCCAAGATGAGGCGTAAGCCTCACAATAAGTTCGAGGTGTAAGCCTCGATGCGTTTTTCACTAAAATTGTGCTGAGGCGAGCCTCAAGGCGAGCCTCTTATTGCGCAATTTTAAACAATGATTCCTACAGATCCATCATTGCATAAATGGGATTCAAAGAAATCATACTTTCATTGTTCTACAACTCTAATCAAAGGTGTTCCCTCCAAGAAGACCACATGGTGTCCTTGTTATACATGGGGTAATTTTTATAGAACCCCTCAAAATGGGGAAGTCTAGTGAAGCTTCTAAATCAAAATATTGGAATCTAATTAAAAAAGTCTCAATCATAAGCAAATGAGGCAAAGATATCTCGAGAACCAACAAGCTTAGCTTATGGGAACCGTTATTATATAAAATATACTTTACCAGTCTAATGCTGGATGCATTTTCATTGACTTAATAAGTCCAACGACAAATCATGATTCTCTTTAATTCACAGATAAACCTTTAGATAGAGCTAATCATTAGGATTTGACAAGCTCTTGCAATTGAATTCACACTTCCACCAGCTCAATAAGTCTGAGGATCAATCTAGGTTTTAATCAGCTTAAAAAGGTTGATGAGCCAAAATTGTTGAATTGCTATCAATTTATAAATCTAAAAGCTAAAATTGGGTTATCTTTTGAAATTTCCGTTCCAGACAAGGCATGATTTAATATAAAATCTATTCGGGGAATTTAGTCGAACTCTGTGATCAAAATCCCAAAAGCTAAATGACAACCATGAAACATAACTGCTCATGATGGCTCATTTGAAAAATTAGTTCTTGATTACAGGCTTCTAGCATTCCACAGCTTTGTTTTTCTATCATGAAAGTATTATTATTGACTGCCAACAGACAATGTACTTGCATGAACTATTTGGAATGAGGAAATTCTGTTTTGTTGATCCATGTGAATTAATGGTCTGAACAGAAAAGGCACTTAAAACATTCCAAAATTTAAGTATTTATGGTTTTGCTACTGCACGAATTTTTATTTCATCATTGTTTTGTGAGAAGATACGTTTTTTTTTATGTTAAGTTTTTCTTGTACCGCGAACTATATTCTCAGTTACACTTCATGCTGATGTAATTTGTGTTCTAGGATGTTGAACCTTCAGCTCCGGTTGAGAAGGAAGAGGTCGAGAAGGAAGAGGAATGCTGTCATTCCTTCATCCTCAAGGACGACTTGGGAATTGTTTGTCGAGTATGTGGAGTTGTTCAAAGGAGCATCGAGACGATTTTTGATTTCCAATGGACAAAGGTACTTTGGTTTTGCTGGTCAATCTAATGTTATATTTTGGGGATATGTTTTTTCTCCATTTTATCACTTCCTGTTTATTAATATTACTTAGTTGTATGGTAGTAATTAATTCTTAAATATTGCTTATGTTCTATGACTGTAGTTTATTTGATTTGTTTATTTTCTCGTTAGGTATTTTTAATGCATGCTAGATACGAATTTAAAAGGCCCTTAGAATGAGCTGCATACACGGTTAGGTTTGAAGCCTTGATAATGCAGTTGTAACTAAAGAAATTCAATCAGATTGTTTTTATTTTTCTCTGAATCAATAGCATAAATCAATTTATTCACTGCTAAATATTGTCAAACTGATCAAATAATTTTTGTACAATATTGCGTAATTATCTTTGGCAAATCATGACTTTTTTCTTAGTTAATTTGAAATCTTTCTTTTTCATTATTTGGGCATGTTTGTTGTGTGAATGCTATATGGAAATCAAGAATCACAGGAATACAAATGAACACACATACTCCGGAGTAAATCCTCTCAATTATGCTCTAGTTGGGTTTTGATTTTGCTAATCAAATCACTGATTTTATTTTTTATCCATAATTATTTTAGATTACTATTGCAAAATAGATGAAAGAAATATGTTACTTGTCTTTTCACCATTATTTATTTATCTTTTTCATTATCAATCAAGAAGTAGAACCATAAATTTATTTGGTACTCTTTTATTACTTTTCTTTGAATAATCAGAACACCCGCGATGCGAGGCACTATGTGTCTGGAACTCGTAAGCATGAGGATATGGATGAAGCTGTTGATGCATCTCACCCAAAGTATTCTGAAGAAGATGCTGCAATTGATCTTGGCATTGATCCGAGGCATAAGAAGTTGATGAAGCCACATCAAATAGAGGGCTTCAGATTCCTTGTAAAAAATCTTATGGTAGAAAAGCCAGGTGGATGCATCCTTGCTCATGCCCCAGGATCCGGAAAAACATTTATGCTTATAAGCTTTATGCAGAGCTTTATCACTCAGAAACCTGACAAAAGACCATTGGTGGTTCTTCCTAAGGGGATCTTGAGCACGTGGAAGAGAGAGTTCCAGCAATGGCAATTGGAAGACATTCCCTTGTTTGATTTCTATTCCTCTAAGGCAGATCATAGACCACAACAGCTGGAGATTTTGAAGAGCTGGGAACAAAGTAGAGGCATTTTATTTTTGGGCTATAAACAGTTCACCAACATTGTCAGCAGCACATCCACTGAAAAGATTGATGCTTTATGTCGAGAAAAACTACTAATGGTTCCCGGCCTTCTAATTCTAGATGAAGGTCATACCCCAAGAAATAACAACACTGCTATTGTGCATTCACTTTCAAGAATTAAGACACCTCGGAAGGTAGTACTTTCCGGCACACTATTCCAAAATCATGTAAAGGAAGTCTTCAATATTCTCAAACTAGTACGACCTAAATTCATGAAGGAGGAGTCCTCCCGGAATGTCATGAAGCGCATCCTTAGCAGTGTAGAGATATCAGCTGGTAGGCGGCCAAATAAAGGTTGCAAGGAGTCTGCTTTCTGTGATCTTGTTCACGAAACCCTTCAAAATGATGATAATAGCTTAAGGAAAAATTCAGTAATTAAGGACCTGAGAGAAATGACGCACAGTGTTCTTCACTACTACAAAGGTGATTTCTTGGATGAACTTCCTGGCATGGTTGACTTCACCGTGTTCTTGAAGCTAACTTCAAAGCAAAAAAGTATTGCCAGTAGGTTGCACAAACTTGATATATTCAAGGGAAACTCTGTGGGGAGTGCTGTATATATGCATCCAAACCTGAAGGAAGTTGCCGAAAGTGTTGATGGGGATAAAACTGAGTCCTTAAGTAATGATAAAGTTGATGGTTTAATTGGATCATTAAATGTCAGGGATGGAGTGAAAACCAAGTTTTTTCTTGGCGTTCTTTCTTTGTCTGAATCTGCTGGAGAGAAACTCCTTGTATTTAGCCAGTACATCCTTCCTCTGAAGTTCTTGGAAAGGTTGGTCATTCAAAGGAAGGGCTGGCGCTTGGGGAAAGAAGTTTTTATGATATCTGGTGATTCAAATCCAGAAGATAGGGAGTGGTCTATGGAGCAATTCAACAATTCTGCAGATGCCAGAGTTCTTTTTGGTTCTATAAAGGCATGCGGAGAGGGTATTTCTTTAGTTGGAGCATCTAGGATATTGATCTTAGATGTCCATCTCAATCCTTCTGTCACTCGTCAGGCAATTGGTCGAGCTTTTCGGCCTGGCCAACGGAAGAAGGTATACACCTACAGGCTTGTTGCTGCAGATAGTCCAGAGGAAGAACACCATAATACCTCCTTCAAAAAGGAGCTTATTTCAAAGCTCTGGTTTGAGTGCAACGAGTACAGTGGCCAACAGGAGATTGATCTTCACGAGGTTGAACTTACAGATTGTGATGATATCTTCCTTGAAAGTCCTGCTTTGATTGAAGATATCAAGTGCCTGTACAAAAGGTAAGCAATTTTACCCATTTCAGATTTCGTTTGAGACAACGTTTTTACTTCTTATAACAGCTTTCTAGTACAACAAAGAATTTTTTTGTACTAAAACTTCATTTTAAAAAACAATAAAAAGATCGTCCCAAACAAAACCTCAATTTAACATCTATATGATGATGATGTTTCCTTTGCCTTAACTACAAATTAATACATTGCCACATGCAGGTGATTCGCAATGCTTGATGAAGATGCTATGTTAAGTGTATATAGCACTGTTGCATCGGTAACCTTTGATCACAACCGTTAGTTCTCTTGATGGTCCTTAAATCGCAGCCATTGGTAACTAGAACTGGCACTTGTCTGTCTTTTTGATGTTCTTCATTAGGAAGTTTTCACTGCAGCTTATCGACCTGTAAGCCTGCAGTTCATAACAAGAACATAACTGTAGTAGGTCTGTTATGAATCCATGGAACATCATTGCAATGCTAAGGTTGTAGTCTCTTTTACTTCTCTTATATGCTACTACCAATTTAAGTAGCCGACCCCTACGTAGTGGGATAAAAGTTTGATGTTGTTGTTAATGCCTCAATATGCTTGTCCATGCATCGTTGGGGTTGAGCTAAGCATCACATTTTTTTTATAACCCAACCGGCGGCCGGTGGCCACCTACTATTTGTCATTGTGTTAGCTTCTATATGTTCGGCCACCCGTTGCATAAATATTAAGATCTTTGGTTGCCAATGCTTTTACTAGCTTCGCTCATATCCTCAAGATAAACTTTCACCTATGCCTACCAACTGTGTATTCATTAGTTATGCCACAGCTCAGAAAGTTGTCTTGGGTTTTGTTTGGGACGGTTTATTTACCGTTTCTTAAAGCAGTTTTTTAATATATAAATTTTAATTTTTTTTTCTAAAAAATTGTTTTTGGAAGCAATAAAAAACGTCTTAAACGAAACCTTAATCTCATATTTGGCAAAATCTACGCCTCATGGTAAGTATTGTTCAATGAAAGTATGACCTTAATTTCTTAGTGTGAAAAAATAAGTTACAATGGCACTATTTTTCATGGAAGCAAAATACGGGACTCTCACCACGCGGCCGCTGATGTGATTTGGCTACGTCGAACTCCTACAAGGTTTCAACAATCTCAACTAAGGTTTTGTTTGGGACGGCTTTCATATTGCTTTTTAAAGTAGTTTTTTAGTTCAAAATTTACATAACTAAAAATTTTTCTATTAAAAAAATGTTTTAAAAAATAGTAAGAAAGTCATCCAAAATGAAGCTTAAAACAGTGTCAAAAAGTGAACTATTGTGGTATGATCTGTGGACGTAGTGAAATATAAGGCTCTCACCACGGGGGCAATTGATGTGATTTGGCTACGATGGATCCAACAAGATTTCAATACCTCCACTCCTCTACATTGTGACAATAGATCAGCAATTAAATTAGCTGTCTAGCTATATAAAATAGACGATACTAATAATGTTATATAAATTGGGCTACCTTTTGTTTAATACCACCTCTGTAAGATTATTATGCTGATACATGTGTGAGTTTATATTAATACTTATTCAAGTTTTAAATACAAGACCTTTTGATTAATAGTCAAAATTCTCAACTAACAAATCAAGATGAGTTATACAGTTGATCATCGAGAATAAGTTCATGATGATTTCATATTGCTTTTTAAAGTAGTTTTTTAGTTCAAAATTTACATAACTAAAAATTTTTCTATTAAAAAAATGTTTTAAAAAATAGTAAGAAAGTCATCCAAAATGAAGCTTAAAACAGTGTCAAAAAGTGAACTTTTGATTCATGATGACTTGACATGATGCTATTGCTAGGGATTGTGGACAAAAAGGATGTATTTTATATTTGTGTGATTCGAAAAACTCAAATGTTTGAAAATGATAAGAAAAGTTTTGAATCATTACATTAGAAATATATTATAACAAATATAAAACTTATTTCAATATATATATAAACATATATGTACTTAATTTTTTTCATATTTGTATTTATTTTAAAAGCTTTCAATCCAACTTTATTTCTCCTAACCAAATACCGCAAAATTTTAAATTCATATACTGCTTTCACTCTATACTAATAATTCATCAAAAGAAACGGCTCTCTTAAAAAATAAATTATTCTGTGTGAACACCGGACGTTATTCAGATGCCAATTAAAACGTGTAACATTATTTTTTTGCTCGGTATTGATATTGAGTATTGTTGGATACTGATGATGTAGCATGTTCTAATTGACCTCCAAAATATTCGGTGTCCGCACAGAATAATCTATCCTTTTAATATATAAAGTGAGTACTATTCTTAATTTTAAAGATAGCATTATCTAATACTATACAGCACTGCAACTATGCCGCTCAGGTTAAGTATGCTCACCACGTTGTCATCCTATTGGCTCCTGTGCGTGCCGTTCGCTCAGGAGATGGCGCGCACGTTCGTCTGATCACTTTACGGCTGCCGCCCCTGCGCTGCTATATAATCAACGCTAGCTCTTCCAGTTCCCACACATTCGAAGTAGAGAGAGAGACAGAGAGAGATGGCGAGCGCTTGGCTGGGTGCGATAATGGCCTTGTTCGCCTTTGCTGTTGTCGCCTCAGCCAGCGGCGAACTGTGGAAGACGGAGGATCTGAAGAACGTGCACATCGCCGGCAAGGTCCTGTGCCAGGATTGCTCTCAGGGTTGGAATTACTGGGCCCATGCCGCCATTCCTCTCAAAGGTACAGTTAAATATCTAAAAAACCTTCATTTTTCCGAAAAATTTTGTAAATATTGCAACTTTAATTAATTGGGCGCAGGAAGCAAAGTGGCGGTGACGTGCATAGACGCGCGGCGGCGGGTGGTTTACTACGGCAGCGATGAGACGGACGATAAGGGCAATTTCGACTTACCGGTCGAGCTTCACCGCCACTCCGGCAATCCGGCGAAGAATGTTCGGCCGGAGGGTTGCTCTGTTCGGCTCGTTTCATCGCCGGACGCCGCCTGCAATGTCATGACAAACTTCGGCGGCGGCCGGTCCGGCGTCGGTCTGGTTCGGCCCTCGCACGTGTATCCGGGCCGGGTTAAATACACGGTGGGGCCCTTTTTCTTCACCTCCCCTATGTGCGAGGAGCCCGACACGAACGAATGACCTACTGAGATTTATTTTACCTTTTTATTTGCGGTGTTTAATTATATTTAATTAATTTCTGTTTTTTTTTTATTAATTTTGTTTTCACGAATCACAAGTGATTTTATTAATGGTGGTGTAATTCAGTTGGAGAAAATATAGCTTTGTTATTTTTGCATAAAAATGAAAATATAGAACATGCATGTTTAAAATTAAAAGATATTTAAATAAAAATTAAAATTAAGTATTCTCAAAAGATTTTTTTTTTTACTTTTAAGTTTTAAGTATTAAAATTTTGATATTTTATTAATTTATATAATAATTTTTTATAAAATTTTATGCTTGGAAAATATTATGTTAGATCAAGCGGATGATTGTAGTTTTTTTTTTTTTTGTAAATATGATTATAAAATTATTAGGAGGAAAGTATTTTTTTTAATTATTATAAAAAGTTGCTTTTTATAATATTTTTTATTAGAAGTCAAATTTAAAAAACAAAAAGCCAAAAAGTTGTCCTAAACTTAGTCCAAGTGGATTAATTATTCTGTGTGCGTGGACAGTCATTCGGAGGTGAATAAGTGCTCCTCATGCTATTTTTTTGTTGTGTACCGCTGTGTACCAAGTGATGCAGCACGCTCTCATTGATCTCGGATGATCCGGTGTTCGCGCAGAATAATTTCTTCAAAAATTAACCTAAAGTTGGCACTCAGTCAGATTTGTTGCTTGAAAATATTTGTGGATAAAAATAAAAATTCTTAGAACGATAAACATAATTTTGTTAAATTGAATGCTCAGAGTATCCATTCATGTAATTTTTTAAAACTTTTTTTTTTAGTTATAGGTCTTTTTTGGTTTGTAGAGAAAAAATAATATAATATATTTAAAATATTTTAGAATTATTTGGATGAGAATAAAATAAATGTAGGTGATTATATCTATTTGTTTTATTTAAGTAAAATGAAGATAATGCAAAACCCAATAATGATGGTGGGTGGTCATAGGGCTCTCTATGTTATATTTCTCATGTCCTTTTAAGGGCATCTCCAAAAGAAAATTTCATGTCCTTTTAAGGAACAATTATTACGTCCTCTGACCGGACGTAGAGTTACGTTCAGCCGTCAATAATATGTCGTCACGTGCTCTTACTCTTTACCGCGCGGCCCGACGACTTGACCTGGACCGGAACCCGGGAATGCTATGTTCGCGTATTGCGAGGTATTACTCGGTATTTGCTCGGTATTGCTCGGTATTGCTAGGTATTGCTTGACAATAACGAGAAATACGACTATGTGAAGAGTAATACCGAGTTGCACCAAGTTTTTTAGAAAAACTCAGCACAACTCGGTTTTGCTCGGTATTCCTCAGTATTTGCTCGGTATTGCTCGGTATTGGTTATTGCTGAGCAAAATCGACCAATACCGAGCAATACCTAGCAAAATCGAGAAATATCGAGCCATTGGGTCCGTTCTGGGTCGGGTTGTTGGGGCCGTAAATAGTGAGAACGCGTGGCGCGATTATACTGGTGGCCGGACGTAGAGCTACGTCCTGTGATCGGACCAAATAAAAGTTCCCTTTTAAGGACATCTCCAAAAGAAAATTTTATTGTTTACTTCAAAATACAGTAGCAATCATATTAAACATTAATTCATCTCCAATCAAAATTCTTTTTCAACAAAAGATTATTCTATGTATATTTTTTCGCTATAAAGCTTTCACCACAGAGTAACAAAACAAGCGAGAGAAAATGGGTTTAAAACTCAAAAATATATTTTCATTTGCCGTTCAATTTGATGTTCGTCAGAGCTGCAAACAGACGAATAACATTCAATTGAAGATGGCCTAAGAATCCATGGAAGATTTCTCTCTTATCCGTTATAAATAACGGCACTCTACCTTATATTTCGAGCCGTTTATGAATATAATAATCCTACTCTGAAATAACAAACAAATTTGAAAGTTTTTGAACAGAATCAATACTGATTTCCCAAATAATTCTCGCACCGTTATAGCAATCCATGGATCAAATCTCGCTTACTTGTTATAAATAACAGCACTCCACCCTCATCCTGCACAGGCAAACAAGCTAGACACAGAATCAACAATGGCTCTTCTCCCCGTAACTACTCTACTCTTCTCCACCGTCCCCCAGCTTGACATGGAGCTCCAATTCACATTTGCTATTGTCGTGCTTTGCCTCTGCGTCTTCTTCTTCTTCTTCTTCGCCATTGCTTATCGCATTCGCTGTTGCATTAGCTTCCTGTTAGGAAATGATGGTGCCGCCATTGAAGATGATGATGATCTCATTACTTCTGATCGACATGACAACCCACCAAACGAGTCGATAAGAATAGACATCGCTTTAGTTGAAGATTGTTCGGTATGTTTGGAGGAGTTGCAGAGGGAGAAGATGAACTGAGTGTTCTGCCTCGTGAGAGATTATTACGTGCGGCGTTCAAATCGTTCAGAGATGAATTCAGACAAGTCATTTCACCCGGTTGCACCAAGTCCCGGGTGACATGGCGCGTCCGACTTCGCCTCCGAACGAATCCGAATGCCGCATGTAATAATTTTTCATACCTTGCTGCGGCAATTCTTTCCAGAGAAACTGCATCAAAGTTAAGTTGTCCCTTGTGCAGAACTTTTGTGTTCATTAGTGATTGCAATATGGGTTTTGTTTGGAACTGCTTTCTTACTAGCAGCTTTTTAGTAAAATAAAAAAATATATTATATAAAAAACTGTTTTAAAAAACAGTAATAAAGTTGTCCCAAACAGTTACAGTTTCTTCCTATGTTAGTTGAATTCTCTTTAGTTATTAGAGGAGTAATATTGGATTGTATTAGAGTTCTCGTGTTATTATTCATAGCATTATCAAAAGGAGAAAAATAAAAGGAAATATTCATCTTCAAAAATGATTTTGGAAAAAAAATTGTTTTTTGGCTCACTGGGCTGATTAATGTGTTGTTTTAATTACGATTAGATTATAAATTATAATGGCCACTAAAACATGAATTAATTATGGTTCAAAATTACCAAACATACTTTATAATATCACTAATTATTTTTGTCATCTCATAATAAATTTTCAACTATATTAACAATGAGGCACATTTGATGATGTGTCCCCAAAAAATCATCTTGATCGTGCATGAGGGAAGCTTTCAAAATTAAATTAGTGATCATATGAACTCAAATTTCAACAAATTTATAGTCAAATTGAATGTCTCGAAGAGATGAACCGAGCGACACCAAAATCGGTCTAATTCAAGCCCAACTGGGTCCAAATCAGGAGCCCAAAGCTTATTTGAAATACTCAAAAGAGTAAATTGAATGGCCAAATGATATCTAAATAAGTCATATTTATAGTCAAATCAAGCGGCTCAGCGAGACAAATCCAACGAGCCTAAGATTGTCAAATTCTGAAATCACTAATATACTTAAACACTTGAAAAATGTTATAGGATCAGGGGATCCGTCCGATGGAGCACTCCAAATCTGCCCCAGATCTTCTCCATATTTACAAAGCATTTCACTCTAAAAAATCTATAAATAAACTCTCACTCTTTGCATGAAGGGGGGGACTTTTTGCTCGAGATTGAAGAGAGATATGAGGCTACAAAAACTCCAGCACCACCGCCGACGAACCTTCGTGGTCACCGACTGTAGTCGGACTCCCGCCCGACTATCGTTGGACCACGCTCGGCCGGTGACTACTGTCGGACTTCCACCCGATCGCCGACCGCCAACCCGACTATCGTTGAACCACCACACAGTCGCCAGACTTCCACCCAACTGCTATCAGACTTCTGCCCGACTGTTGTCGGACTTTCTCCAAACTATTTTAATATCACATCTTCTAAGTCAAGAGCCAAGTCAAACTTTATAACTCGGTTGAATTTAGTAGAATATTTTCACATTTGCCAGTCTCTATGATTTTTCTCTTTTTAGGCTTTCCACATAAAAATTTCTGGTGTTTTTATGCCCTTCCTTCAATTACTTGCTTGTGTTGTATATCCTTGCATTGCTAAGATGAAAAATTCACTATCGCCACGAATATTCTAGCCGACAAGTCCAGTGGCGGAGCCAGAAAATATATCTAGGGGGGGCCTAAATTTTTTTTTTTAAATATGTGATATTAAAAATCTCATTGCACAAAAAAAAAATCATAAAATCTATTTAAGATCGATTTAATACAGGATTAAGATAATGTAATTCAAGAAAAAATGTAAATAAATAGGAAATTAAATTTGGAGTGATTTGAATGGATGATCAATCTTAATCGTGGACCGTTTATTGGGCATTTAAATGTCTTAGTAATATCAGAATTCGGCGATCTTGGGCTCGTTGTATTCGTCTTGTCTAGCCGCTCGATTCGACTATAAGAATGTCATTTTTGGAAACCGTTTGGTAATACAAATTATGGTTTGAACCTTCCAAATATGCTTCGGGTCTTTGATTTGGAGTCATGAGGCACATTTGATGATGTGTCCCCAAAAAATCATCTTGATCGTGCATGAGGGAAGCTTTCAAAATTAAATTAGTGATCATATGAACTCAAATTTCAACAAATTTATAGTCAAATTGAATGTCTCGAAGAGATGAACCAAGCGACACCAAAATCGGTCTAATTCAAGCCCAACTGGGTCCAAATCGGGAGCCCAAAGCTTATTTGAAATATTCAAAAGACTAAATTGAATGGCCAAATGATATCTAAATAAGTCATATTTATAGTCAAATCAAGCGGCTCAGCGAGACAAATCCAACGAGCCTAGGATTGTCAAATTCTGAAATCACTAAGATACTTAAACACTTGAAAAATGTTATAGGATCAGGGGATCCGTCCGATGGAGCACTCCAAATCTGCCCCAGATCTTCTCCATATTTACAAAGCATGTTACTCTAAAAAATCTATAAATAAACTCTCACTCTTTGCATGAAGGGGGGGACTTTTTGTTCAAGATTGGAGAGAGCTATGAGGCTACAAAAACTCCAGCACCACCGCCGACGAACCTTCGTGGTCACTGACTGTAGTCGAACTCCCGCCCGACTATCGTTGGACCACGCTCGGCCGGTGACTACTGTCGGACTTCCACCCGATCGCCGAGCGCCAACCCGACTATCGTTGAACCACCACACAGTCGCCAGACTTCCACCTAACTGCTATCAGACTTCTGCCCGACTGTCGTCGGACTTTCTCCAAACTCTCCAAACTATTTTAATATCACATCTTCTAAGTCAAGAGCCAAGTCAAACTTTATAACTCAGTTGAATTTAGTAGAATATTTTCACATTTGCCAGTCTCTATGATTTTTCCCTTTTTAGGCTTTCCACATAAAAATTTCTGGTGTTTTTATGCACTTCCTTCAATTACTTGTTTGTATGTTGTATATCCTTGCATTGCTAAGATGAAAAATTCACTATCGCCACGAATATTCTAGCCCACAACACTTATGATCATTTTTCGAGAACTTAATTTTGATATTATTAGAACTCAATAAAGCATCTATAATCAAATTTGAGTTGATTTGAATCATTCTGAGCAAAGAATTTTCAGCCATTTTTACTCCAATTGTTTGCTGACTTCATGAAACGATAAAATTATAATTAAAGATATTTTACTTATTTCATGAACTCAAGTGGAGATCTACGTTTACGCCGAGAAGCATTTTTGCCTCGCAACTTTTTCAGAAACATTAACATATAAAATGTCATAATTAGAATGCATATGTCCTGATGTCCTTTTATGTATTCAATTCCTTGTATATCTCCATTTACCTCTCATACCTGCACACAACTAGTGAGGCCAGAACCCTCACACATCTACATCAGGCAAACAGGGCCAAAATTATACCTACAATCTTATCTAACTTCTCACTTCTACTTCTAATAAGTGACGTCATAATAAATTCCACATCTACATCAAGTAGATGGGGCCAGAAGAGTACGTTTAAGACTCTTTGTAACACAGCGAAAAATGCGCTTTCCCATACATCAAAACAGAACTCCTCCAATGCCATGAATGCAGAATGCAAATGCAATGCAAAGATACTGAATTTAAATGTTCAAAACATTATACAGAAAATATATAAACTATCAATAAAAGCAACATTTCTTGTAAAACAAAACGCTCAATGGACTTTCTCTTTTCCAATTACTAATTTCAGAGGAAGCTTATAAATTTTTTTTTTGAACTTTTACATAACTATTGCAATCGCCAAAATTGTTTCAATTCAATAATCTGCCCACAAATTTGTACTAGAAAAATCAACCATTAAAAACCCTTTTGTATATAGCCAAAATATTCATTATAAAGGGCATAATCACGTACCAGAAATCACACGGTGAAAATTTCATAAAATCCAAGAAAATTATAATTTTGTCTATAACTTTTAATAAATTTACTAGAATTGAGAACAGAGTGGGGCTTAGAAATTTACATGGAGCTCTACAATTTTCCGAATTGGCCTAGCAGGTGAATCTCTGACCTTGGCCCCAATTCCCTTTGCCCTATTTCTCTTTCTTCCTTCCCTTCCTCCTCCCCCCTTCTCTTGGCAAGCCTAGGTGGTGGGTGAATTTGCAAGTGAATTGAGATATTTTAATATTAAAAATTTCACTATTTTGAACTAGCATTGTGGTGCTCAGCTTCTCACCTTGTTGCTCGACTCATCGAGTAGCTCATGTCACTTCAACGGGAAAATGAAACCGCGAGTCTCATACCGGTGAGAAAATGAAAATGAAACAGGCTCGGGGCTCGTTCGGCGGAGAAATAAAAATGAAGCAGGCGCTGACATAGGCATGGGGCTCGTTCGGATGCGAGGCTTGTGCCGATGGGAAGACGGGAATGACGCAGGTGTTGACGCGGGTAGCAGGGCTCGCTAACAAGCTGGAATTGCGGCCTGAAAAGCTCATTTTCCCTTATCGAGTCAAGTGCGAGCTCGAGCTCGGTATTTGATATTCGAGCTCGGCTAGAACACACCCTGACATAAGCTCGACTCGACTTGTTTGCATCCCTACACTCTATTAATCTGCACTGCCCCCCACCTTGACATGGAGCTCCAAAGCACTTTTGATGTAATCACAATTCTCCTCTGCATCTTCTTCTTTCTTGAGCATAATAAGAACTGCTTGAAGATTACTAAAGAACCAAACAAGTTTCTTTTATTCAACAAAGTTGAAGTAGAAGAAGAGGATTCAACTTCATCGAGCAGTGAAGTCGGGAAGTCAAGTAATGCAAATAGCAGATGCGATTAGTAATGGCGAAGAAGAAGATCAGAGGAGAATGGTGATTATAGCGAATGTGCGGTGGAGATACATGTCCAGGTTTGTGGAAGGTGGAGATGAACTGCCATGGTTGGTTCAGATGCAAGCTTGTTTGTCTCTGTGGGATGGGACTATGGGAGTATCGGTGAGATCTATTTATTTTCAAAGTGTTGGAGTGTTGCTATTTGTAACGAATTAAGCGAGAAAAATTCGTTGGATTGTTATAACGATGCGAGGAATATTAGTAATGACTCAGTTTAAAATTTTTCAAATTTGAAATTCATAATTTTTATGAAATTGACAATCTTAAGGCCTGTTTATGTTACAATCAATGGGAAACATTAATTAAGGGGTTGTTTGGTAGCATAATTAAAGCCGAATTTGAGGCGGATTTGGCCTAAGATGCAAAATCAAATCTCACGGCTTTTGCCGCTTAATGTTTCCCAAATTCTAATATTCTGTCGGATTTACGAAATTCGTTGGCTGGAGAAAAAAAAGTCCGTTTATTAAAACCGTTCTATAGACAAACAATCACACAGGATTTAATAGGATTTATCATGAATGTTACCAAACAATTTTTAGGATTTAGGCCTCTCAGGATTTCCAAAATCCAGATTTAGTTGATTTATGAAATCCTATTTAAATCAAATCCTAAGTGCTACCAAACAACTCCTAAGAGTCAAATAATGATGGAAAATCAACTTAATTATTTTTTTAATAGGGGAGGAGACCTAACAACTAAGAAGAAAAACATTAGATGTCAAAATTGAATGACAATTATTAAATAATCCCATACAAAGAGTGATGAATCATAAGAAATGTTGAAAATCAAGCCATTTAAATGCAATTTAAGTGCCAAAAAAAGCTAAGTCAAGACAATTGTTATTAGCATTTGTTAATTTTTTGACCGAGACTTCATTTGAGATTGTTTTTTTAATACTTTCTAAAACAATTTTCTAATAAAAAAACTTATATTAGAAAAAACACTTTAGAAAGCGGTTAAAAAATCATCCCAAATGAAGCCTAAATATTAAATTTTGTTCATGAGTAGAGCAGAGCCACAAAGCCAAACAAGTATGATAAAGACAAAATATCAAACTTATTTTTTGAGCAAATATTCCCCATCTTAATTAAAACAGGAATCTTCAATAACCAGTGCCAAACAGAATATATATTACACACAAAATGCATTTTAATGAACTATGATTGTTGAGAGTATTTACATTGAAATGCAAGTGTTGGTCGCCAAAATACCAGCTTACATCTCGTCAGAGTCAGCTTACAAGACTGGAAAAAAATAGAGAAATCTTTGCTTTGAATGAGCAAAAAAAAAAAGAGAGCAAAATTATGTATATTCACAGAGTGGAGAAAGAATTTGGAGTAGCTTATTATAGCAAATTAAATAATTATAATAATAATAAGAAGAACAATGCAGATCTCATGAGAACCATTTCTTATCTTTCTTTGCTGCTGATTTAAGCTGCATTACTAACTCTTCACGCTGAGCTTCAACTTCAGCGTACTGGAGGCTCATGTGGAGATAGCGCTCCCTCATCTCCTTTAGTTCAGTTTCTAATGATGATATTTTGGTAGATGAATCGACCTTTGAAGCATTCCCACTATCGATTTTACTGGAATTTTCTGTTTTAGTATTTTGTTGCTCGGACAGAAATCTGCAACAAATGCCAACAAAATCTAAAAAATGTCAATTTCCTTTTGTATAGCTATCAATTTGATGTATATATCAGCATGATTAAGTGCTAAATGCAGGCAAAGATGGATTCAGGAAACCTATCTGAACGATTAGTTAAGGGGGTGTTTACTTAGGATGCCTGCAGCAAAAGAAATGCGGAAGAGGCTTAAACTTAGGCTTCGTCTGGGACGGCTTTCTTATTGCTTCTTGAAGCGGCTTTTTAGTATAAAATTTTAAATTTTTATACTAGAAAGCTGCTTTAAGAAACAGTAAAAAAGTCATCTCAAACGAAGCCTTTGGTGTTTGCTTTGCAGCAAAATTGGTGCAGAGCACTGTTACAGCCCATGGCTTTAGCGGGTAGGGAGCTTCGGCTGCCTTGCCGTGCGAGATAAAATTCACTCAAATGTTCCAAAAAAAAATAAAATGGTGCAAGTTATCTTTAGACAATTTCAGAATATCAAACTCTAATGCAATACAAAGATGATTTTTTTTTAATACAAATTTGGAAAATTACATGCATTTAATTCAAATGACTCGGGTAAAATACCTATGAAGAAAGACCATTTTAAAAAAAAATCTGTGTCCATAAAAACATCATAAACACTGGCATCCTCAGTGCACTTAGGCTTATTTGATTCATTGTCATTAGAAACATGTTTTAGAAGATGGTTCAGTCTTCACTCATTCTGTATTTGCAAATAAAATTATCAGAATTGGGAAGTTTAGATGTTTGAAGAGTTCATAATCAATACTGATTTCTAATTACATCAAACTAGATGATTGAATATATTAAATTCATCATTTTCAAAACAACAACCTAATGGAAGCCCTTAATGAATTTGCAAGCAACCAAAAAGAGCATCCAAAATGGAAGGGGGGCAGCAACTAGCTTAGTTGATAAAAATGCCTTGAAAGTTGTTGCCAGGATCTTGAGATTGAATTTCATCAATCAAATTTGTGCTTCTGCTACTACAAACAGAGCTCACTTGAGCATTAAGATCATTTCGATTCCTATAGAATACCTAAAGTAATTAACATGCCAATGTTTACTTTCTACAACTCACAGTAACTAAATTGCGATGTGATAAATTGGCCAGAGCAAGATAGTCATAACAACCGAGCTATTCCTTAATTCATTTGCTCACATTAATTACTTCAAACGAGAAAATGAATATTTGAGGAAAGAAAAGAGGACACGTGCGCAAGCTATTGATAAGGCACTATAAGGCAGTTGAATAGATATCCTTATTTTACGAGGTACTTAAAAAGCAACTTATTTATTTCTTTTCCCGTAACACCTTCAACTTGCTCATTATGTTCTTCTGCTAAGTTTTCAAACTAAGAACAGATCAAACCATCAATGTGTTAGACCGGTCCAGCTGGTCCCGTATGGACCGGATCACGTGAAAACAAAGACGAAGGTTTTATGCCTCTCTGTGCCGCCGAATCCCCTAGAGCATATTAGGAAGGATTTTTGAGGGAAGTAGGAGGGAAATTTGAACGTAGGGACTGTTTAGGGATTTCTTTTTTATTTGTATGCATTAAATAGTTTGCTTTCCTGGGGTTATGACATCTTGAATTTGGCTGAAATTTGAGTCTCTTAGGTTTAGGATTTCTTTTGGGCCCTAGCGGCGTCTAGAGGTTTGGGACGGATAGATCCTCCTCTCAAATAAAGAATCAATTGTATCTTGCTATTTTCCGTTTCCCTTTCATCAAATAATACAAATTATCTATTATTTTTTGTGAATTTGTGTGGAAAAATCTCGTTGTTTTCCGAAGATTGATAGGAAATACTTGAGATCTACAACTGTTTCCTATCACAATGTGAAATCAAGAACTTAAAAAAAGCAAATAGCTTTCGTCTCATAAAAAACATAAATACATTTTTTCTTAGCTATTATCCACAGCCTCAGCACCGTCGAGTTCACATGTTAGTTCATAAAATAGCAAGCATATATTCATGAATAATAAAATAGAACGAAGGCATTGTCATTTGATGAGAAAATCAGTGCTTTTATTTAACTTATATTCTCATTTTTATTAACTAAAATAACGTACCCATTAAGTTGCTTCTGATAAGTGTTATTTGCCTCTAGTGCCTCCGCAAGTTCAATTTGCAGCAAGTGGATCTTAGACTCTAGTGCAGCTTCTGTTTGAGCTTGAGGCCCCTCCATGCTTTCAAGCTGTTCATTTTCGACCTTCAAAAGAAGTGGGGAGACAATTCAGAAACCAACAGGCTCGGGGAAAAAAAAAAGACCCTTAGATGAAGCAACTGCAATATAGGAATTCTTTGATGCTTCACAGAAATAGTTCAAAAAAAGGGGCAATTCCAATTGTAACACAGAAATCTGCAGTGGTTAAAAATAACTACTCAGCTACATCTATTTAAAAAAATTATCACCAAAATTTCAAAATTACCACGTGCAATTCATTTTTTTTATTTGGGTGATAATTTTGCAAATAGCTTGATTTCAATTGCATTCAGGTAATCCTCGAAAGAAAAACAAGAATTTTTCAACTCTACGCCAGAATGAAAATAATAACCATTGTATTACATTACAGTTCAAGTAAACAGAAAAGAAAGTAAGTCATGGACAATGGACAACTTAAAATATGAAACGGCTCATAACTTAATTATGAAAAGCTAAATGAAAAGATTACAAAAAAGGAATTGAGCTTTAATGGAGAAGCCAAGATCGTATTGGGAAACTGACAGTGTAGGAGAGAGGACCAAACAACCAATCTAATCCACTAAACAACAAAAGTACAACAACAACAACAAGCCTTTCTCTCACTACATGGGCTTAGCTACATGAATATTTTTTCTCCATTGTGTCATTATAAGAGTCAAATTTTCATTTAAATTTAATTAAATTTTTTTATTTTTAATATTTTCTAGTCAAATCTTTTCAGGTCTACCTCTAGATTTCTTAACATAGGTCAAATCCAATGCATCTACTCTCCTAACAGGGTCATCAGAAGGCCGACGTTCTTAACAACAGTAAACAAAAATATTTTATATTCAAACATCAGAATATTCAGATCTTGAAGCTAATGTTCTGTTTAATGAAGAACCAATCTCATTATGCAGACATAAAAATGTTTGAACCAATAAGTATAGCAATATAATAATTTATTAGTTTGGGTGTGTATGATAAAGAGCAGAAGATAAACAATTAAAGTAGGAAATTAGGATTATGTAAGAGTAATAGGAAGCATGGGTTCGACCTAAATAACAAGGGTAGAAGTTTAGCAAAAAAGAGTTTTGGTAGCTAGAATTAGGATTGCAAGCTGCATTCAAAAAGCGTGGACGGCAAAGAAGGATTGTTAAACAACAACAAGAATGACAACAAGAACAACAACAACATGAATAATAATAATAATACCTAAAAACCCATAAAAGCCATAACACAATCTAACCCACATTCCACGCGATCTCACGCACTGCATATCCCCTACTCTTTATTTCTCTAACAGGAGGGCCCTAATTGCTCTGCCAGTGACTATTAGATGCAAAACTGCACTCCCAAGTTCGCTCCCAGTTCTGCATGCAACTCCTCTCCCCTTTGTTTCATTCTTTTGAACAGCCCTACTACATCTCTCAATGCTATTGCCTTGTGCTACACCTCCAACAGAACGAGGTTCGCAGACGATCATTTGGGCTGCCTTGCCTACAAGGCATGGTTGTAAGATGAATCATATGAGTCGCCTTACCTATAGGGCAAGGTCCCAAGTCATCACTCTTCACTTCCGAGCATTTCAAACAAGCAAAAATTAGCATGGCCAACATAAAAGCCAACAAGCTCATCAAATCAAGTTTAGCTTCTTTGGTCCTTTCAACACATGTAAACCCCACCCCAACTTAATTAATAGAGTTGACATAAAATCAACAAAGGATCAACCCATATAAACTTCCAATGATCATCCATTAAAACCTATAGTAAATAACAAAAAAGGGATACTTGTTCTAATACAAACACTATTTGTTGATGTGGTTGCACAATACTTTGTTTCTAATTTTAATGTCCAACAAAACAATTTATTTGTTCAAATGTGCTTTATCCAGAGCATTGTTTCTTCTCATAAAAAATAGAATGGAATTATACTAGTACTTAGCTTTTATCAACATAAGGAAGGTATATCTTCCATAAATTCATGTAAATGTTTATCCTTGTTGTTTTGATCTCCCTTCTTAAGAGCACTAGTAGGGCTGAAATTTTAGCTCAAAAATTGCTTGACATTTCAATTCATTTTTAGTTTAGATCGAGCAACAATCAAGCCAAAAGGGATGGGCCACGAGCCAAAGAGCCAAGCCTAGATCAACTCGGACTAGCTCAAGATTGGTTCAAAATATAACTATAAGGAAATTTTAAATATTCTTACACATATGTGTGTAAATAATAAATATTATATTATAAATATGTATTTGTGTATATAAAATAAAAATATTTCTAGCTAATTTGATTTAAATTTGAATCAGCTTGAAATTAAACAAATTTGAGCCTACCTGACTTAAAATCAAATTGATTTGAGCAATAAACTAATTTCAAGCATGTACTTGATGAGCTCAAAATCAAATCATGATCACCCCAATGCACTAGTACCAGTTGGTATAGAGAACATGAAGAAAGCTAGGTAAACTTCTTGACTAATAAACAAGAAGTTTAAAATTCAAAATTTATAATACCAACCTTGACGAAAACAAACGTTGATGAAACTAAATTGGTGGGTTAAACTTTTAAAATCAAAATCAGAAATGAGGGGTACATATTATTCACCTTAATTGATACTTTCTCCTCGGACCTTTCCATTTTTCTTTGAGCTAGTTCTTTCTCAAGCTCGTAAGCTTTCCTTATGATTTCATCTTTTTCTTCCTCCAGCCCTTGTATCTTTCGTTGATATTCACTATTTACTCTCTTGATTCTACTTATTTCATTCTTCATTCCTGCTTCTTGAGCATATGATGCTTCTCTTGAGGCCAGATCAGCCTCCAACCTCAGAAGCTTTTCTTCTAAGGCAACCCTACTACGCCTATCATCCTCAGCATCATGTAAAGATTTCTGCAAAAGTGAGATCTTATCTGAAAATGACATTTTATCTGCCTTTAATTCTTCACATTCTTCAGATGTCGACAGCAGTAGGCCTTCCAGTTTCTCTCTTTCATATTTTGCCTCTTCAAGAGAGAACTTGAGATTCAAATTTTCATTTTGAAATTGTGTTACCTTCTGAAGTTGAAGTTTTAAGTCAGACACATCCTCAGTTATTTGCTGTTTTTCATAATTAGAAGCTTTCAGCTTTAGTTCAAGTTCATTAGCCATTCTTTTGAAGGTATCTTCACTAGATTTAACAGATTCTGTCATTCTCTGCATACTTTCAATGTCATTCATCAACATTTCCTCACTATGCTTGGATGAATTTAGCAATTTTTCTAGCTCTGCAACCTTGTTGTTAGACTCTCGTGTGAGATTATGAAGCTCAGTTTCATATAACTTGACTTTGGATTGGACTTCTTGGAGATTGTTCTCAAGCTTAGTTTTGTTTGAGCGCAAGATAGAAACTTCTCTTACAGCATCAGCTGCTATTTTCTCTCGTTCATCTTGGGATGAGCAATCCTGTGTAGAGAGGTGAATAATTTCTTGTTTGAGGTTCTCAACTTCAACCATCTGTTCTTGATTGATCTGTTTTAACATGACATTTTCCTTGCTTAATTTTTGCTCTTGCTCCTTATTATCTTGAAATATGCTCTCCAGCTGTGAAGCTAAAGTTTCTTCCTTCAAAGTAAAATCACTCTGCAGCAAAGAAAGCTTTTCTTCCAAAACCTCAACTTTGTTTAGATGCCCAGCAATCTTCTTTTGTAGATCCCTTAACTCAATCTCAAGATGAGACATCTGTTCACGCATCTCCAATTTTTGACTCCGTAAATCACCAACTTGTTTCTTTAGTAAATCACACTCATCAGTAAGGCTCTCAACTTTAGATTCTAATTTTGAATGAGATCTCTTCAGAACTTCAGATTCCTCATGTGCTTCAGATAATCTTTTTTGAACTTCTTGGAGCTTTTTTATATGTTGGGCTTTCAATGTTTCCATTTCTGCTTGCTCCTGTGCTATTTCACCCTTGAGATCCACTAGGTGAGACTTATAATCTTCAATTTCCAGTCTGTTGGTTTCTTTCTCATCTCTCATGTACCTTAACTGAGCTTCTAAGCCAGCTATGCGTTCAGATAATTGTAAATTCTCCACCTCCAACTCTGATATGTGTAATTCCAGTTCTCTCTTGCCTATTTCAAGTTCTGATGATTTTTTCTCAAGCATCTTGTTTACAGACAAATGAGTATCAATACTGCTACTTAGAATTATCATCTCATTTCGAACATCATCCAAGCATTTAGAGGAAATGATGTTTTCCCTTTGTGCAACTGCTAAACTTTCCTCCACCTGAATCTTCTCACTTTTGATGTTGGAAACTATATCTTCTAATTCCTTAATGGAAGATTCTAAATTATCAATCTCCTTTTCTTTCAACAAAAGTGCAGTCTCAAGCCTCTCATTTCTCAACTTCAGTTCTTCTGCCAAATCATTACTCTGAAGTTCTTTGATAATAATGTCATCTTCTATGATATGCACATCTGTTGTAGTGATCATTTTTTTCTCCCTAACACCTTCTCCCTTGTTCTGAAAAAACTCCTTACACTCAACAACTTTAGCTTGTAATGAAGAACTCAATTTGATAATACCTATCAGCGCCTCCTCCATCAATCTTTCCTGACTGGTTACATCTGCTCTACTAGAAACCACAAAATCAGTAATGATTTCATTGCAATTTTCTGCAATAGTATTCTGCCCATCATTTAGGTTTCTTGCATGAATTAATGCAAGCTGAAGTTGCTTGTCCATTTCATATAGCATACTTGGCATTTCCTCGCAGATCTTGGACTTCATAATTTCAGGCCCCTGTCCTGTAGCAGCATCAGAATACCCCCTATCAGCAGCTTCAATCTGACATTCAGTTGAATGTAATTTTTTCTTTTCTACTTCCACTTGGCATTCATTAAGTCTCATATCAAGGTCACAAGCATGATTCTTAAAATATTGGAGTTCAATCTCAAGTTCAGCACATTTTTTCTTCATCTCATCCATTTGTAATATGGATGGCTCTGTACTAACAACTCCATTCACATCCCTCCTTTGAAGCTCCTCTTCTGGTTGGCATATTTGATATTTAAGATGGCTAATGTCAGATGCAGAACTATCAAGAAAACTTGGAGTATGGAAATCATTGGATGAAGAGCTATGAAACTCTTTTGCCTTGTTGGCATCCTTTTTTGATTCCTTAAGCTTATAAATGAGCTCCAAGTTTTCTTCTGTAAGTTCAGTACAGTCCCTCTCCAGCTCCTCCACTTTAGCCCTTAAATCTTCAATTTCTTGCACCAGATCAGAATTTCCTTGATTCAATACTATCTCCATGGGCTGTGGAGCATCTTTCTCTTTATGTAGGCTTTCTTCTAACTTGCTAGTTTCTTTTTCTTTCACAGAGAGCTCGCTTGACCACTCTGCCTCGATATCCATTAGTGTTTGATCTCTCATCCCCTCACCATTTTCAGATATAGAAGTAATTTGGGAAAGGCCTGCTAACTCCAATCTTTGTTTCTCTACCGTTTCTTCAAGTTCTTCAAGTATGGCAACAAGTTCAAGGTTTGCTTCTTGAGATTTATTTAGCTGCATTGTTAGGGTGCTATTGGATTCTCTCAGGAACTTCAACTCATCTTCTAGTTGCCTCTGTGAATGCAGCAGACCTTCAGTTTTACAATCTTCCTTCTCTGCCAGACTTTCCTTCAAATTCTCCAAAGACAATTTCAGTTTATCAACTTCCCTCTTTAAAGAATCACGCTCATTGTTGGCAGCAGAAAGCTCCATATCCATCTCTGCCTGCTGTTTTGATTTGAAAGAACAGTCCCTTTTCAATTTTTCAAGATCAATTTTCAACTTCTGAGCATGTCTTTCCCACATTTTAGCCTCATCTCGAAGCTCATCAATAGTTTCTTCAGCAGCATCAAGGAGTTCTTTCGCAGAGCCAGACGTCCTAAGTGACGGGGAAGCATGGCTGTGTGGAGCAGCTTGCATGGTAGACTCCTGCCATTGATGTGGAGTAGAAGACCCTAAAGCCCTTGAATTAAAGGAGGATGGATTTGATCCTTCTGCAGGCCCTAAGCTGGAACTTGCACTAGCATGAGAATCACTTGAATCTTGTCTTACAATATGTGAGCTGCCATTTACACTGTTCTTAGGAGAAAAATTTGTCCCCTGAGAATTCTCTGTTGAGTCAGAGCTAGAATGTGAACCTGATGCTAAGGAAATCGCATCCTGCAGAAACAAATAATTCACCATGAGTTGCACAGTAAAGATTCCACTAACATACTCCACTAATAACTCCCCATGTTCAACTCTTTATGAAAGCAAAATATACAAGGCATAATATTGAGAAAACATTTCATGGGAATAACTGTAAACCGAGAATAATGTATGACAGAATTGGTGATTTCAGAAGAAAACTGATGATATAACTTATTGTAAAAGGATAAAATCTCTCCATAATTCAACTGAAATCACAAAGAAACCTGTCAAAGGAACTCATCCAATATTGAGTTTTATAGCTACATCTCCAACAAAAGCACATTTGCATATCCATTTTCATGGGATATATAAATCAGTGTAGTGTTTTGCCAACCCAAAAATTTAACACCAATTTGACAAATAAGAGACATGAAAAAATAAGTCAACAAATAAAACAAGAAAAATCATGTATTCCAATCCACTATGCATTTGGCTTTCTTTTTTGTGTTAACTTAGTTTTAAAGTTGAAAATTTATCATTTTTGCTGAAATTAAGATTGGGAATTTATTGTATTTGATGTAATTCATACAAATATGAAAACTGCAGTATTAAGCCAAAAATTGGAGGATTATGAGGAATTACTTATTTTGTATTCTTTTTGGATTGTAAATAGTACCCTGAGGAATGTTAGAAATTCACTGAATAATTTCTAATGCAATAAAATTTAGATCTCTCTCCAAGTAATAACTCCATGGAAAATTTTCTTGTACAATGAGGTGTACATTCAAATTGATGAATCATATCCTTATTTTTTCTACTAAATTGTCTAGTGATTAGTTTATATGCATGATAGAGATTTTTTAAGTTTTATATGAGTCACTTTTATTTGGTGTGATGTTAATTTTAATTGTTGTAAAATTTTATGCTTGTTCTTATATTTCTTTTGGAATTTAGAATTTAAATTACTTTTAAGTCAACTTTTAAATTTCTTTTGCATAAAAAAATATTGATTTTTACTTCAATTGAAAGTTGGAATGTTGTGAATTGTGATCTTTCATGTCTTCTTAGCCCACCATCTCATACAAGATTGTATTAATGAGTCTTTAGACCCTAAGATATCAGACAAACTTTCTAATCTAAACAACATAACAAGCTTGATTATAGGTTTAAAAAACTTATCTATAAGTCGCCCTGATATTCACGTATCACATGGTAAGCATGAGGTGGGTCTACATTTTAACCAGCCAAACTTTCCTTTAGAAGTTAGATTCTCATCTGTCTGCTCATTTTTCTACATAATAGATCCAAGATATTCGAACTATCATAACCAATTATAACTCTTTCATCAAATAATATTGCTACATAATTAGTAAAAGCAAGCTCATTAAAATTGTGTTTCATATATTGTCTTTCTTCTGTTAATTTTAAGCCACTTATCATCTAAAAGTTTTATATCTTTTGTTCTAAAATTTCACTTATTTTAGCAGAGGTATCACTAATTATTACAATTTCATAAGCAAAAAGCACATAATAAGATACCTCACTTTAAATATCATGTGGAAGCATTTCCATAACCAAGACAAATAAAATACAGATTTAGATGATCTTTGGCGTAAATCTATCATGAATAGAGCCTCTTAATCACTTCATAACTTCTAATATTGATCAATTTTCCATCATGCACGTTATAAAAATAATAACTTTTTTCTTCTAATTCTGAACAATTTAATAGCCTCTAACATACCTTTAAAATACACTTTTTCTCTTGATGTGTACTAAACAAATTCTCTGCACTCAATTATATGCTATCTCAAGATTTATAAAAATAATATGAAAAAATTTCTTTACTTTAAGTCAATGCTCCATTTTCCGCTCACAGAAAATCATTTAATGACTTGATAAGATTAATTCCAATATAATTTCAACAATCTTGAACATCACCTTAGTTAATACTGGTAAAAAAAAAACTTCATTTACAATCATTTGGCATCATATAAGTATCAAAAAAATTCAAATGAAAAAAATTAGTTCACCAAACTACTACAATATCACTTATCTCAATAACTCAATAAGTATTTCATACAAACCCAAAGATTTTCTTTGTGATGTGTGTGTGTATATATATGTTACTATTATTCAAAGTAGTTATGAAGTAACCAGAAAGTTTCCAAATACATTAAGATTAAACATCAATGGTCAATATTAAATCTTTTTTTTTTTTTTTGTAATGGCCATCAAGATGCTTATTAAAGATTTATATAATCAAAAGCTTCAAATTAAAAAAGTTAAGAAAATGGAGAAAATTTTTAGAAGATAAAAAACTAAGATTTAATAAAATATACTTTATCTAATATATAATTTCAATGGATGTGAAATTTATGATTATTTATTTATATTGTTAGAAAATCAATGAGAGAACAAAGTGTGGTGGCGTATTATTTTGAAGATTCAGAAGATCAATTGAATCATAACTTCTCGAATTCAAGTTTGATGGTTCAAATAAAAAAATATCAAAGTATTATACAATTAGAGAATATTGATCTTAAAGATAACTTTTGTTGAATTATCATAAAAAATGGTACATAAATTTAATTATTGGGAAATAAAAAAGTTACATGAAACTGAGTTGAGTAAAGTAAACATGAATATTAGAAAAGATGCGCATTAAAATATAAAGGATATTTTAGAGAAATGATTGGAGAAGGATCCCTCAAAGATAAGACGAAAGAAAATAAATATAGTGAATTTTGACTTATGTGTAATGGAAGCTAAAGATGTATAACAAGACTAATAAAAATAATCAGTGTGCAATGATTTAGAAGAATAAAATGTAGATTAAAGAAATATTAATAGAAGTTTTTTTTTTTCGGGTTCGAGCCAACCCGTAAATATTAATAGAAGTTATGGATAAATATTTGAATAAAAAACAGTAATAAATGTTAAAGAATTCATAAAAAAACCCAAACAATTGGGATATATCTACTGATGATGACACAAGTTCCCATGCAATTATTAAATCTTTGCAAGGAAACACCATTCACCATATATACATAATCACTTTGTTTGAAATTATTTTTTGACCAAGAAAAACTTGTAAAAAGCATAAAATTTACCGACAGAATCTTATTTTGTCTTATTTATAGATACAAGTACCATATTGTTTCAATGAGAAAAGAAAAGTAGCTTGAGGTTGGAGAAGGGCCGGCAGGCATGCAGATATAGGCTTTTCATGCTTAGCTTAAAAACTTGCAGTACTGCAAGCAAAATATTTCAATATCAGTTGGCGCTATCAGTTTCAATAGGAATATGAAACAGCAAATAAAAAATATGCGAAAATATTAACATCTTCAAAAAATGTGCTCCTTAATCAATCAAATTTTAATTATTTTTCCATAAGAAATTTTAACATCTTTAATTATATTAGTGAATTGTCATAATCAATCTTATATAAGCTCTCTGTGATGTACAAACTAAATATTGAAATTGCATTATGCTCATGTGAAATTAATAAGAAATCTCTCAGTTTATTCACATAATCCTAAGGTACCGTACTTCTAAATCTTCTTAAGTTATAAAAAAAATTATCAGAAAAATACAACACACCTGTTTTGCAGGTCCGTTGGGAAAGGCAGCAGCCGTCATTAGGCTACTAGAAAATGATCCCACACTTCCATAAATTGTGGTGTTAGATGAATCCGACTTACTATCCGCATCGCGATGGCTACCAGTTGGGCTTTCAAGTCGAGAGTTTGTTGCGCTCAAAGCATTACCACCCCTACAACACACTATATAAAGTAAGAACACAATAACAGGAAGAGAAAATACAAGTCTTTGGGATTTCATGCACTAGAAATAATCAAAACGAACCTGAATCTGGTCCTTGGGTTAAAGCACTGAATCTTCACCTGCATAATCAATCAAGAAGAAACACATCAAATTGGCAATACTAAAACAGCACTTAGGATGGAAGTGCATAACGTACAAGTTTAATATGATGTGCTATTCCAGGATGATAATTCCACTTATAAAAGCATATTAAAGCATTCCACGAAAACAAGAAATATAAAAAAAATGGTTTCATAGGATTATTGATGTGAATTGCTGTGCATAAATACTCCAAAACATCATGAAGGAGCCTCATGAAAAGAGCAATGGGAATATGATCAATGTTTTTTCTTGATGCTGCAATGAAAAAGGCAGCTGGAAGTTTGCAAGCACAGTTCAACTATCAAAAAGTTCCAAGGTCTGCAACTTAAGGGATGTTTGGTTTGAAGTAAAACGGATATAAAGTATTCTAAATGCAAAGATTTTGAAAATATTGATGTTTGCTTTGAAGTAAAAGAAATGCAAAGTAAATTTTTTTAAATAAGATTCATCCTCTAATTCAATTTTTTTGTATTTGAAAATCATTAGATTTGACCGACTTCCAAATACATTATAAATTATTTGTCATTGCATCCATCGCCGCCGTTGCCAACAGACCTCCACCATCGCCGGCCACCACCCACCACCTGCCGCCAGCCACCACCCACCACTTGTAGCTAACAACTGTCCACCACTATCATTGGGCTTTACACTATATTTATTTTAATGCTAAATAAATAATAATAATCACCGGTATTTATTTTATGCTCATCCAAAAACTCAAAATATTTCAAATACATTGCTTTTTTTTACACTGCATTTCATTTTATTATGTATTTTTTTAGCAAACCAAATAACCCCTAAACTAGAAATACAATTCATAGGTTTAGTGTCATACTGCGATTAGTCTCCTAAAGGCAATCGGCCAAACAAAAAACTCAGTGTTAAAAACAACTTTTAAAAGGCCGGCACTTTACTTGTCTTAGCTCTCGTCATTATACTGAATAATTTTATAACAACAACGCCAGTGACTGTAGAGTCTATTAAATTCAATACTTCAATCATACAGCTTTGATTAAATAAAGGCAGCTTTAAGAAATAAGCGATTCTTTCATTGATTTGTTAAATGGGATCATAACTTCAGTGAAAGAGTGCTGCTGTATTAAAAATATATTGTGGGGAAAAGGTAAATTGTAAGAAAAAAACTCATCAAATATATAAATATATAATGCACTCCTCACCTGTAAAATTGTACCGTATCCGCATTTATTTAATGGCAAGGTGAGAGGGCCAGAATCACTTGAATCTATATGATCTGCTAGATTCAAAACAATCTCTCCAAGAATACCTGGCTTAACTGATCCCTGTAAAAAGAATTCAAAGAATTTATATCCACGAGAACATAAAAATGTCACCACATATTCAACTGAGGATAATCAGAAATAAATTCTAAAGCAAAACCACATATTTTCAGACCATGGAAATAACGAATTTGAAGAAACATTCTCCACGGTTTTTTAATCCACCATCTTGAGATATAGGAATAGATTCTGATAAACTTTCTGTCCATTGGCAGGTTCCACTGTGTACCGTTGCCTTGTTCGACTTTGCAATTGTCTTTCCAGTTTCGACTGAGATAACAGAAATATAAAGCTTATCCCATCCTTTTGGAACCTGTTCTAAAAATATATCAGTTTAAAACTTTCAAAATGTTAAGATAGATGTCAAAAGATTCAATAGAATGCAAGGTAAACTAAAGTTGTTAACTCAAAAGTAATTGAATTATTATAGAAAGTCATATTATATTGCAGTGTGATTATACTGAATAAAATATTTAATCTATAATTACAAGAAAAAACCAATATGGCATGTAATTGTTGAGGGGAACAATTTTCATCAAACAAAAAAGCAGCAAGGTATCTTTGATAGCATGAGAAGGGGAAAATGAATGTCAACAAATTGAAGCGAAGATGTCATAACAGAGGCAAGAGCTGCTATAAAAAGATGAAAAAAAAAACGGGAGTTTTGCAAGATATATAAATGATCATAACTGGAAAACTGCCCATAAATAATTCCAACTGTGATAAATCAAAATAGAGGACAGTGAAAAAATTGCATATATAAAGTTCACAAGCCTGATGAAATGCAAATATTGAAGAATTATTTGGTGGTTAGTTATCTTAAGATGAATTTAATAGTAACGAACTTTTACAAGTAGCATAGTATAAGGTGAAAATAAAGGCCAGCTCAGCAGGACCAAACATGCAAATCCATGATAAGATGTCTCAGTATCTGGAAAGCATATAGGTACAAAGACCAAAGAGCTTAATGTCTTCTAAATATGTCATAATGATATTCCAACAAAATTGTTCTGTGGATGATCGTGCATACCATCTAGGATCGCATGAAAAATTAAGTCAACAACCTATGATATGATATATTGAACAGTGGCATAATCCAATGAAATAGGTTTGTATGACCACTTTCTAAAGTCATCAGACATCCGTTTTACAAATAGTTATTACTAGTGTGTTCCTGACTCAATGTATATGTTATGCATATTTTTTCATAATTTTAGAAGCATTATATATGATTGGGCATCATTTACTTAAGCTACTGAAATTACAACTGAATGATGAAATTGGCAATGACCTAATTGTCATTGGCCCTATACTTATAAACCATTTTCCTTCTCATTTCTTCCTCACCAATTATGAGAAGGGAGAGGGAGCGAAAGAGAGAAACTAATGAGATGAGGCGTTTGATTCATGCATCAAGTCAATTGGGTAAATCAATCTGCTTGAGGTTAGAACACTATATTCATATCTAGATTTTAGTTAATGATAAATTTCGTATGTTAGCTTACAGTACTCTGTCATGTGAATACTATTCTAGGTTTTATACGACTTTGGGGGAAGCCACCTGACCGGCCTAGACCAATCCAACTAGACTAGGCCAGGCCAGCCCAACTGATCAGCAAAGCCCTGGCCAAACCAGGTGCAACAGACAAGGAGATTTCACCTAGGGTTGTCAAAAATGGGTTTGGGTTGAACCCGATATTGACCCCTGCTGTTTGACCCGACCCATTTTTGCAGACGGGTCATAAATTCCAACTCGACCCGACTCGCCGGGTTACCAGGTTGACTAGCCCGACCCAATTTATCATATTATCCCAAACAGCAGGGGGTCAATATCGGGTTATCGAGCACGTCGATCGCAATCGGGACGCAGTTCGGTGCGGGCAAAGCGGAAGCAGGTGAGGGCTTGAGGAACGCTATTTGGTGCAAGGCCTACAGGCAAAGTGGAAGGCTGAAGTGTCGCGCACAAGTAGCCGCGCAGGTGCGTGGGGTCGCGCTTGTGCTTGCGCAGAAGAAGTCAAGGCGAGTGAGCGCAGGCTGCGGAGTCGTGCGCAAGCGGGACGCGATCCGGTGCGACCGTGCAAGGTTGTAGGTAGGCGGGGGCCGCAGGACTTGTTGTCGGTGGGTCACTTCCAAGTCATTTTCGGGTTATCGAGTTGATCTAAACCCGACCTAATTTTTCAAATTTGTTAGCAAATGGAACCCAGACCTGACCATTTGCTAAAAGGGTTGACCCAAAATATTATTTTATGGTTCTGGCCAGTTTTTCATGTCGGGTCAAATATTGACACCCTTAATTTCAGCTCCCCTTGTGGGGCCCATAGGAGTTATTATTCATTATGTAAGGAGGACAAATCAATAGGAAGCTGTTTAAGAATATTTCCTAATTGTGTTTATATTGTTTATAAATATTTTAATTATTTAGGAAGGTTTCATAAGTGTGTTTATGTTGTTTAAGAAGGTTTTAATTATTTAAAAATATTTCATAATTGTGCTTATGATGTTTAGGAATGTTCTAATTATGTTTATTGTGTGTGAGGGCTATTTAAGAGGGAGTTTTGTCTAAGGTTATCATCATATATGTGTTGAGTTTATTTTCCAGGGTTTGATGTGAGTTTTCTAACGGCGGCTAGGGTTTGTGTGAGAGTCGATCTACCTCTCGAATAGTAGATCAATTGTATCTTTCGTTATTGTTGAAGAAGCAATCAAAAATCAGCCATCATATTTGTATTCCTGCATTTTTCGAATCTACCTCTCGAATAGTAGATCAATTGTATCTTTCATTATTGTTAAAAAAGCAATAAAAAATCAGCCCTCATATTTGTATTCCTGCATTTTTCTTCTATCTATTTTGTTGTTTTTACTTCCAAGCACATCAAACTTCCATCAATTTTTTTACTATTTAATTCGTATTATGCACTTATTTATGCAATCCTGTGTATTGTTATATAAGAATGTCTATGTTTGACAAGATTTCCTCAGATATCAGGGTTCTTGCAGTATCCAAATTATAAACAGAGAAACACCTATGAATTTTGTGGGAATTATGGATGATATATGGTGATTTATAATAATTTATCATATGTAGATTGTCTAGTATGATTATTAATTAGTTCATTAATAAAAAATTTCAAATTGTTTAATTTTAAACATATGATTTATATGTGTCATTGCTTTGGTACATTGGGATGAATTAAGAATAACTTGATGTTAAGATCGACGAGCTAGTTCACCAAAATTATGTTGGTAAGTTAGATCATTTCAATTTAACATTTCATTCTTAAACATCTTGAATTAGATTGCACATGTTTATGCCAATTTCATTATGTGGTATAACTATTATGACAAAGTTATGACATGAGTCAGCATTAACTATTTGGTCAAATTCTTAATATTGCAATAAGCATCACATGCAAAGTTAAACTACCTCAGAGTTTCATAAATGTCATGACCACTCTCTAATTCATGTTTATGATTTCAAATGTCATGCAACTATAATGATAATGTCTTCCAATTCATTACACAGATTATGTCCTTCTTTCTAAATATATGTCATTATGGCCATGTTTCTAATATGTTTTGTTATGGTTGTCCATGCCTTCCATACTATACTTTTTTTATATCCTTGATTCTAAATATCATGTTTTTGTTATCAGCATAAATTTCAATTCATTTTACAGTTATATTTATGTTTCTAAATGTGTTGCTACCATTTTCTTGATCAAAACAACTACATAATTGTCATGCCTATGATTTCAAACTCCACTCTATTGCCATAATTAGTAAATATCAATCAAGTCAAAAGCTTCTCCAAATTAAACCTTAGTCATTGAGCCTATACATAAACAATGCAATTTTCATTTATGCTTGCAAATTTGAGTTTCTTTTGGCAGTGCTATATTATTTTGTTAGCCTTTATGTTGTATAAAATAAAGTTGTTGTCATCCTCATAAGCATTGTCAAGTTGTTCTGCAAGTAAGTTACCATTGTTATGAAGTCATGGAGAAGCTGTGTGCCATTAGATGGTTTCCTTTACATGCTTGTCACAGAAATTGAAATAGTGGTATGTAAGGTTTTTGAAAAACAAAGTCACAATAAAACATTTAAAGGCAAAGACTTGGTCTTGCTGGGCAGAACAAGCTTATCAACTCAGCTCATACCATGGGCTAGACCAAAATACATCTAAGCTAATTCAACATCTAAAAAGATCTTCAACTAAAGCATGTGTTAATATGAGTAAAAAACAAGCTCTTTGTATCGCCCAAGCAATCCCTGAATTCAATTAGAAATACTCAGAAACGAACCATAAACTCCTGTGTGCCAATCAACAAACTGAATATCTACAGTTTCAAAAGCTTAGAACAACCAGAAATGTATATGCATCTTCAAGAATATCTTCCCCTTTCCAGGTTTGCACTCAAATGCATTCCAAAATACTAAGTGCAATGGCTAGCAAAAGCCCAGTGACTCCTGCTATATGCTTCAGTTCATCCACAACAAACATAACAATCAAAACCAAAGAAATTCAGACCAGATTAGCGATCCATGCATCAGAACAATAAGTTCAGACACTTTATCCACAAAAAACTGCAGCACAAAACAAAGGGAAAATCCACCTACACGACCAAAAAAAGAGATTTGAGCCATGCTAAAAGCACAAAAGTCCATCTACTTTAAACAAAACAATGAGCGGTAGCACAGAGAATGCATGGCAGAATCGCCGAACAATACACAGTTATTGGCATCTCAAAAACCCCAAAGAAACACCATAAAATGCATTATTACCTTAAACGCCTGAAAATTAGAGAACTTGAACTCCGCCCGCTCCCCCAATCTCTCCGACCTGTGCTTATTTAACCTAAACATAGCTTCCGTGCACCCCCTCTCGCCAACAAACGGAATCAAACCACCATACAACCGCCGCAAAGAATACGATAGCCAGGAAACATAAAAAGAGGCACCTTTTCCCTCTCTTTCTCTTCCTCTATGGCTCTTTCAAGTGAAAGGGGGATCAAGAAATAGAGAGAGAAACGCGGTGGCAGGAAGAGAACCAGTTGGAGCATTGAGGGAGGTCTCGGTAGACCTTTTGCCCAAATTCTTTTTAAGGAGTTTTGGCATTTTGTAGGTTGCAAGACAGATGGAAATAAAGAGCTCGTGTCTATGAACTATTTATTTCAAGTCACCCGCTTTTTATCCACCCACCCCCACCCACGCTACACTCGGCGTCAATATCTGGTCGAACGTGACTTCGTCCTTCTACGTTGACTAATTGCCATCTGGAAAGTTTAGCTTGAGAATGGTGCAGATGGTGAATGTGCGGTGATAACAAAGTTGGACCATTAATTCCTTACAATAGCATTGGAGTAAATAATGCTTAAGCGAAACGTCGCCCTCCGGCGAAATAAGTCATATATCTGTAATTTACAGTTTAATTTAAAATATTTTAAATAAATCGTAGTTTTTATTTTTTTTCGTTAACATTTTTTTTTTATTGATTATAAGGCGCATCTCCTTCACAAAGGTATCGAATAAGATAATATTATGTAATTAAATTTGATCTATTGGTTATGAGCTTTAGCTATAAACTAAACATTTTTAGTATTTTTGATAATTTTTTTGTTGCTTTCTCAAAATAGCTTTTTAGTATATTTTTTTTTTTTTAATTACTTTTTAGTTTTTTTTTTTTTTTTTTGAATTAAAAATTTTATACTAGAAAATAATTTTAAAAAATAGTAAAAAAAATGTCCCAAACTAAGCTTAAATGTCAAAAAAAAGAGCAAGAATGTTATTATAGAATTAAGGATGAGAACTTTTTTTATAAGTTTGATTTCATTTATTTTCATGATGAGATTCTCGAAAAATGTTAAAGTGTGTGGTACTTAAGGCTTGAAAAGTGCTCTACTAATTTGATGATGATCGGCATATGATGACGTGTGATATAGTTGTCGAGGTACACAAAATCAGACTAATTTGATGATAATCGGCATGTGATGACGTGTGATATAGTTGTCGCGTATTGCTAGGTATTGCTAGGTATTGATCTTGACAGAACGGTATTTCTCGTTATTGTCAAGCAATACCTAACGATATCGAGGTTATAATAAAATAATAATAAGTTGGTGTGGCCTTTGACGTCATTGGGTTACTAAAAAGATTTTTGCTTCCACTTTGGCTAAAAATGAGAAAGCGATAGCATACAGCTGGCTAATTAATTAAAGCTACATTCGCTAAGCATCCAATTGGGACGATTATATTCTTTTATAAAGTTAATTATAATTTTATTATAAAAAAAAATATTTTATTGTTACAAAAAACGTAACTTTCTAATACAAATTTTTTATAAACAGTAAAAAAATAATAAATAAATAGAAAATATAATTACAGCATGAAAAAAATAATAATAATAAGAAAACTCATAAGAAAATACTCAGTATCATATTATGAAATTATTCTATAATTTCATATAAAAAGGGATTTCATCAGCTCTCAAAAAAATTATAACTCTAAAAATGAGCTGACTCAAGAGAATTTTGTGTTGGGAATGGAAGTAAAGCACCACAGTGAAACAAATAAGTGAAAGCAGCATAAAATAAATGACATCAGGATGTAACGTGGATAAATTCAAGATAGGGATAAAAATTACGTAGCCACACCACACACTAAAAAAGCTACTATGAAAATGGAGATAAATAAGTACATAAATTTCTTCTCTCTCACTCTCACCTTGCTTCTCTTTTCTCTTGCACCGTTTTCATAGTTCTCATGTTTTAACTACTCACAATGCAAGAGAAAGTCAAGTAGATAATTTCAAGAGATGCAACCTTTGAGAAAAATGATAAAGAAAACTGTTCAGCCCGCCTCGAAGCATTGCGACGCTCAAGTCTCTATCAATATGATGCAGTGAAACTCAAAGTTGTAGTGTTGTGAGGTACACAGCTAGGGGTGTCAATATTTGACTCGACCCAAAAACCCGACCAGAAAATTTCGGGTTCGGGTCAACTCAAACCCAAACCGGGACTGGTTCGGATTAGGGATTTAGACCCGTTTGTAAAATCGGGTCGGGTTCGGGTTGACCCGGAAACCCGAAATCAACCCGGTTTGACCCGTTTTTAATTAATTTATGAGGGTTTTAATTGATTTTTATGAAATAAGTAAATTATATTTCAAAAAATTATAAACATTATTGCCCAAATTAAATTAATCTTGATTTATTTTAAATTAATTGAAGTAAATCTTACCTTAATTTGATTTAAATTTAAATAAATTAAATTAAGTAAAAAAATTTAATAAAATATACCCGAACCGGGTCGGGTTCGGGTTGAGCCGGACTCGAAGCGGGTAGGGTTCAGGTTCGGAAAACCAACCCGTTTGCAAAAACGGGTCGGGTTAGGGTCAGGTTGAACAGTGTTGGGTAAATTTCGGGTTGGACCCGAACTCGACCCGTGACCCGATTTTGACAGCCCTAACACAGCGCCATGATACTCAAGTATATAATGTGGGGCGTTGCATGAACAAAAACAATTATGTTGCAAAGACCCAAATTGAAGTAGATGGTAGGGGTGCAACCGAGTCAAGCCAACTTGCGAGCCGACTCGGTAACAAGCTCAACCAGTCAAGCTTATCGAGCTCGAACAGGCTTTGGACTCGACTCGTCGGCTCGACGAGCCTCTCTGTTGGGCGGGTTTCGCGAGAACGATCTTGGGACGACGACAGCGAATGTGCTCGGGACGCGGACGGACGTGTTCGTGACGACATATCTCAACGGCGGCGAAGCGGATCTCGACAACGAGCTCGGAACGACAATAATTGTTGCATCGACTAAAACACTTCAACAACAACGGAGCGAATATCGACAATGGAGCTCAGAATGGATGCGATGATGACAAACTGTGCTCGACCTTGACAGACCTCGGGATGACGAATCACAACATTTTGAGCTCGGATTGTGCTCGACGATTCGAGCTTGAGCTTAGTATCTAGCAGTCGATCTCGACTAAATAGCCCCTCACTCAAGCTCGACTCGACTCGTTTGCACCCCTAGCAAAGGGTTAGCCCCCCAAACAGAGAAAATGACTTGAGGTTCAAGGCAATAGTACAATCTGATTGATCAACATAATCAAATTCCACATAGAACTAAGAATTTGAAACATATTGCCTCTCTCTTCTAGCTAATGATCTCACTCACTCACTCTCATTGAATTGTTCCATTTCCAAACATCATTGTACAATGCAAAATAAGTAATCTTTCACTTTTTATATAATAGCCTTGTTATTTATATGAATTTATTTTGAATAAATTTTATCTAAATGCATTATAATTTATATAAACTTTTTATTATTTTTGAATGATTTTCATGCACTGATTACTTTATTAGTTATTTATATTACAAATATATATTTTTTAGCTAATCTAGAAATGCTGAGGTAGGAGGGCAACCATTAATAAAAGGATTCAAATAAGTAAAATTTAGCTTGAATATAAAGATTATGTTTGGGATAGCTTTTTTGTTATTTTATGTTTTAGATCGCAACAATAATATTTATTTGGCCACAAATTTTCTATTGCTTTATAATTGGACCGAAAATATTTTAAAGTAATTTCAATTTTACTCAAAATTGTAAAAAACCACCAACTAATTGCGTGAATAAGGAAAAATTATTACATGTGACGTTCAAACACGTCCGTAGATCAATCCGGACACGTCACGTCACCCAATACACAATACATTGGATGACGTGACGAGTCCGAATTAGCTTCCGTATGCGTTCGAATTCCATACAGAATAATCTCTCATGAAGAATGATTCCCATACATAGTGCACCAAGCACAAAAGATATTTCATATTTTCCAACTCCAAGCCCAAAAGCTCCTCCATACAAAGTGCAGAAGAGATTTCTTGTTACTTAGAGCATGGGCCAATAAAGGCACCTGCAGGGCTTTAGCTGCTTGGTTCTTTGAAGGCCTGTTCAATTTATTTTTAGATTTACGAGGCCATAGTAGTTAAAATTAAGTTAATTACTAGAAGGCCCTTTTCAATAGTTGTGACATTGCCGCTTCTTCATGCAATTACTGTGCTGAAGTTTTAGCAGAAAATCTTGCCTAAAAATTCAGCACAGGAATTGACATGAAGATGTGCAGCTTTTTAGTTAAAAAAAAGCTAAAAAACAGCTTCATAAAGCAGCAATAAAGTTTTTTCAAACGAAACTTTAAGCACATACATAATAAGAAACGAGTACCAAAGATGAGATCCAGCAAAATAGGATAATTTTTATTTTAAGATTTGATGATGCATAATAATGTAGAAGAAGAAGTTACAAAAAATGAAAAATCTTAATAAATAAATTATATTTTTTTTATTTTTTAATGAATCAAAAATCAATTTTATATGATGCTAAAAATAATAATAGAATGCATTATTTTTCATTAATTGGCAGTATGTCTAACCACTTTAGTCTTTGGTTAAAATTAATATTAAAATATTCTCCATTGGCTAGGCAATCAACAAGTGATCTAACAAAGCTTACCTCTCTCTATATAGTTTTTCTTAGAACTTTCCATAAATTCTTCCATTGTTTAGTCTAATCTATATAAGGGCAAAATTTAGGTTTTATTTTTTAGCTTTTTTTAATGCTTCTTAAAACAATTTTTTAATACAAAAAACTTAAAATTTTCACTAAAAAAATGATTTAAAAAACAGTAAGAAAACCGTCCCAATCACGAAACCTTGGTCAGAGTTCCTAATTATAAAAGCTACTTTCCAACCACAATCATGATTCATGAATAATTACATTTCAATCATAATATTATTTGTGATTGCTAAAGGTGTTTGGGATGGCTACAACAAGTTGTAAATGTGGTTGTGAGGTGAGACAAGAATACTTCTTTAATGTTGTTGTGAATATTATAAATATATATTTTATTCAGGAATATCAAAGACCTGCATTTGCAAATTATTGCGGGCTAGAATATACTCGACGATAGAGTTAAAAAACTTCTGTCTCAGTGTTGTACGGATATCTAGCACACAAACAGAGAAGAAATAACAACACTAGATTTTTTACGTGGAAAACCCCTAAAGGGGAAAAACCATCGAGCCACGCTTAGTTAAAAGAGTTCAACTAGTGTTTGTTTGAAATACAAGAGACTGACTTGTCCTTAAAAATTAGAACGATCATATTACAATGATCTCTTCGGGATTGCAAATCAGTTACAACGTCGAGCAGAGTTACGACGTTACTTGGAGATCGGGCGGAATTTTGGCATCCTTCGGAGGTCGGGCAGAATTCTGACGCCGTTCCGAAGTTGAGCAGAATTCTGAAATTGGGCATAACTCTAGCGTCCCTTGAGCGTCGGACAGAACTCTGGCATCATTCGGAAGTCTGGTAGAATTTCGGCGTTGGGCAGAACTGTGGTAGTGGTCGATGAGGAGTTCTTCCCTCCTATTATTCTCTTCTTATTCTCTTATTTTTCTCTTTTTGCTTTGATCCCCTCTCATGAGAAATGAGGGGTCTATTTATATATATTATGGAGTGGCATAGTTTGTAAATAGATGAGAGATCAAGGATAAATAGGTAGTGGTCGGATGGACGGCCGATATTGAATCCCTTGATCGTGCTCTGTTTGTTAGACATTTAAAGGTCTTAATGATGTTAGAATTCGGCGATCTTGGACTCGTTGGATTCATCTCGTCGAGCCGCTCGATTCTATTATAAAAAACATCATATTTTGAAACCATTTGGTAACTCAAATTATGGTTTGAACTTTCCAATAGCGCTTCGAGTGCTTGATTTGGACTCATTTGGGCTCGGATTGAGTCGAATTTGTGTCGTTTAGTTCGTATTTCCGAGATGCTCAGTTTGACTATAAGTTCACTGAAATCGAACTTCAGGTGATCCCGTATTTAATTTTGAAAGTTTTTTACTCGATTTTGCCTCGTGATTCGTGTCCGATCAGGATAATTAATTGATGATACATCATAAATCCATCACATATTAACAAATCTTATTATAAGAAGCAACTTCCCATCATACAAAATTATAAAAAACTACAATCAAATCGAACTATTGTGATATGAAAAAAAAAAAAGAAAAAAAAAATGATTCTAAATATATCGTAAGGGACTGTTAGACGATTATGATATTTTATAAAGTTGACTGTGAAGCTGCTGTGGAGAAATGAGAGAGTATGTTTGTGATCCCTCAACACATGTTCGATTCTCCTCTCATATGACGCCTCCTCTTAAGAGAGGAGAAAATAATTCCGAGTCCTGCATTTATGGAGCTGGTTGTTGATAGGCTCGCTCAGAGATTAGTTACATCACAAATTCAAATATTTAATAAATCTGATTTTTTTAAAACAAAAGAAGCATTCTTTAATTTCCATGTAAATTACCCATAAACCATTAATTAAAAGATGCTTAAAGTCTTAATCCGCGATTAATTGCGCAGTGAGATCATTAGTCAATGCTAAATAATAAATAAATAAAAGCTTTTTTGAATTCGCTATTGCGTCCTCCACAACTGCGGTGATTAAGCGCTAAAGCCAACTTTTTTATCCTTTTTATATATTTTTAATTAAGGTTGATTAATCTCCACCAAATTTATTAATTACGCATATTATTACCACTCCCATTTATATAGCCTACAGTACTTTCTTTGGCCAATGGCTGCGAGCCTACTAACACTCCACTTAGTATATCACATGAAAGTAGGGTACGAATATAATAAGCTTTTATTCTGTTTATGGGATTTTTTTTTTTTGGTTAAAATTCTTTAGGTACAGAACCTAAGCTGCTCGCTCTTCAGTCTCTCTCTCCATTGTCCTCATGCTCTTTTACTTTTTCGAATCTCTCTATTTCTCGGTGCAGAGCTGCAGATTGCTTCGAATCTGAAGGTGAGAGCTTCGCAAGTATAGCATTTCTGGAACTGGTGAGGCGCTTTTCTGCTAAAGGGAGGTTGGGTTTGGCCGGAGGGATCTCGCTGGGGGTGGCGAGCTGGGAATCTAGGGCAGCGGTGAGGCTCAAGTTGGAGTGGCTTTGGTGTTGTGAACACTGGTGAGAGGTGGTTTTTTGAGTTTGTGGGCTGGTTGGAGGCTTCACCGTCCGATCTGCTGGTGGGGGTTCTCTCCAAGCAGGGGAGTTTGCCTCTGCGAGCTAGGTAAGCCTTACGTTGCCTATTTTTGTGGTGTTCTGAGTGGAATGCTTTGTATTGTTTAAGTATTTGGGCTTCAATCCGCTTTTGAGCTTCAGATCTGTGGGATTCTGTAGTGTGAGATCTGGGATAACTTGGTGTGAATTTGGTTGAGGAATAATAGGCGTGAAAATAAGATTCTGTGGTGTTTTAAGTTATTTTAGACTGGTTTTATTGCACGGGAAGCTTGAAGTTATTGGTTACAGTGAAATGTGTAGGCGAAGGCAAATGTTACCTCTTGAGAGTTGACCGAGGCAATTACTGACAAAGGGGTGGTAAGTAGGTAGGAGATTGAAAACTATTTATCACTTCTTTTTTATTTTAATGTTATTGAAATTCAAGGATCTAAAGTGTCACATCAAGTTGTTGTAATTAATGTTTTAATTCTGCTTCTTCAATGATCCCAATGCGTACACATTTCTTAGAGGAAGTTGCGAGCTTTTAGTTGAAAATTGATGCAGAAGGACGAGTATACAGTTGGATTAGGTACACACCCATATATGCAGGCTAACGCGTCTAACTGTAGCAATAGATTAGGGGAAAGAAATAATGAAGTATCGAGATTAAAAGATAGCCGGCTATGCCCTTTTTGTGTTTTTCTGGCTGTGGATTCCTGCGAAACTGCCGCCATTACTTGCTACTGGCGACTAAACAATCCATAAATTATTAGGGAACACCAATTAAGATAAATCCGGTAGAATACGTTCTCTAAAAATGCTGCTTGCTTTATGACTGTTTCATTTGAAATAGTCAGCAATTAAACTAAAGCGACTTGGGCTCTTTTTATGCTTACAAACTGTTGATGTCTTCCATCCTTCATAGTTAACAACAAATGAATGTGCCATCTCAAAATATACTACCAACAATAAGTAAAATGAAAGAATATTAAGATGAATGAAATAAATTGATTTCAAATGCTTCTCAAACAAAATTGCATGCTGAAGCAGAAATTTACTAAAAAGAACATTTTTTTTATAATAGCGCTTTAGGGAGCAAATAAGTTGATATGATTTGCACATATGCACCACTTATAGCACATAGGCTGTTTTTCCTACTATTTAGAATATCTCATTTGGCACACAAACATACATGATTCTATATAAATTTTTTTAGCCATGATAAACCAATGTTGTTAAATTGTTGTTTATTTGGCATTTCCATGCTTGTAAAGGTAGACTGGTTTACTTTTGATTTTATTGAACTTATTTGATAGATGATTGGCCTTTTAAGTTGTAAACTGCTGCTTTGTTTATGTTGCTCTATGCCGCTATCGATGCCTTAGAAGTTTATTTCTTCTTTCAGGCCGCTTGATGTCCTACTCTTGGAAGTCCTACTGATGATGGTTGTCCTTTTAAAAAGGATATTAATTGATAAGTCAAGACTAGAATTCTTTTATATTTGGACCCTACACTGATTTTTGTACCTGTTGATTTCATATGATTGCTGCTAGTGAAATTTAGAAAAACACCAACAATATTGTCAATTATAACTAAAATGCCGTCATGGTGGGGAAAATCCTGCTCTAAAGATTCTAAGAAGAAGACAACCAAGGAGAATTTTATAGATACATTGCACAGGTTTATAAGTTCAAGTGATCAGAAAGGTACTGTAAAATCAGCCGTGAATCGTAAAAGATGCAGTGACATTGCCTCAGAGAAGGGCTCTCGATCAAGAGCGGAGTCAATATCAACTTCTCCTTCCACTCAGGTATCACGGTGTCAAAGTTTTGCAGATAGACCAGTTGCCCAACCACTTCCACTTCCTGGTCTTCAGCAGGCGATATGCCGAACATCCTCTGTAATCAATGTCTCAAAGCCAATCTTGGAAAAACGTGGAAAACCTAAGTTGCTTTTGCCAATGCCTACTCCAGGCCGTGTTCCAAGGAGGCCGGAAATGGCAGATACTGATGGAGACTTAGCCACTGCATCTGTGTCAAGTTACTGCTCCATTGATAGTGATGAAGCCACAGACTCTCGCCTGCATAGTCCTGTTGGGAATGATTTTGATAGAGGAATCAGGTGCATAACATTACTTTCCTGTTACATTCTTTCCTTAGAGATTGAAAGCTTACATTTTATCTATTGTAGTGGGGTCCAAAGAGACCAGTCTTCTATGACTGTTCGGAAGAGTTCAATGGAGACTGCAAAACCAGCAATGTCACTGCTAAATGGCCAGATTTTATCTACGTCACCCAAGCGCGGGCCTTTGGGAAGTCAACATAGCATGATGCATGGTGCTCGCAATGGCGCTTTTGGAAGTGCCCCAGATAGCTCAATGTCAAGTCCTTCTAGAAGTCCCATAAGAGGGGTTTTCCCTGAACAGATCCCCACCAATGCATATTGGGCAGCAAAGCCTTACCCAGATGTTACTTTTCTTGGGTCTGGCCAGTGTTCCAGCCCAGGCTCAGGACAGACATCTGGGCATAACTCAATGGGGGGAGAAATGCTGGGCCAATTCTGGCAACACAGCAGGGGTAGTCCAGAATGTTCTCCAATTCCTAGTCCTAGAATGACAAGCCCTGGTCCAAGCTCCAGAATACATAGTGGAGCTGTCTCTCCTCTCCATCCAAGGGCTGGTGGTACTGCACCAGAATCACCTACGAGTCGGCCTGAAGAAGTTAAGAAGCAAAGCCACCGTTTACCACTGCCACCAATCAATGTTTCTAACAGTTCTCCATTTTCTCCAACTAACATGCAAATGCAATCTGGTACTTCCAATATCCCTCGAAGTCCTGGAAGAACAGATAACCCTCCAAGTCCTAGTTCACGTTGGAAGAAGGGAAAACTCATAGGGAGGGGTACATTTGGGCATGTTTATGTCGGCTTTAACAGGTATGTAACTCGATAACATTTTCTATTTTGTATGCTGGCCATATCGGATTAATATTCTATTGCATCTCATTAACTGACTGATATATCGGATTAATGTTCTATTGCATCTCATTAACTGACTGATAATTCTTTGTTTGCATTACTCATGGTGTCAAAATTGTCTTTATTTTTGGATGCATGAATGCACGCAACCAGTAATTGTGAGATTATTCTTTTGATGAATTGATTATGATTGAAGGGCGTGCTCTCACAAATTTGTCATCTGTTGGGAACACATGCGTGCTTGCGTGAATGGGTGTTCATTCGCTGTTATTTCTTTACCTTCCTGGTTACTTTGTTGGATTTATTTTGTGGTTCACTAATGCCGTTGCTCTCATGTAGTGAAAGTGGTGAAATGTGTGCAATGAAAGAAGTCACCCTTTTTATGGATGATGCCAAGTCAAAAGAAAGTGCAAAGCAGCTTGGGCAAGTAAGAAATTTTCTATGCTTATAAGAATGATTTCACTTAGTTTTGCATTGCTGCAGTTTATTCTGATTGTATTTCATTTCCTAATCAATATATTCTCCAGGAAATCTCTCTCCTCCGGCAGCTGCGTCATCATAATGTTGTGCAATACTATGGATGTGAAACGGTAAAGATATCAGCTGTAATGTTTTTTGCTCAAATAATCATATATTTGTCTGGATTCATCTGCGCATGGGTGCAGCTTATTGTTCCTTTTCAATTTGTTTCCTACATACCATTTTCATGCAAAAGTTATTTTAGAGAAGTAATGCACCCACCTAAGCATAAATTTACTTTTATTCCACTCTAATACTTAATATTAACTCATATACCAGTTTAATCTATATCTTCTTACTAATATGCTACTTAATCAACTCTCAGCGCTAGACTATAGCCTTGAATAAGATAATTAGCTTTAGACGTTAACCTTGTGGGGCTGAAGAACCAGCTGCCACCAGACAACCTCGAACGAAAAATACACGAATGAATGGCAATGTGAGCCTGCCACAGGTCTCATCATGATTTCTACCTTCAAGAAAAGCCTCATTCTGACTTTTTTGTTTTTGTTTATTTTCTGGAGTGCTGCTGGGTAGTTTAAAAGCATAAGGATGGTGCTTTTCTTAATTAAGGTGAACTTATGGGTGCTTCTTAGGGGTGTAAACGAGTCGAGTCGAGTCGAGTATTTGCCTTATCAAGCCTGGCTCGTTTAGTCCTTAATGAGCTCGAGCTCGAGCTCGAGCTCGAGATCGAGCTCGATTAGTAGGCTCGAGCTCGACTCGTTTAGAAAATATCAAGCTCGAGCTCGACTCGAAAGCTCGAGCTCGTTTGAAAAGCTCGAGCTCGAGATCGAGCTCGTTTGAGAATTATCAATGCATGTGATGGGTATTATTATATATATAATTAATATTATAAATATAATATATATATAATTATATCGAGTAGCTTGATAAGCTTTCGAGTCGAGTCAGGCTGAGCTTGAACTCGAGCTCGTTAAGCATTCGAGCTCGATTGTAGGCTCGAGCTCGAGCTCGAAGCTCGATAAGCTCGGCTCGCGAGCTCGTTAACGAGTCGAGTTCGAGCCGGCTCACGAGCCGGCTCGGCTCACTTACACCCCTAGTGCTTCTATAGAAGGTTAAATGTAATTCTCCTTTTAGGATAGTACTAGATAACTTTAGTGACATTTTTGTCTGAGTTAATAGATCGGGTGATATGCTAGTATTATTTATGATTATGTTGCTATTATAGTAAATGTGTATATTTAGGATGATACGCTGTAAGAATTCCTTGTTGGATGAATATAGTTGTGGTAGTTTATTTCAGTTGGATGTTTTAAATAATTACTGGTTGTAGCTGTGATTGTTCATTCATTCCGTCAACCAAAGAAGTGCATGTTTTTTGTAAACACCAATATTTGACAAAATAGTTTTATTTTTGAGTTTTGAAGCAGCTATTCTAAATTCTAAATTGCTAGTAATCATGCTACTTGGGGAGGTGCCACATATGATCCGAGGACCCAGAAAAATGGTTTTAATAAAAGTTAGGTGCTATTGCTGTTTAGATACTGTTTGGTTTAAGTTTATTCCAGACTTAGCTTTCTATTAGTCCGGTCTCGCCGGGCTAACTTGGACCGGCTATTTGGAGGCGGAACAGATCTGCCTATTTAGGCGGACAGGCTTCAACCTGTTAAGGGAGGAAATTCTGCTTGTTTTAAGCGAACAGGCTTCCAGCAATCAAGGGGGACGACTGCTAGGAGGGAAAGAATTCAAATGCAAAGGACTATTTGGGGATTTGGGATATTTTTGTATGCTTTAAGTAGGGTGTTTTTCCTAGGGTTATGGATATATCTTGGTTGTTGAATTTGAGAGTATTCTTAGGATGTTTTGAGCTCTAGCCGCCGGCTAGAGATTGGGAGAGCTGGATCCTCCTCTCCAACCGAGATCCATTGTATCTTGTGTGTTTTGTTCCATCTACTATTAGTATAATCATTTCTCGCTTATGTTTCCCTATGTTCTTCTTATTTCTGATTTTGCTCCTTGTTGAAATTTAAATTCAGCAAAGTTTATTGTGATTTTAATAATGTTTTTCTATGAAATTGGTATTAAAGCAATTTTCTGGGCTGAAATAGAAGTCTTTATCGCTGATTTCTGCTACGTTTCCTCTCCGATTTTGTTTTTGCTGTTTGGAGGCCAGATTCGCATCAAAGTTGTTGTTTCTTTGCTATTAGAGCCTAAATATGGGTACCTATGGCAGGAATAAAGGTAGAAGTGCTAGAAGGAGAGATCAGACAATTTAAATATGAAATATCAGATATCAGATCTTCAAACTCAACTTTCAGATTCCAAAAGTCAAATTTCAGCCATCAAAGAGAAGATTGATGCAAATTTTACCATCCTAGAGGAGATGTTGAAGAAGTTGCTTGAGGGGCCAAGGAGGCGAGGGAAGCCTCTGGCGACTAAGTAAGTGGGGAAAACCCTAATCCAATAAGTTGAACGAAAACTCAGGAGGTGGAGATTCGGGAGTGGAATGCCTCTCCTAGAGCCTATTCCTAGGGAGGAGCCACGTAGAGGGTATGGCAAGAGGAGTGAGAAGGCCAGACATGAACGAAGAGGTGTTAAATTTAAGAGGGAAGGGGCGGAATTTGAAACTGAAGGGCTAATTATGAGCGAAGGAGTGCTGAATTTGAAAGGAGAAGGAATGATTATGATCCAAGGAATGTTGAATTTGAAAGGAGAAGATGATAGATTGATGAAGGTTTGGATATGAGCGTAGAAGGGATGATTGAGATACTTGGGGAGAACTACCTCCTTGGGGAATGTAAAATTATGGCAGAAACATGGGGAATGGAGGAGATCCTAGGGTGAGGAAGCTGAATATGACTATTTTTGAGGGAGATGATGCTCATGGGTGGATTTACAAGGTGGAAAGGTACTTTACCGTCAATAGGTTGATGAAAAAGGAGAGACTAATGGCAACCAGGATGTGCTTGGAGGGGAAAACTATACAATGGTGCCAGTGGAGGGATACGAGGCGACCAATATGAACCTGGAGGAAGTTTAATAATTGCTTGTTGGAACGTTTATGAACAAACAAGGGAGGGGAGGGGACTTCTATGAGCAGTTCTTCACCCTGATGCAGGATGGGACGGTGTTTGAATACCGTGGGCAGTTTGAGCACCTGACCAACTAGAGCGTCTTCCGGAGACTATATTGGAGGTGAACTTTATGAAAGGGCTCAAATCAGATATTTGAGCGGTTGTTAGAGTGACGAGGCCCCGTGATTTGGGAGAGGTTATGGTGTTATCTCAATTAGTGGAGGATCAGAGGCACCTGGAGAGAGAGATTGGAGGCAGCAGCTCAGGAGGTTCATACAGGATGACCACCACCTTTTTGGCACCCAGGGAGCCGACACCTGGTACTCTTCGAGAGACCCCGAAGAAGAAGTCTGTAAGATGAAGACTTGGGACAATTTTAAGAAGCTCACAAAATAGAGTTACAAGAGAAGAGAGAGAAGGGCCTTTGTTTCAGATGTCACGAGAGGTATACTTCGGGGCACTGATGTAAGGACCGATCGCTTAAGGTTCTCATTGTTTAATGTTTATGATGACCAGGAAATTAAGGAAGAAGTCACCTTTCCCTCTTGTGGACAAGGTTGGTCTTTGGGAGGGGGGTATTGTTAAACCAGCTGTTTGAAGGTGGAGCATATCCGCCTGTTTAGGCGGATAGGCTTTAGCCTGTTAAGGGCAGAAATTCTACATGTTTTAGGCGGATAGGCTTTCGCCAATCAGGGGGAACGACTGCTAGGAGGGAAAGAATTTAAATGCAGAGGGCTATTTGGGGATTTGGGATATTTTTGTATACTTTAAGTAGGGTGTTTTTCATAGGGTTAAGTGTATGTCTTATTTGCTAAATTTGAGAGTATTTTTAGGGTGTTCAAATGGACTTAATGCATCTCACTTTGAGTTGTACTCGACTTGTCTCAGGCTGATCCATGCTGAGGTGAGCCATCCCTATCCTTATGCCCCTTCAAATGGGATGAGGGGACATTGACTAGCCAATGTATCTGCCACTTTCTGCACCAGCCTTGCCGGATAACTCACAAAAATAACTCGAGTTACCTAATATATTTCACTCCACCTCATAATTTCTCTTGTTCATGAAATTGTCCTTATGCAATAAGGAGTTCTGCAACTTTATCCGGGAACTATATAATCCATTTTCACAGGATCTAAATGGAGAAATTTTTTTCCTAAATAAATCACTAATCCTGGTGGGGAAACTTTGAACCATCATCACGATGAGGATTTTGAACTCTTGATGAAATCTCTATTATTTTCCGTAATCTTTTTCTTGCTCTCAGTAATGCCAGATGAGCCTTACCGCCCCTAACCATATTTCTTGATCATTATTCACTTGATCGTTGGGGAGTAAGCTGTTTAAGCTCAGTTGGCTCAGTGTTTATTCACTTAATCATTGGGGAGTATGCAGGTTTTAAGATTAGCTGGACATTTGACAAAGACTGGCTTAAAATTGACATGGTTAAGAGACCCAAAATCTGTTTTGCTGCTTAAAAGGCTATAAGGATCCCTCAAGCTCGAATAGAAAATGCATTGCTATTTTTGAAGGACATTTTCTTATACTATACCAATTATTACTCAGCAACAGCTTAATTGGCATTTTTGGAACTTTTGAACTCACTTTTTGTAATGAATTAAAAATAACTCTTAAATGATACTGAAAATAGGGTATTCATTTTTATTCCACATAAACTTATCTCATGACACAAGGGAGAAAAAAGATTTATGTAGTCAAACCCACAGTGAGATAAAAGGTTGATGTTGTTGTTGTATAAGCCTTATCTAAGTATATTTGGGGTTGGCTTAATGGTCCATCTCCGCTCATAGTATTTCTTTGCAGAAGGTGCAAACTAAAGTTTTAACGTGATCCTAACCAATGGCATGTATCTATTATCAGTCATCTTTGTGCTGAAACATTTTTTTATTATTCTCATGAGTTTTTCCTCTATAATCTGGAACGTCATTGTCGGAAAATTGAAAGTTGGCCTCTGTCTGATTTATGTGTCGGCTATTTGTTTTTGTTGTGTAAATAAATTTCCCTTTGTAATTTGGTATAATATCGTCTTTTACAGGTAGATGATAAGCTTTATATCTACTTGGAGTATGTGTCTGGTGGATCTATCCATAAGCTTCTTCAGGAATATGGACAATTTGGTGAACCAGCAATTCGTAGCTATACCCAGCAAATTCTTTCAGGCTTAGCCTATTTACATGCTAAGAATACAGTCCATAGGTGGGTTAATTTTAGTGATAGTTTAGTTAGTTTCTTCAGGTTTGTTTTATTAGTAATTCTATTTTGCATCTATTGTTTTAATGATCCATATGCTTGTTGCAGGGATATTAAAGGTGCAAATATACTTGTTGACCCAAATGGGCGAGTAAAACTGGCTGACTTTGGGATGGCCAAACATGTAAAATAGTGCCCTCACCGTTTTTATTTTTAGCTTCATGAATATATTTTAAACCATCCTATATTTTGTGATTTTCTACAACTTTGTTGAAATTGAATGCAGATGTGTTCCCTTTAAACAAATTGCACATATAGTACATGAATTTTAGCAATTTTATAAATGTTTACTCCACGGTTCTTTGTATTGTTGCTGCATCTTGAATCGGTCCTATGTTTTGATGTTTTCTGGTACTGTTTTGTTGATCAAGAATATTGGTTTTGTTCAAGAAGATTGCTTTGAACAAGTAAATAAAACACAGAGATGTGCAAACAGGAAGTTGGAGGCTTAAATAGTATAAATGATATATTTCTATAAAAAATCACATTGAATTTTGTGTCCTTAGTCCTTAATTTGCATGAGGTAAGAACAAACATTTCACTCATCAATTTGATGGATTTATCGGCACAAGTCACTCGCTGGACGGCATCAAGCCACCTTACCAACCCACAAATCTGGGAGAGATTTTAACGTGTGTAGCCCATAAATTTTTCTCATGCAAGTTACTATTTTGAGTTAAACAATACAATACTCACTCTCTTAGGTATAGACTACCATTCTGTTATCTGGAAAACGTCTATCTTAACAAAAGTGGTTTTCTATGCTACTATATTGAAATGCAAGTTCAGCATAATTAATGTTGATCTTTAACATAAGAACTTGGTGGTAACAACTTCATATGAAGATTTGACCATTGATCAATGTTATTAAAGAAAATAGATGGTTTGTAATTGTTAAAAATATTACCTTAGCATCATTATTTTGTAACCAAATTCATTAGGGCAAATTTTCGAAAGCAGTGTGTTTGACGTCGAATTTAGCAGAAGAAGCGTGAATGGACAAATTATTAAAAACAACGAATTCGCCGAATTGTACCGGGCATTCAGAATGCGCGTGCCTGATTGGTGCATTCAAAAAATGCGCCGAAAATAATGGCATGAGTGGTGGCAAACTTCTTTAAATAATTTATACATTCCTTCTTTACCTCATCAGGAACTTTTGCACATGGTCTCACATTGACATGAGTGCAGGCTAGATGATCCTTCAATCTCTTGACGCCACCAGTTATGCGCTTCTCACAGAAATTACATTTCATGTAAACATATCCCTTCTTTGCACCTTCGCCTGACACTTCAACTTGAGTTCCATATTTCCATGCAGGATCTTTCCTTCTTGTGCCACTAGTCATGCTAACAATAGGATATATTTTAACAATTATTTGTACTACCAAATACCAATAATAAAACAACATGAATACAAAAATATATCAGTCTGCCGGGGGTCCAAGGGGGCGCTGCACCCTGGCGGGGTTCGACCTACCCGATCAGGTCGCGGGGTCAAGGGGCAGTACCGAGCATGTACTCATGTACCGAGCATGTACTGCTCAGTACCGAGCATGTACTCATGTACCGAGCGTGTACCGAGCATGTACCGCTCAGTACTGAGCATGTACTCATGTACCGCTCAGTACCGAGCGTGTACCGATCATGTACTGCTCAGTACCGAGCGTGTACCGAGCATGTACCGCTCAATACCGAGTGTGTACCAGCATGTACCGCTCAGTACTGAGCGTGTACCGAGCATGTACCGCTCAGTACCGAGCGTGTATCGAGCATGTACTGCTCAGTACCGAGCATGTACTGCTCAGTACCGAGCGTGTACCGAGCATGTACCGCTCAGTACCGAGCGTGTACTGAGCATGTACTAAGCAGTACCGAGCATGTACAATCTGATGAAGCGAGACATGAAGCAAATAACGTGAAGAAAGATCGTTACCTAGCCGTGAAAAAAGAACCTTCGATTACAGGAAGCTGGAGAAGAAGAAGCGAGACATGAAGCAAATGACTGGAAGATTACGGGAAGAAAGAGAAGAAGAAATAAATCGTTACCTTCGATCGCCTTCAGTTATGTTCGAACTCGACCGAACTGTGGTCGTCGAAGTCGACGGAGTTCGCCTTTCAGTTCTCACCCGAAGCAGAAGCAAGTATGTTACCCTAATACTCGACTCTTATACGACTCTCACCGCTCGGTCTATATACTTACAAATCGAAGCGGTGCCTGTTTCGCTTCGAGGCGTTACGAACCGAAGCCTACGCCCTGTGCGAAATAAGCGCACGCTCCGCTGAATCCAACGAGGCGTAAGCCTCAACGCGCAAATGCTTCGCCTCGCCTTGAGTCGCGTCTCAGTGCGTACACCTCTTCCGCCTTTTTAATCGTTGATCTAAAGAACTTAAAAAAATTAATGCTTATAATAAGAATAAAAAAATTTATAAACAACTTAACCAACAAATATTTCGTCAGAACTTAACAATTAATATATATATTTCAAATTTTTAACTGAAAAAAAAATAAACATACATTAACCTTGCTTACTAAACTGCTCCACTAAATTTTGTAAGCTTAAGTTTGCGAAGGAAGTAGCACTGGGAGGGGACTTTATATAATCTGCAAAGAGAGGAATCCAATTCATTCAACCGGCCCCTCATTCATTCATGGCTTGCTTTTTTCCCTGGCATTTGTGGATTTGGTATGCTCTCGGCGCAACATTCGCGGCACAAGTTCCGAAATGATTGCGGGAATCCTGGGCTAACATGCGAAATGCGCTACTCGGTTAGGCGCATTCAAAGAATGCGCTGAATTGTTAGCCGCATTCAAAGAATGCGCCGTACCGTTCGGCGCTTTCTTTGAACGCGCCATTAGGTTCGGCGCATTCTTTGAATGGGCCAATCAGGCTCGCGCATTCTGAATGCGTGGTAAAGTTCGGCGAATTCACTGTTTTTAATAATTTGTCCCATTCACGCTTCTTCTGCTAAATTCAACGTTAAACACGTTACTTTTGAAAATTTCACAATCCATTAAATTGATCTAGGTGTATTTATTTTTATTCATGCAAAAAAAAAATTCATTCAATTTGAGCGCTCTCTGTGAATTTAATGAATCATCTATCTCACTATATAGGCCATCTATGAGGATGCTTTTTTGGTACGCTTGAAATTTGATGAAATTTGGGTCATGCTATGTTTCATGATGACATTTAAGATGAATGGTCTTGATTTGTCAATTAAATATTGTATGATTGAAACATAAAGCAGAAGAATTGTGCGGGTAAATGGCTCAATCTCTATCATCATTCTAAAAGGATAGTAATCTATCGCTACTGTGAATTCATATATAAATATTGAATGATACCATGTAAATTACTGATCGAAAGCTCAATAATTTTTTAAAATATTTGAGCTATCAAAATATCTTGAAATATGGTTAAAATATGTTTGTTGTTTGGAATCCAACAGTAGGTGCTAATAGTGTTGTTTGATAGGTTTTATGCGGTAATTTTGTGCTTAATTCACAGAGCTTATAAAATTAGTTAAGTCTGTCTTGAAATGTAGCTTCTCTTCCTGATGTAGAATTTCTGGCGTTGTGCTTTTGAGCTAAAAAGTGAAGTCTAATGCCGCATAAAATGCCTTTATATATTAGGTTAGTTTATTTGAAACTTTTTTTTTTTTTCATTCCCTGTTAGCTTGATGAGAATTTGTTATTTTCCTTTTCATAACGCTGATGATGAACTTGGTTATGGGTATATTTTATATCTTTTTTTTTTTCTGGTTTGGTGCCTCGCAAACCGCTTGCCAATTTACTGAGCTTGAAAGTTCGTTTAGAATATCTCACTCTTTATCAGTTAACTCATTCTTTCTTAGTCAATTACCATATTGTTCATAGTACTACACTTCTCTATTGAAAATTTTTGTTTGTAAATTTTTTGAACCTTGGTTTATTTTGAAATTCACATCACATATTCCCTCAACACATTGGCGACCAGGAAAGTGAAATGTGATTTTTATGTTGTCTATTAGGCATTTATTGCATACCTTGATGCATTAGGGGCCCTTGGCCATGTTTTCATTAACAAATGCTAATTCAATAAAAACAAACTGCAGTGTTCAAGTTTTTTTAGCATGCAGGATTCCATAAACTTATGCAACTATAGAAATTCGAAGTGAATGGAAAACTAGAATATTCTTAACGTATTAGTTGCCAAGTATTCTAAAGTTTTTTGTGAATTCTTATAAATTGTAATGAGATATTGGATTTTAATGCGGACTTAGAGGAATTCTTAGTTATTTACAGTTTTGTGTTTGTAATGTCTTACTTTCAGATTACTGGCCAATCATGCCCCTTATCATTCAGAGGTAGTCCTTACTGGATGGCACCTGAGGTAACTTTGCTTCAATTATCTCATAACTTAAGACCATAAGAATTTTATTTGACTTTTGCTTTTTGTGATTAAATGGCTCATACTTCCTTTGTTCATTTATTCTTTTAGGTGATAAAAACCATGCATGGATGCAATCTTGCTGTCGATATATGGAGCCTTGGATGCACAGTATTAGAGATGGCTACTTCCAAGCCTCCTTGGAGTCAATATGAAGGGGTTGGTGCTTAAGCCTATCAGATGCTTGTTAACTTACCTTTCAATGTTTCACAAAAATATTATCAATTTTCTTGTGTCCAATCTAAAATTGCTCCCCAAAAGAAATCTTGCTTTGGATTCATTTTGCATCGGTGCTGCATGCTAAGGTTTTTGTTTCACATACAGATCTACGAGTAAATAAGTTTTTTTATCAATGGGTTAGGAAATCTCTTCGTAGCATTTGACAAGCCTTTCTGGGAATTTAAAAGAAAATAAAACAGGGATAAAGTTATGTTAGAATCCCATAATAACAGTCCTAAATATGAAAAATATTGCTCTTGTGGCTTGTAGTCTCCACATCTCCAAGGACAATCATTAAAGAAAACTTGGCGTGGTGTTAACATTGTTGAAAACTAGTGAAGAAATGTGTTTGAAAATTCACATGAAGCTTGCTGACTGGAAACGCAGACAATATTGAAGGCAAGGGTCATCAACGCATTGCTGCCATACAGAGACTCCATTAGCTCTGGAAACAAGCCAATTCAATAGGGAGTAAATGAAATATCACCAAAATCATTCCATTAATCACAACAAAACACCATCTATAACATTGTTGCACGTTCATTTGCACAAAAAGCTAAATTTATAAGTGCATTTTAAGTGTTCAATAAGAGAAGTCTTGTCCTTGGATTTTGAACGTTACTGCATTAGATCATATGATCGAGGTTGCATTTGTATTTCATAAATGAATACCTCTCTGATCGAAAAGTGGAATGGCCTCTTAATGTATTTGGCATCGGGCCTATCATCATTTCTAGAGACCTAATAATTAACTATATTCTTTTGGTCCCGACCCTAATTTGTAATTTATTTTTCATAAGCAAACTAACAAGCAACGTTAATTATGTTGCTAAATTTTCTTGAAATATGCTTATTTTTTAGGACTTGTATTTGGGAAGATGATTGCTGATGCTAATATGTGTCTAATACTCTATTGCCTTGAAATTAAGTATCCAATAATATGGTTAGCGATTGGTTGAAATGCTCTATCCACCAGCATTAATCAAGGCAATGTCATCATGTTGTGGCACCATTGATTAGGTCATTCCAATCTCATGCATCTTGAATAATTTTTCTCTTCTATGTTCAATAAAAACTCTAAACACTTTCAGTGTGAAATTTTTCAATCATAAAAACATGCTTGGAGCTTTATACAAACATCCTTACAAAGCTACTCATCAAATTTTATTAATTTATTGAGACATTTGAGACCATTTAGAATCTTACAAAGCACAAAAAAAAAAAAAAAGAGAGAGAGATCTTAGACCTTCCCTATATTTGAATTATCATTAACAATATCATTAGCCTTATCCCAACTGCAGGCAGCAAACCTTATGAATCTTTCTTGGTTCATTATCGTGGAGTGCTACATGATATTACACAAGAGTGCTAAATGAGATATAAAAAATGCTTGGTCATTAGAGTTATAACCTTTAAGTAACCGTTCTATTTGAGCAGCCTTGATTCAGTCATTGCATTATTGGTGTAATTATTATGGTTATCTCCTCTGCGAAGCAACATCTTTCCTTCTTGTTCTAATGGCAAAATTTTTACTATGAAATTATTGAAAAATAGTAGATTCCTTTTCTTTTCCTTATACCTGTACCCTTGGTTGTGTTATTTGCATTTGACTCCTCTGTTCTTTAATGGTATTACTGGTCCCTAGAATAAAATTAGAACTGTGAAAGCTTATCAAAGTACTAAACTCTTGTAAAGGAGATCTTAGATAGGTTGGTGTTACTATCTGATGAACTATCTGTGAAAAGTGACATACTGGTGATTGTCGGCTAGCTACAGGAAAGCTGATTACCAAAATTATATTAGAAAGCCAAATTATTCCAGTGTTTGGTGATTGTGTTTAGTTTATTAATATTTTTTATTTTGGTATTTGATTTGTTTAAGAACTGATTGGTGAGAATTCATAAATTGGTTGTTGCTTTCTTCTTGCTAAAGAAGTACCTCTTTTGCTAATCTTAGTTTTACAGTTCACAGGGTAATTAACGACTGAAATCATAATAACTGCAAATGCAATTGCCCGTCGACATTAGAACTTCTACAACTATATAAATAAAAGACAATCTAGTGAGAAGAAATCATTAATTTTGCTTTTGCTTCGTTTGGTGTATTACTATCTCTACTTTTCTAGAGTTCCAATTCTCATGATACAAGCAAGGAGAGGCAAATCTTTGAAATAATCTTTTCCTTTATATAAGTGGAACCAGAAGTATGCCCTTCAATACATCTTGTGCTGTCAACGAAAATTGTATTGCATAATTTTGCTCCAGCGTTACCATTATCCTTAGTATTTTTGGAATATCATAATTTATGGAATCTCGATGGTTTGGAAATTTCACATTAGTATGGCATGGTTAGATGCAAATTTTATATTGTAAATTCCACTATCACTATTGTCTGTGTTCAGTTACATGCCTGTTAATATTTTCTTATTACGGTCTAAAGGTTGCAGCTATGTTCAAAATTGGAAATAGTAAAGAGCTTCCGACAATACCTGATCATCTTTCAGATGAAGGAAAGGATTTTATAAGGCAATGCTTACAACGTGATCCATCTAAACGCCCTACAGCTGCTGAGCTTTTGCAGCATCCATTCATCAGAAATGCTTCCCCACTGGAAAAATCAACTCTTGGTTTTAGCCCTCCTGAACAAGCTTCAGGGATCTCAAATGGTCCAAATACCAAGGTACGATTTTGTATATTTCAAACCTTAATTTTGAGGTTTCTTTTTGCCCAGGTAGATTGGCTTTTACATAGTTAAACCTAAGATTTTTCCAACTTCCATGTAATAATGAGCCTGATTTGTTTTTGTTTCTTTAGATGATCTGCCAACATGAATTAAGAAGTCATTGAACAGTGTCTGTTTATCTTTTCTTGTTATAAAACAACTAAGATCAAGGAACTTGAGGCTTTATTCTTCAATTTCGTGACTACTTGCTACCACCTCATCCATGCACGATCTTTTGACCATCAAAACTATGAGTACACACCTATATATATATATATATATCCGTAGATGATGGTCATTTGGTGTCTAATGGTTAGTTAAGTCAATACTATACGTAGTTTAGGTTGAAAATAAATCAATGGATACTTCCATTCAATATACTATATGACAGTGGAAGGAGTGGGGCTTTTGTGCCAAAATTTTTATGTGTTCATGTAACAATTCAACTCGCATACTAAGGTATTATGTACATTTGTCCAACCTAGTTTGTACTAAGTTGGGCCTCAAAATTCAATTCTTCTTGTTGCAATTTATCAGAAGCTCACCTATCCCAAGAGGTGCTCCAAATGAGTGGGCTTAATTTTGGGCTTCCCCAACAAAATTCCAATTAAAATTCACCTATAATATTTGGTTGAAGACTACTTATATAGTCGGTCCAACCTAGTCTTCTGTCATTGGATGGTTTGTTGGAGATGCGCCAGCAAGGAGTTGAAGTTTTTTAGAGATGCACGGGCAAGCTGATGGAATTTTGGAAAAGGATCAAATTGCGGTTGATCAAACAAAGCTTGTTGGTGTGGAGAGTGAGCGAGAAAAGGGTTATTGATATTTATAAATTGATGAATATATTTTTGGATGATTTCATGTGTCTATGATTAAAATTATCTCAATTTTGTTTAGCAAGTATTGCAGAAGCAAAATATTTTTGTTTTATACAGATGAATGTGAAGAATCTGATACTCCGGTTCAGGTAGAACCGGCCCTTTGGCCGGCTCAGCAGGTGGAAACAGTCCACCACCTTTATGTGTTTCCGCCCAATGGGTGGTTCCACCCATTCAATTGAATTCAAAATGAATAGGAGGGGGGCGGCTAGAGCTTTGGGAGGGAAATTAGATTAGAAAAGCTTTTGTATTAAAGTGCATGAGAGGATTAAGAGGGATTATGTTTTGATTGTTTGAAATCAGGGTTTCTTGGCATTTGGGCTCTAGACTCTCTTGATTTAGATTTGGGAGAGACGATCCTCCTCTCGAATTGAGGATCTCTTGTATCTTTGCTTTGTGCTTGTCTCTTTTTGTTGATTATAAGATTTGTTATCGTTTGGTTGTTTGTCCTCCACGATTCCTTTATTTTCTCGCTGTTTTTACTGATTATTGCTAGGTTTGCTTGCGAAGTCATGTAGATCCGATAGGATTACTTGCGAACTCAAGTATTTTCTATCAGAATCATGTGTGAAATGTTGAACATATCAAGAACAAATTGAATTTTTTGTTGAGTTCTCATAGGCCAAAAATGAATTTGATTGAGTTCTGTCTGTTTTTTTTTTTGTGCTTTCTAATATGGATCATATCATGATCTGTATGCATGTTTTAGCAAATGCTTCAAATTTTATTTTTAGTTTATTTAACAGTTTTTCATTTTTAATTTCTGTTACTATGGCAAAACTCCAGTGTGTTGCCCACGCGAGAAATCTATCCTCCTTGGACATGGATGGACAGTCAATGCATCAACTAAGAAGTTCTAAAATATCCTCAATCACAAGGTAAACTACTATTTATGTTTGCTTCGACAATCATTGTTGACAGGTGAAGCTAATGCAAATGCCATTTTTTGTTTAATCTGTCACAGCGATGCGCGCATGAAGAACATATCTTGTCCCGTCTCTCCCATAGGAAGTCCTCTCCTGTTTTCCAGCTCTCCACAGCACATCAATGGCAGAATGTCCCCCTCCCCCATTTCCAGCCCTAGAACTATGTCAGGTGCTTCCACACCTCTTACCGGCGGCAATGGCTCCCTCCCCTTCCACCATCCAAAGCAACCTATTTACCTTCAGGAAGGTCTTCCAAGCTCCCGGTGCGACCTTTTCAATGGAATCCTGCAAAGTTCGCCGGTATCGAGGGATCGAATGGCTCCAGATTCTGATGTGCTTGGCCTTCAGCTTGGCAGCCAAAGGTATGATCTCCATGAATCTTATGAAAGACCAGCATTTTTTGTAGATCATATTAAGTTAAATCCTTCTCTAGATCTTCATCCCCGTTCACCTAACATGAATCGTATACATGGAATTTGATTGCCCTAAAAACCCTAATTGGTAGAACAGTCCTGACCTAGAGAGTACTTTGATGTTTGATTGATTGTGGAAGATCTGTGCAATCGTCATATGTAGGCTGAGAAGACGCAGGCCTTGTAAAATGAAGGGGCAAATTGACCCATTGAATAAATTTTGAATGTGAAGCTGGGGATGCTACAGGATTCTCATCAATGGTATATGAAATTTGTTGGGTAAGGTTGTCTTATATTACACTGGTACTGGCTGTCTCTATTTTGTTCTTTGGTTTTCTTTTCTGTCAATGCTATGAAAAGTGCTGTTCAAAAAGCTTTTAGGATAGAAATTTTTGCCTCTTTGGCTGCGTTTTAGACTGCTTTTTTACCGCTTCTAGAAATAGCGTTATAATAAAAAAAATTTTAAATTATGTATTAAAAAATTGCTTTAAGAAGCGATAAAGAAAGCTGTTTCAAACAAGCCTTTATCTTTTTCTACTGCTTTCTTCAGATTCTTGACCATTTTTTGTTACTCAGATTTCATGATGCAAAGGAAATTAAGAGGTTAAGCAGTGCTTGGATAATGGGATTTTGAGTGAATGGAAATGATTTAAAAAAAAGCCTTAAAAATCATTTGAGGATTATAATCAAGTATATTATTTTATTTTTTATTTTTCACTTTTCTGTTAAATAAATAGAGCTTTAGGATTCGATTAGGGCAGTTTTTATACTGTTTTCTACAGCAATATTTTAGCATAATTTTTTTAAAAAAATTAATGTTAAAAAAGTATTTCAAATGAAGTTTTAGTGAAAAGTTTATTTTTTCTTTCTTAGAGGGGCATTTAGGTCAATTAAAATAAATTCACATATTATATATGTAAGATTTAAATTTAAGATCTCTTAGGACATCTTCAACCGAAAAACTCATTTTAAACTTTAAAATGTTGTAAAATTTTAAAACGTAGTTATTCTTCTCTTATCTAACGTCATTTCTTCTTTCGTGTGCTTCTTGCATAGGTTTGGCGTGCTTTTTTTCTCTTTTGCGTGCATTTTCTGTAAATTCTGGAGCGAATTTTTTTAACTTAGGTGAACAGTCTGACGCAAATATTAGCGTCGCACCAGAATCTGGCGTGCAATTTGGAGTTTGAATGGAGACAATATACAATGGTATGAAATTATGTTGGAGATGATTTTAGTTGGTAGCTTAGATGTTCCTAAAAAAAAAAAGTTAAATGGGCCCAAAGACATAAATGCGGAGCTAACCTGTGGGCTGAAAAAAAGGTAAATGGGCCGATTTTAGGTTTTGTTTCTACGGCCTGTTAGAGAAAGGTTGTAAATGTAAATGTGCTTATATTTCCAATTACGCATAGGTTTAGTTCAGCATGCCTTCCATCCAATTTTTTTCTTAGTAATTAAGAAAAATAGATAACGCAAAAGAAAAAAAAAAGTCAAATCACGTTAATAAACAATAATTATAGTTTGATTAATAGATAAATATTATATCCAATGCTTTAAAATATATTTTTGACATTCATCTCTATAGGGGGTTGGCCATTAGTAATTAAAGTAAAATTTTATGTTAGAATAGCTTTATAAAATATAATTTAAATAAAACTATATATAAATAAATTATATTACACTAATTTAAAAATAGAAGTGAAAAATTTAAAATTATCCTATTTTTTTTTTTTTATAATTTCTTAATTGAATCCTATGAAACCTCTCCTACAAACGTGCAAAAACATTGAAATCCAAAGCCATGTTTGCTTTAATCCCTTCAGCCATAATTGGATAGCAGAAACAAGCAGATCGAGAGCAAATTATAGCTTCTTATTCAATCAAGCAAGCTCACAGTTACCATAACTCAGTTATGTTAGATAGGCAAACAGCAAAATTGTTTCTGCATCACAATACTCCAAACAGTCACGAGCTTTAGATCACTGTTTTTTCTCTGTTTTTAAGAGATTTTTTAGCTGAAAATTAACTTTATAAAGCAGTAAGAAAGCTGTCCCAAATAAAGCCTACAAGTGCTTCTGTTGCTGCTGCAGCCATTCTTGGATTGCAGAACGAAGGGCGCGATTTGGGATAAGATTTGAACTGGAGAGCTTTAGATTAGTCATGGGGGATGTGTTGTGGCCATTATTGAACCAGATCCTTAAAGCTTCTTCTTCGTAGGTGAAGCCATCTGCTGCTGTATGTGGATTCTTCATGATTTCCTGAGATTAGATAAATTGAAAAAGGTTTAGTATAAATGACAAATAAGTTGGTAATACAGTAGTTTCCTCTTAGCATCTACTGAAACCAAGAATACAGAATGCAGGATAAGCAATTAGAACTAAGGAAACATAGCAACATCAAAAAAACTTTTTCTTTCAATTAATTTGATAGTAGTCTTCAAATATCTAAAGTTTATGTATATATATATATCATTAAAATTTCTATATATTTACATATCTAACATTGAATTGTCTACATTTACTTATACAATATTTTAGTATCTAAGGCCTCGTTTAGTTCTCTTGCTCCTTTTTTTCGTTTTTAAATGGAAGTATCAGAATGGGAAACGGAGAATTTTTTTTCTTCTCCGATTGGCGGAAATATGGAGGTTCAGAAGAAGGTAATTTGAAAAAACAGTTAACAAACAACAAAACAATAATTTTTCGGCCGATTCAACCCGGAGGCGGAGAAATTACGTCCAAACAAACGAGGGCTAAATGACATAAAAATATATGTATGAAAATATGTTAAATAGATTAATATTAGTTGCATTTGTTTTATGCCATGTAAAAATTAAAAATTTTGATGTTAGATTTGTAAATGTGTAAGACTTCAATGGTATGGATGTACTTATAATTATGCAATATTGAAGAAAACAAACCTGAAATATTGGGCATATGAAGTAGCTTGGGATGCAACAGTTATCATCTGTAATAGAACTGAATGACAGCTGCGCTGCCGAAAATGATGCAGCCTTTGACATGGGTTCCAGAACCTTCCACACCTCGCCGACAAGATCCGGACGATTTTTCCGGTTCATCTCGCAGCACCTTAAACCCAAGTGAGCTAGCTGCTTTGCCTGGACAAGGGGCCAATCACCAGAAGTAGGATCAATAATCCCATATAAAGCCTGTTTATTCATAACTTCCTGCACAACCTTGACTAGCCCAAGTGCAGGCATCCCTGTCAAGAGTCTAAGGATAATAACTCCAAATGAGTAGACATCAGAGAGTGGAGTGAGATCACCAGTTGCAAGGAACTCAGGGTCCATATATGCAAAAGTTCCCTTTGGATGACTGTGGCGGTATAGAGTGGTAGTATCAGCCTGCACAACAAAGTTGCACAGGCCAAAGTCACTGAGCTTGCTCACAAGATTGGCATCTAAGAGGATGTTTTCAGGTTTGAGATCGCCATGGACGACCGGATGAGGCTTGCTCGAGTGGAGGAACATCAGAGCAGAGCAGATCTCAGTAGCGATGCGCGTTCTAGCCTTCCATGTGAGAGGTTTACTGTTGCTCTTACATGAAAGGAGATCTTCAAGATTTCCATTTGGGAGGTACTCATAAACGAGTGTCAGAGCTTCTGGGCATGCACCTATGAAGCTCACAAGGTTTGGATGCCTCACCCGACTGAGAATTTCAACCTTAAATGATCAAAAACAGAAGAGAACACTCATATTTTCTGTGATTATTATACTCTCTTGGTGCAAAAAGGACAATGAAACCAAGTTGAAAAGTAAGAATAGCTCTAAGTTGAAAATGATTATTCTCTAGCTTGTTCAAATTCATTGACATCAAAGTAAAAGATAAAACTAAGTTAGGAGAATAACACAGTGCCACATTCACACTCTGCTTAACTTGATCCTCAGTCTGGTTGGGTTATCATGGTTGTGTGAGTGGAGCTTGTTTAGTGTTTCTTAGAAGAGTCCAAAAGGCATGACAATCATCAATCTTTTTGATACCCCAAAATCCTACTTGTCAAATGTCTTTTTAGGTTCTTAAAGTCACTGTTGCCAGAATTTGTTACAATAAATTTTTGGGGGATTTGGGATTTACATACATACCACTTTATTTTCTGCTATTTACATGTTTAACACCTAAACCTTTAATATTACAAGTCTGCCACTCATAGAATAAAAATGGGCACATGGAATGAAATATTAAAGTTTATAGAATGGTATGGGTGGTAAAAATGAAATATATGAGTGATATATTTGATATTAAAATTTTTTAAAAGTGATATGAATGTAATATTAAAGTTTTGGGTGTTAGATATGTAAATAGAATGAAATAAAGTGGTATGAATGTAAATCCCGCAAAATTTTTTGTAAGCATTAATTAGGCTCCACAACTTAACAATATGATACTATAAAATATGTGAAAAGCAATAGGAAGGAAGAAAAAAGAGTTTCAAAGAAAGCAAAAACAAAAAATTGCATACTTTGATCAATTCAATTTACCTCTTGATCGAACTCTGATCGTTCCAGCATGCCATCGTGATTTAGTGCTTTTATAGCAACAGTTGTGTTACGAAGGAAGCCTTTGTATACAGTACCAGAACCTCCTTTTCCTATCTTCAGTGAATTGTCAAAAGTACAAGTGGCCTGCTCAATCTCAGATAAGGAGAAGGCAGACAAGTTTGCAAGGATACTGCAAGGCACCTCTTCCTTCTTTCTACGAAGTTCTTCGGCTTCTTGAATAGCCTCGTCTCGCTCTCTTTGCAAAACATCATGCTCTACTTCAAGAGAATGAAGTAGATGGAGAGCTGCTAACAGTTTTTCTTCAAGATCCTTAACACAGTTATCAAGATTACCTATATGCAATTCCAGTTGCAACTTATGTTTGTTAGTCTTTTGAAGCTTTTCGCAGAGTTCCACTTGCTCTTTTTTGAGCATTTCTATTTCTAGTTTTGCTCTCTTCAATGTTTCATCCACCTCTTTACGCAAATTTAACTCCTCAGCATACAAGTTTTCTGAAGCCTTTGCCTAAAATAAGGAGGAAAATAATTGGGAACTCAGAGACTTCTTTATCAAGCACTTTAATAAAGAAGAGAGGAAGTAACCACACAAATGGAAAAAAAAAAAGCTTACTCTTTGAATCGCCTCAATTACTGTCCTTTCAGCTCTCTGACGCATCAGCGACTCCATATAAACTTCATGCTTTAAGTCTTCAGCCTCGCTAAGGGCCTCTTGAAGTTTTTGATAAAGTTCTAAATCAACACCAGCATCTTCCTACAAATAAGGTCACGAGTTTAGTTCATTAACTTACAGAAAAGGTAAGATCGACAAAAAAGTTTGGAAATTTGACAGTCAAATCATAAAACCAAGTCTACGCAAAGAAAAAATAATTCGGAAAAAAAGAAGATTCAAGTGCCTAACAGTACTTGGTGTTCTAACAAAAAAAAAACTCACCAACTCATTATGTGGAGATGAGAAATTTAAGTCTTTATCAGACTCATGTAATGAAGGAAAGAACACCGAGCTCTCTTCATCCTTTGGTAGTGACAGAAAGTCTGACTTGCTAAGCACTTCATCATCTCCTGAGCATGATGAGTATTCAGTCTGCAGGCTCCTCTTTGATAGTTTATCCAATGAATTACCACTATAGGATCGGTTCAAAATATGCTCGCTACCATGAAATAATGATTTGGAAGATGAAAGGATGGATAAATTCAACATTGTTCCACCACCACCATGCAAACCTGAAACTGTAGAGCTTGAACTGTGCCTGAAAAAGTTTTTAATGCGTTGAGCATTGAATTTTGAAGTTTCTCCCATCCCTTCAGAAGTTATGGCTAATTGTTCAGACTGGATGGCTAAACTTGGTATAGATTCTGGTGAATCTGACAGTCCAGATGAAATATCAGTTTTCCTGTTCCAAATGAATAAATATGATACAGATCTCTAAATTATTTCATGGATGCAGTGGTAACATAAAGATATATGAAAAGTTTTTCGACTAAAGGAAAGAAGCAAATTGGATTTGATGAAATTGAAGTAAGAAAGAATTTCAATTGGCATAAATCAGCCACATAAACATCCAATACTGGTAACCTTTAGCAATAACTTTTAAAAAAGGTCCCTTACGATTATTCCTCCATTTTTTTTTTATAAGCAAGAAGAGATGTATCAATATGTTAGACCGGTCCATCCAGCCGGTCTGACGTGCCGAATGCACACCCGGGCGTGCGTGATTTGTTTAGGAAGGGGTTTTGTTAGGAGGGATATTTGAATGTAGGGACTGTTTTGTGTGGATTTTTGTGGAGAATTCTCGCTGTTTTCCGAAGATTGATAGAAAATACTTGAAATCTACAAGTGTTTCCTATCACAATATCACACACATACCTTGTGCATATGAAGTTTCCTTTGCAAACAAACCATATGCAACATGAAGTATCAGCTTGTTGCCTCACAGTTGTTGCTGTCTTGGACCTGGGCGCTTTCATCTTCCTGTGATAATCAAAACATACAAGTTCAAAGAACAAATACAATAACAAAAACATATGAAACTATCCAATGAATCTCTATAAATCAATCAACAAGTAATGTGGAACTTCTTAAACTAGCAGTAGTATGAGGACATTACTTGGAATAGTGCTTGTCTGCTGCTGCTCCCATAACAAACTTGGTAATCCCTTGTTGAGCTATAAACTCTATGAGGCCCTTGGCAACAGCATCAGCCTCAATCACTATTTTCTCAGCCTTAATCTGAAAGAAAATTACTTGTTCCCTTAAAAACTCGTCTGAGCATCGCAGTTTTTTATCTAGTTTCAAAATTTTGGTTTTTAATTAATCAAATAGTGCGAGGAGGGACTATTCGGATTACTTTACAAAAGCACCTCACTTTGATTGCTCTAAGAGTAACAACAAGCAGAAGATAGTTCCAGAGGCATTAACCACACCTTTAGTTCCGAGCACACCAGCAGATAGTCATCCAAGCTTTTGTTCATCTTCTCTCTATCCAATTGTTGAAATGCTATAACTTCCTGTTCTTTGAGCTGACTTGCAGGAAATTTGGCACCTACTGTAACCAAATTTATCAAAATTTCCATTATGTCTAGTATCAAATGAGTAATGCACACATAAACAATTCCAGTAAAACTTGAAAGATAAAAGGGAAATGGAACAATTACACAAATCAACTTGAATACAAACCAAAGAAGCTAGAAACCTAGATCTTCAGCAAAAATGGCAACTTTACGATCATAATAACAACAAATCAACAATGACAGTAAAGCAGTAACAAATCATCCCAGAAATAAATGATACGTTTTGCAGGGCACAAGTGCGTACAAATTGGAATCATCTTGGGGGGACGATGGACGTGGATAATGACGATTGGTCGGCGGAAGTTCTGCAGAGTCCAGAGAAGAGTGGCCTTGCCCTGCTTGAACTCCTTTCCAAGAGCCACGTAGACGGCCTCCGACTCCAAAGCCGGCCGCTCCAGCTCCTCCTCGATCTCCCCTCTGCCGCTGAGGTACGCCGGCGACTCCATTCTCGCAAGTTTTGCAGAAATGGAGTTCGTCGGACAGAAAAACGGGCACTTTGTAGCAAAAGAAGCTCTTTTTATCCGTTTCCATGAACATCTTCGAGGTTTTATCGAGAGCCGCGGCGAGGTTAACGCGCACGCAATAATTCCGCCTAGAAAAGGCAACGAAGTGGACTTCCATTGCGGGAGCGTTGAAGGTCTGGAAAAGTCAGTAGTGGAGATGGTCGGGAGACGGAATAGAGACTCTTTTGCAGGTTGCGATGATTATTATACTGATACTTATATTTTATAAATATTTTAAATAAATATATTGTAAATATAATATAATATTTTTAAAAATTTTAAGATAGTTTGATAATAAATAAATTAAGGAATTTAATTTATTTGTGTCTGATTAACTTTTGATAAATTTAAATTTTATATAACTATGGGTGAAAATAAGTCGAGTTCAAGTTCAAATCAAGCCTAATTTACCTCAACTCTTGAGCCAAATTACGACCTTGACCTTCACTCGTGACATTGAAATGAGCTTGTTGAGTGGCTCAATTATGTGTCCACCTCGGTTCTTGATTCCGCATCAGAGCTCGCGTTCCTAAGTCAGCCGCAATCCCACCTCCGCTCTCGATTCCGCATCGGAGCTCACGTTCCCGAGTCTGAGCCCGCGTGCCTTGCCATTCCAGCCGCGATCCCGCATCCCCATCTGAGTCTGACACACGATCCGTGCTGCGTCCTCCCCTCCATTCTACCTGTGATCCTGCGTCCAAGTCCAAATTCGCCTGTGATCCTGCGTCTGTGTCCGAGCCCGTTCCATCGAGCCGAGCTTCTGTAGGGTCAAACTGGAGCTCTATAATCAAATTGAGCTTGAAATTCAGCTCGAGCTCTAAACTCGATAAACTCGACTCTCGACTCACGAGTTCGAGCCGGCTCACACAGTCTTCTTGACTCAGTTGCACCTCTACTTGCTGCTCATGAAATCTAAGGATTTAATTTAAAAAATCAATTTTATTTTTTATTTTTTTTTAATAAAATTTCTAATTTCATCACTACAAATCAAAATGGCAACAACATCTCTTATTTTTCAGACAAGCTTATAAACCCGGAGATCAAAAGCGCGTTCATAAAAATCATAAATAATAACAAACGATATTGCGTCACGTTACATATTTCCTCGAACTTCTCGCACCGTTAATCTTCCACGAGATTTGCATCATCGTGTGATCATCAGCGTTCAGCAACGCGTTTTGTTTTGTTCCTTTTTTTAATTTTTTCAATGTGAAAAGCTGAATTGCAAGTGTTTGGAAATCAGTTCCCCCGCAGCCACCGTTGTTTTTCTTGGAAGCCCTTCGCTTGATTTGCTTTCTTTAAGGACGACGAGTGAACTTACCCAGTCAATATGAAAAATATTTCTTCGTAGTTTTTTTCTTTTCGGGGACAGCTTTCAATAACAACTTTTAAAAAAGTGATTTCTCTACAATAGCTTTACAATCATCTTTACAAAAACTGAAATCGTCCCAAATAGATCTTTGATCTCCCGACTAAATAAAATAGGTCCAAATTATTGTGATCAATACTAAATTGGAATTGATTTTATATCACAATTATAACATAAGATAATATTTTGTATGTTTCGAATTAAGGCTTTGTTTGGGACAGCTTTCTTACCGCTTCTTAAAACAATTTTTTTGTACAAAAAAACTGCTTTAAGAAGCGGTAAGAAAGCCGTCCCAGATGAACCTAAATTTGATATCACAATCCCAAGCAGTACCAATCCGCGTTATTGACGTGGCTCATTATGATTAGTTTTTATATAGCATTCGACGTCCACACAGAATAATTTATTGTTACTTACTACTACAAAGACTTTATTTGTGACAATTTTCTTCCTCCTTTCTATAACAGCTTTTTAATATAAAAATTTCCTTAAAACAATAAAAAATAATAGATCCAAACAAAGCCTAAGTATATTGAGTTTCAATCAACATCAAATTTTAATCGTTTTTTTTTATTTTAAATTTATTATGAGATTAGTATAATCATGAATAGTCAATTAGTTGATTTGACACCATTTATGAAATTTATCTTAATTAAAATTTATGTTGTTCATTTGACCCCATTTTTTCCACACAAAAAAAAAGACTTGCATACATAATATAATTTTTTTTTTGTTTATATATGTAATATCTAAATTTTAATATTTATTAATATAATACTTTAATATCTAAGTGACTAAGTCAAATCAAAATATATGCATGAAAATATGTTTTTAACTCTATAAAATTAATTTTAATAATATTTCTTATTTTTGAG